TTGATGTAAAATAAATTTTCATCGGAAAATTCAAAGACAAAACTTTTTTCTACGCTACGCCGGCTGTCGACATGATTACTTGTCGACAAAAAAAAAGTTATGAACACTTTTTACGGGCTTCGATGAAAAAATTCAACTTATTCTTACTTCGTTATCTAACGAGAGTTCGCTGCTGCCGAAAACTCTCTCTATTTTGGATTGAAGTGTGTATCCTCGAAAGGTTCGAGAGGGCCGCTTTTTTTAAGCCAAATTATCATTCAGACAACATTCGGAAAAATGTAAGGCGATTTTATTCGACAACCTTGGAATCGACAAGAAAAGTTTTTTTTTTAATCAATTACCTAGGTAGCTACACAATTATTTGTAATAAGCAAGAATAAACCGATGTATGTGGTTTTTTGTCGAATAGACGGTGCTAGTTAAAAATCGGTGTTAGTAGAGACAACCCAGCAAGATGTGTAATGTATTTTTTTTTTGTTCGGCAAAAGTTTGTGCGATTGTAGTCGCAACCAGTATTACTAGTCAATTTTCTTCTTTTCTTAACGGCTCTTACTGCTGTGTATATCCAGTCATAAATATGGTTTTGTTTTATTTTATTTGCTTTTGTACAACCCTTTATAAGTTACTTAAATTTTTTTATGTACAACTTAATTTATGCCATTGTAATTTAGTTATAACCAAGTAATTTTACAATAGGACTTTTCTGTTATATCGCATCTTTATGGTCCATTATTAATTTTAATGAACTCCTTAGATTTATATAGCTTATAAAAATTAAGCAATGTATATTGTACCCTTCACTAGTCATATTGCAAGTTCATTGTCATTTCAGCCATGATGAAATCTTTGCTGAAGAAAGATAATCACCAACAAAATCTTTTTATGTAGCACACTGATGACATTAATTTAAGACTTTGAATGTTTATTGTTAAACTAGACCTTTAGATATAGTGAATTGTATAAGAAACAATAGTATGTAGAATATAATATTTAAAAGTATGACGAAATCAAACGGCAATTTATATATCGCCGTTCCGGTAAAACAATGACGCAAGTGCAAAATTATTACATTTTAATTTTAACATGTCATTAGTTTCCAAATTAGTCACTCTATACCAGTGGTCGCCAACCTGTCGATCGCGAGCTACCGGTAGCTCGTGGAGGCAATTCTGGTAGCTCTCACAACGATTTTAATTTAAAAAATACAAACTGCAAAAATCAGAGAAGCTTCCGAAAATTCCACAAAAAAATCTAATTGTCATAATATTAAACATAAACAGCGGCAACGTTGCGGTGAGCGATCTGCCGCTGACGCCATCAAGCTAGAATCGGCTAGAACCGACCAGCCGGACCAGCGCGTTAGTGTTCGAGAACGATCAGGATTGCTTTGAACGGGATAAATACGCACGGCGCGGCGCCGCGGCGACATTGTGCTTAGTTTAAAACTGAACGCGTAACCAACGTCCAGCGGTTGGGTTAGTAAAAAACAACAAAAAATAATATTATGGCAAGCAGTTGTAAGAAGGTAAAGACATACCACTTTTATTCGGAATGGGAAGAACAATACTTATTTACAGAAGTTAAAGATAAAAATGTGTGTTTGTTATGTAATACTTCGGTCTCCGTTGCTAAAAAAGGAAATATTGAGAGACATCATAAAACTGTACATTCTAATTTTGAAAAATCATTCCCACTACATTCTGCCGCCAGAAAGGAGAAACTGAAACAGTTAAAAAAGCAGTTAATTGGACAACAATTAATATTTTTAAGAACAGTCGACAAAAATAAGGCTGCAACTGAAGCATCGTACCGTGTGTCAAAAAGATGGAGTTTTGGGAACAAAACCTAATTAACAGCGATGCCAAGCATTTTCCTATTCTTTCAGAAAAAATATCTCAAAATCCATTAGAACCCTATGACAGCAAATATCATGTAGAAATAGTTTCTACCCTGAAGAATAACTTCAAAAATCGTTTTAAGGATTTCAACGAAATGGCTTTAGTAGCGCAGTTTGTTGTTTCACCCTTTATGGAAATTGATATCCACCAGTTTGCAACTTGTGTTATGCAGAACTTTGGCGAAGATATCGCTGCAACAGAAATGGAAGTAATTGAGTTTCAAAATGATTTAGCATTAAAATCGTTAGTCTCAAGTACCAAATGTATCTGGCCTATTGTAAGTAAAGACAAATATTCAGTTCTATGCCGTGTTGCCTTGAAAGTGAAAGCATTATTCAGTTCAACCTATTTGTGTGAATCTTCTTTTTCCAATATGAAGTTTATTAAGAACAAATATCGCAATCGACTTACAGATGAACATTTGGATAATTGTATTCGAATGGCTGTATCAAATACTGCAAACATTAAAAAAATTATCTATGAGTCTGAGTGTCAGCCTTCTCATTGAACGTGCTTTTTTATTTTTCAATGTTTATGTTCATGATAGTGCGTTACTTTTTTGTTATTATTAACTATTTTTAAATCTTACGTGACATGCCGTTGTGGCTGGATAAAAGTTTGTGTTTATTTTTCAAACACCTTCGTTTGGTAGGTAGGAATGTAGCTATGAACAAGTACGTACTAGTAATATTAGTTATTTTGTTATTAGTTTATTATTAGTACTTATGTATTATGTATTACCAGTTAAATAGTAAAATAAATACATATAATGATAAATTAACTGTGGATTATTTCATTTACGTTGCGTTACGTGGCTTCCGTGTGGGTAGCTCGCTGTTTATTCCAAAATTAACAAAGTAGCTCAACACATTGAGAGGTTGGCGACCACTGCAGTCTATACGGTATAACAAAGGCGTAATTTTATATCCACTCGCGGCTGCTAGATGGTAGTCGCATCAATTTTAAAATATTAACGTTTGCCCCTCCACTTTTCGAAAACGATGACACATGTGGAAATTGACAGTGTCGTCAGTGAGCCTGAATTGGTCTCTTGTGGTGTTCCTCAGGGTACAGTATTGGGTCCATTATTATTCCTGATATATATATAAATAATTTATTAAAGCTCAATACCACAGGAAAAATTATGAGTTTTGCGGACGATACTGCCATTCTTTACGAGGACTCGAATTGGAATGATTTAAAAAGTCAAACTGAAAAGGATTTTAAGAAAATACAATTGTGGTTCCAACATAACCTTCTCACACTAAATATTGAAAAAACGCACTATTTACCATTTACATCATATGAAAATAATCTACCGAATTTTAATACTTTAGAAATAGATCAGTCCAGTGCAATTCCAGCTGCAAAATCAGTTAAATATCTAGGTATCATAGTTGATAGACATCTAAGATGGGACCTTCATATTAAATCGGTTGTACAAAAATTAAGAGGCATGTTAGGGAAATTTAGACACCTTAAAAAATTGTTAACTGAAGTTCACCTAAAGACGCTCTATTATGGATTAATTCAATCGCAGTTGAGTTATGGAATAATAGGATGGGGCGGAGTAAGTAACTTTTACCTACAAAAAGTAGACATTATTCAAAAATGGTTAATAAAAATAATATATGGGAAAAGTCGTACTTACTCCACAAACTTCCTATTTAAATTATCGGGGCTATTAGATATTCGGCAGATTTTTTGTTTAAAAATATTATTATTTACTAAACAAAAAAAAATTAAAATAGAACCCATTTCTCACAAGTACGAAACGAGAATTAAGAGAAGAGCATATATTACACCAAGATGCGAAAAAACTGCAGGTCAAAAATGCTGTTCCTATCTAGCACCTAGAATATTTTCAATAATTCCCGATTTTTTAAAAAATATACAACAATACAAACACTTTAAACAAAAAATTAAAAAATGGATAGGGGAAAGTGACAGAACAATATTTCATAAGTTTGTAAATTCAAATATGTAAATAATATAAAATGTGTAAATAATATAATATAGGTAAATAATATAATATAAAATAATAGACTTGAATTTAACGTTATACCTAATTACATTACATAAAATTACGACAACATGATTAGAACAATATTCCCGATTATAACAATACACCCGAATATGACAATACACCCGATTATGACAATACACCCGATTATGACAACTCATATAATTATGAACTATTCTTGATTTTGACAACTCACCTAATTCTGAAATTTCATTGTAATCTTTTAGTTCTCGAATGATAATAGAAATTATTATAATAATTAAGATTAATATTAAGGATACAAATGTATGAACTTACTAAATAAGTATATCACAATACAAGCTGAGCCTCTTCTGGGGTGACGCTTCTGTGATTAGTCGTAGTTTATTCAGCATAATATTGTAATTTTACATGTAAATATTTTTTGGTATTGAATAAACTCATTATTATTATTATGAATCAGTTGTGCCTGCAACTCTAAGGGAGACGTTACTTACTCCATGGTTAAATGTCGTATTTGCTATTTAGGACAAGTTCTTTGTGATTTATGTGCCCAAATTTGAAAGTAATAATATTCGTTTTTCGTCTCTCCTGAAAAATTTATAATTTTGCATTTGCGTCATTGTTTTACCGGAACAGCAATATATAAACCAATGTCATTATTGTGTAGTTTTTATTATTTTTCTTTGCAATTGCATTTATTTATATATTTCACAATATCTTCAAAGTTTTATTAATAATCATTGAATGGTTATTAGCTTATATCAGTTCTAGTACTAAACGTCACACGTCGACAACGTCAAAAAACAGCAACATTAGCGACCTCTAGCGCTGATTGGAGTTTTATGGATGAAATATTATATGTTCAGATCAATGTAAAAGAGAAAGAAAGTCATATATGTAATTTAAATGTACTACAAAACAAATTTTTCTATTAAGATACCCGTCTCTGTTGTCTCTAGTATTAGATATTCACAAAAAAATGTACTGTTTACACGGCGCCAAACTATCATGTTCAGATTAGCGCGAATTTTATCGCTTTAGAATTAATTGTATGCTATTTTATTAACTATTTTGCTTAGAATTTATTATTTTTGCAGATCGTCGTAACTTATGCATCCACATACGTTTTAGTGGCTCTAAGCATAGACAGATACGATGCCATCAGACACCCGATGAAATTTTCTGGTAGCTGTAAGTATCTCAAAATCATAGAACTCAGTTTCGTAGAATTAAAAATGGTGTAATTAAAAATAAAGAAAAAGAAGTGGAATTGCGTCACTGGAGGAAACATTCGAAAGAACTTTTTGTAAAAAATAATTAGGTGTATAGGATGTTTTTAATGTCAATATTGGAAAAAGGAAACGTTTTATTAGTTTTAATGTAATTGGTAATTTTTAGTTTTTGTGGATTTTTACAAAATTGTCAATTAGGTTTGCTTACGGGATACCACTGGAGTTAATAATTTTAATCCAATCAAGTTTAAATTATATTCTTACAGGACTGCAAGTTTAATAAAATTAGTAAAAAGGGCAATTGAGATATTAACGAAAAATTATTTTTTTTCTTAAGGTGATTACAGCACCCCTTATAATTTACGAACAAGCATATCTCAAAAAGTAATTTTTTTAAAAAAGTTAAATTTTGGCAAAATCAATGAGGTAATAATATCTAAAATATGCATATATTTTAAAGTTTTAGTTCCTTCCAGTTTCCAAAAAAAAATCAAAGGGCTTTAAATTTTGAAATATCATAATGAAAATAAATGCATTCCTCAACAGCACTATTCTTAATACAATCCCCAAATTTAAGCTTTTAATCTCTTGTTAATGATTTTTTAAAATTCGCCGAAATTAGTGGCTAACACGCCTCGTTAAGTGCTATTTTCTGGTTTAAATCATTGCAAGAAACGAATGATGACTCAGAGTGTACGATACGATAGTGACAGTCGGTTACACGAGAAAGCAGCACTTAACGAGGCGTTTTAGCCACTAATTTTAAAAAATCATTAACAAGAGATTAAGAGCTTAAATTTGAGGATTATATTAAGAATACTGCTGTTGAGGAATGCATTTGAATCGTTTATTTCAAAAACAACCTAAGTCACTTTTTGAGATTTTTTGAGAGGTGAAAAAAACGTTTTGAACTAGGACTAGAACTAACGTTATTTCAAAAATAAACGAAAATTTTATATTGTCATATAACTAAGGAGGTTTACGGAAGTTACGATTTTCTGCAATAAACGTGTGTTACTCTGAAATTACAAAGATTTTTTTCTTGGAAACTAAAAATAATTAAAACTTTAAAATATAAGCATATTCTAGATATTATTGTCTAATTTATTTTGCCAAAATTTTAACTTTAAAAAAAATTACTTTTTGAGATATGCTTGTCCGAAAATTATAAGGGGGTGCTGTACTCACCTTAAGATTTAACACCCTTTATCTTAAAAATAAAGGAATTTGGAGTATATTTACAAGAAATTTTAATTATTTTCAATATTGACATTATATTAAAGAAAACTCTGTACAATTTTATTTTTTTTTTTTTTTTAGGGAGAAGAGCCAAATGTCTCATCATAACTGCTTGGTTGATAAGCGTTCTGTTTGCAATTCCAATTTTGATACTTTACGAAGAAAAGTTAATACAAGGTAAACAGTGAAAAGTTGAAAATAAGTATTTTTACAAACGAATTAGGTATACTAAGAATAGAAAAAATAATTAAGGTTTGCTTATCCATATGTAAATCAGACGACGAAAAGCGCATTTCACTGGGCGAAGTTTTCTTTTTGTCTAATACATGATTTGCATCAATTTTGTAAACAAATCATTTACATAACCGGTTTAAAAATTAGAATTTTTGTGTTTTCTTGTAATTAAGATTTTTACAGATTTAAGTAAATATAGGTACATTTTATTTAAATAGAATTTTACAGATAATTAATAGTTTTTTTGTTAATTAAAAAGAATGTAGGATATTACTATGAAATTAGAATGTTCAATTTGATAAATTTTTAATGGTCCTATATATATTATGGCAACAATTTAAAAAAATAATTTTATTTAGTAATCAAGAGAACTTTGTTCTTTTCAATTAATAATTAATAAATACTTTTAATATATGTTTTTAGGTAAATTTAGTGAATATTACACAATTATTACTTATAAACATAGTTAACATTTTTAATAACTGTTCTATTTTGTTCAAGTTTCATTCTAATATTTGGTAACGTGAATCCAAGAAAAATCGGCTTACCTATAAAAGCAGAAACAAACTGACCAAGTAGTTGAATACCATAGCTGGCAGGCGCTATATCAATGAGTACGAGGTATAACGTAGTGGTATTTCTGAAATAAGAGTGGTCTAAAATTATTTACATCTATCTGTTATAAAAATTGTTTAGATCTGTTACGTGGAAAATAAATTTTCAAAATACCTGATATAATATCGTGTCTTGAAGTAAAAATTAAATTAATTTTTTTTTCTAAAGATTTAAATGCTGTTTTTTTTTAATACATTTATGCTAGAACGGCTCTATTCAGTGCGCATTTCGTAGTTTTATTTACAGATGGGTGAGCACTCTATATAATTATGTATATCATTGGGTGTCTTATAAACATCTAAGTTGGATAAAAAATATTTCGAATTTCGACTAACATCAAGCTAAAAACAATATTATTAGTATTAGTCTCAATTTTATTTATTAATTTATATTTTTTTTAAATGTTATTGTTATACTTTTAAATTCAGTGCTACATAAATGCCGATATTTTGACATTGTAAACATTGGATACATTTACTTGAGTACAACTTTACAATTTATTGTCACTTAGCCATTTAAATCTTTTTCTCAAAATTTATATAATTTCCCGATTTTAATAATTTTTCACATTTGATATCATTTTGACCATATACATGATAATTTAAAATATCCTTTATCATTTACTTGCAATGTTTAACCCATTTAATTATAAAATTAAACGCTAGAGAGGGCTAACTTCGTCAGTAATGCTGCCTCTATATTTCACGCACGCTCCCTATATCGACGTTGTTTTTTATACACTCATCGCTTTCAGAGCCAAATTAAATACTGTTGGAAAGGTGACGAAATATGTAGTTTAACTGTTGTTTTCTCGTTTTTTTTTTTATTTTTTATTATATTAAAAACGTCTTTGTAAATCTAAAGGTAACTAATTTACAATAAAAGCAAATAGAGAATCTTGCCGGTTTTTTGTTGTTGTTTATTGCAAGTTATAAAATTGTTGAAATTTTTTTAAATACACAATTTTTTTTTTAACAAAATGTTTATATAACTTTTTAGGAGACACTGTATGATATCGTTAACAACAATGTCGGAATACACATTGCTGTTAACGAAGAGCACGTTGCAATCTATTACAAATTTTGTTCCAAAGAGTTTTATACACATAAGAAAGAGTTTTATTATTAAATACTATTTACACTCTGTAATTATCTCTAATATTTTATTGTTAGTAATTATATGTAAATTATAAAAGAAAAATCTTTGTTTAGGGCAAAATCAATGCTGGCTTCAATTCTCTGAACAGTGGATGTGGAAGTTATATATGACCTTAGTGTCTGTCAGTTTATTCTGCATTCCAGCCATAATCATCACGTCCTGTTACGCCATAATCATAGTAACAATTTGGACAAAAAGTGCCAACAGTTTTCATAATATGAAAAGCAAAAGCAACGGCGAAAGGAAAGGTATCCTATATTACTTACATTATATTTATTGTTAACTAGAAATTATTTTTACAAATTAAAATTAAGAAATACGTTTATATAAATAGAATAGATTTCAGAAATGATTGATATCAATGTTCATAATTGAATCGGTTCATTGAAAAGATAATTTTTAGGTGTTTTAAATGGATAATATAATCGGTATTTTACTTCTCAGGTGTTTTCAATTTAAGGTTCAGACAGTATGAGAAGGGCCAGCTCAAGAGGTCTTATCCCAAAGGCTAAAGTCAAAACCATCAAGATCACCTTCGTCATAGTCTCAGGTAAATATTCGGAAAATGTTTCTATTTTATTTAAATTACGAGATTTTTTCCTAATTTCGAACTAAATCAGTAGAGCACCTTAGTTTTTTGAATAAGGATAATTTCCTGACATTAGCAGAATTTTATATAAATAAAGATTTCCTAGGTTTATTCAGTCGTTTTTATTTTAGCACAGCACTCATTATTATAAAAACAGTTATTATACGCCTTAAAACCAGAGCCAGATTATTTAAGATTATTTAAGAAGCCTATTCAACTAATATTAAAAGAAAGACGAGAATAACTGTTTTTATAATAATTAGTGCTGTGCTAAAATAAAAACGACCGAATAAACCTAAGGAATTTTTATTATTAGTTTTTTGAGGTTTTATATAAAACATCTATCACAATTTCTTAAGCAATGTTTTATATGTTTAAAGACCTTAAAAATAGATTAAAACGTAGCATGGTTGTTTTAAAAATAAAGGAAAAAAAAAACAAATCTTGGTGCTTTTTTTTGGTTCGTTCGAAGCTAGCAGAGCATCCCGTATTTTTAAAGAGAACAAACATTTTCGAAAAGCTTTATATTTCAAGTGCCAAAAAATAGCTTTAAAATGTAGCACAGATGTTCTTAGAAGAAAAAAAAACGAGGTGCTCTGTTGGTTTCGTTCTAGCAAATCACCCTATATTATTTAAAATTACTATATTTTTTTAAAGTTTAATAATATTTCAAGAGTCTAAAAATAGCCTAAAAATATGGTGTGATTGGTTTTAGAGAAAAACTTTTTCTATAACCATTTAAAAATCAACAACTTTTGTCACGTTTTACTCCAACCGAAAACGCCAGTTCCGACACTAGTGGTAGAATATCCCATAGCGTTAACTTTCGTCTCTAGTGACGAAAGTAAGTGGTTACAATTACAGATATTATAAAATTATTGTTGCAGTCTTAGAATTCATTTTTAGGATTTTATAAAGGAGAAGTTTAATTATAATATAAAGGTAGATGCCAAAACAAACATGATAAAACAGAGTAAAACGGCTGCGCCTCGTTTGATAAACTTTTCTCTCGTTTGCAGAAAATGCTACTTTCGTCACTCATTAAACAATATACTATTAAAAAACCGTGGAGCTCAACTGGCTTCGTTCGAAACTAGCACAGCACCTTGATTTCAGTAGATAGACTAAGTTACCATGGTGACACATAGGGAATCCAATGTGTAAGAGTGAGAGGTACATATTCAACGGGACAAACGGCATTATGTAGATAACTCGGTATAGATAACGTCGAACAGAAAAATCATGCGCAGAACGAAGGACCCGAAGGGCCTTAGCGTGTTTCTCGGATATTACTGGTCCGATTCAAACGTTAAAAATCGTGCGCAGAACGAAAAGCCAGAAGAGCCTTAGCGTGTTTCTTGGATATTACTGGTCCAATTCAAACGGGAAAAACGGCATTATGTAGATAACTCGGTTTAGATGAACGTTGAAAAGAAAAATCATGCGCAGAACGAAAGCCAGAAGTTCCTTAGCGTGTTTCTCGGCTACTATGGGTCCGATTCAAATGAGGAAAACGGCATTATGTAGAGAACGTGGTATAGATGAACGTTGAAGAGAAAAATCCTGCGCAGTGACAGACCAAAAGAGCCTAAAACTTATATCTTTGTTATTGTTGGTCAGATTTAAACGGCAAAAACGGCATTATGTAGAAAACGCGGTATATATTAACATCGAACAGAAAAATCATGCGCAGTGATAGGTCAAAAGGGCTTAAAACTGTGTTATTGTTGGTCGGATGTAAACGGGAAAAACGGTATTATGTAGAGAACCATTAACGTTAAAGAGAAAAATCCTGCGAATGCCAAAAAAGCCTAAGCGTGTTTCTCGGTTATTACTGGTCCGATTCAAACCGGAAAAATGTGATATAGATAAACGCTGAAGAGAAAAATCATGAGCACAACGAAAGTCAGAAAGGCCTAAGCGTTTATCTCGGATATTATCAGTCCGATTCAAACGGGAAAAACGACATTATGTAGAGTACATGGTATAGATGAACGTTGAAAAAATCGACGTTTCGTTTGATGTTTCATTTGACGTTTCGTTTGACGTTTTCATTGGACGTTTTCATTTGACGTTTGATATTTCGTTTTATGTTTAACGTTTCGTTTGACGTTTTCGTTTGACGTTTTATTTGACGTTTTCGTTTGACGTTTGCCATTTCGTTTGACGTTTGCCATTTCGTTTGACGTTTGCCATTTCGTTTGATGTTTTCGTTTGACATTATTCTATACCGCAGTTATCTACATAATGCCGATTTTTCCGTTTAAATCTGATCAACAATAACTACGCCTGATTTTTCTGTTCGACGTTAATCTATACAAAGTTACATAATACCGTTTTCCCCGTTTAAATTGTACTAGTAATATCCAAGAAACACGTTAAGGCCCTTCTGGCTTTTCTGGCCCTTCTGAGCATGATTTTTCCCTTCGACGTTAATCTATACCTCGTTCTCTACATAATGCTGTTTTTCCCGTTTAAATCCGACCAGTAATATCCGAGAAACAAGCTAAGGCCCTTCTGGCTTTTAGTTCTGCGCATGATTTTTCTGTTCGACGTTAATCTATACCGAGTTATCTACATAATGCCGTTTTTCCTTTTTAAATCCGACCAATAGCAATAAAGATACACTCTGTCTTACTCTTGCTCATTGAATATGTACCTCTCACTCTTACACATTGCATTCCATATGTGTCACCATGGTAACTTAGTCTATCTACTGATTTCTGTAAAAAAAACGAGGCATAGCATTTTTGAATGGGGTAAAAAAGTAGCCTTAAAATAACCTACACATATGACAAAGGTTTCAATTGAATCGTTCATTTCAAAAACCACATAAGTCATTTTTTTGCCAATTTGAGTTTTTACTACGAACCGCATCTACGGGGGTAAATACATCTTCAGTGTAAAAACCACACAAGTCCCATAGCCCGTTAATTGCCTACTTCGCTCTCAATTTCAGTATTCGCTGCAAAAACCACATAAGTCTGTGACTAGCGTTGTTCTTACGCGGACTATTAGGGCGGTGTGGTGGGGGACCAAATATGGCGATCATTTGTTTACATATTATTATTTGCTAGTCGCCGGCATTCTAGTATGTGCATTGTACTGTTCTAGACGTATAAAGCGTAGTTTTCAGTAGAAAATATGTCTGATTCTGAAGCATCAAGTGAACGTAGCGAACCTGAACCTTTAAAAAAAAGGCAAAGACGTTCTAAAACTTATAAGAGGAACGTTATTAAAATGTCAAAAGTTAAAGGACTCCAACATATAAACTGGTCTGGAAATATTATACCAGCTCGTGTTACTGGACCGGACTGCATGTAAGTTTTTCTCTGCAACTAATATCGATCATTATAAAGGAAAATGTTTTAGATGTATCATTTTCCTTTATTCATTTATCAGAGGTATAAACCGTCCATCTTATTGATAGTACGTATGTTGCATTGTTTTAGGTGTAAGATGTCATGCTTTGAACGACTAACTCGAGAAGACCTAGACTTTTGTATTGACAAAATAAATGGATTTTTAAATAAAAATGAACAAGACATCTATCTACAACAGCTGATTGAAAAAGATCCTGTAAAATGTCATCGATTTCGCAAAGAAGGTGCAATACCAAGGGTTTATCATTTTAAATATTGTGTACATACTCAAAACAAAAAGGAAACTGTCTGTAAGAAAGCATTTACTTCTATATACGGCATCACCGAAAACCGAGTTAGACGTCTTAGTACCTTACTGCAACAATCCATTACACCGCACGACAAACGAGGCCAACATCAAAAGGTCAACACCACACCTCCTACTGTTTTAAAAGCTATTCATGACCACATTCTTGATTTTCCTCGAAAACGAACGCACTATTCAGGCAAAGAAATTGAATATTTAGATGCCCGCCTAGATGTCAAAACAATGCATGCTATGTTCAGAAAAAAATTTCCAGAATTGAAAGTTACCTATGCTTTTTATGCAAACTATTTTAAAACAACATTTTCTCTACGTTTTGGACGACCCCAGATAGATACATGTATTGAATGTGAAGAATTAGAGGTAAAAATAAAAAGCCCTACGTTAGGCTTTAACGCAAAGAAAGCATTTGAAGCCGAAAAGGCAGTTCACAATAGGCGGGCAAAAAAATTTCATAACAAAATCGCCGCAGTAAAACAAATTTGCACTAGTCAGGATGACTTTGCATGCTTGACCTTTGACTTCATGCAAAATTTACCTTTGCCGCATCTACCCATACAAGAAATATTTTATCTGAGACAGCTATGGGTTAATTGTTTTGGGATAAAAAATTTGAAGACTAATGAGACTGTGTTTTATGTATATCATGAAGGCATAGCAAACAAAGGAGCAAACGAAGTTTGTTCAATGCTTCTACATTACATGGACAACTTTTTAGGAGAAAATATTAATGAAGTAATACTCTTCTCAGATAACTGTCCAGGCCAAAATAAAAATCATACAGTCATACGATTTTTACTATCATTGACAGACACAGGCCGATTTTCGAAAGTAACGCATTATTTCCCTATAAGAGGACATTCTTTTCTTCCCAACGATCGAGACTTCGGAGTTGTGAAAAAAAAGATTAAAAAGTGTGACCGTATATATGTTCCTAATGAGTACTATAAGATTATGTCAGAAGCAAGCCCCAATTTTAAAGTCTTTATGTTGTCAACAGAACAAATTTTAGATTTTGCTAAATGGTGGCCAAAATTTTATAAAAAAGTATGTTTGTCAGATGAGAGCTTTGGTAAGCACATTCCAAAAGAACTGAAACAGTCATTCTCACTATCTTGTTACATGGCATTCCAGTATGATAAAAATAGAAAAGGAGTAGTGGTTGTTCATGAGTTTATAGATGGTTTACGTAGACATACATTTGACTTGACCAGAAACAAAGCAAGTGCCATCTTACTACCCACAGAAAATGCATATCCAGCCGGCAGTGTTCCCATAAATCCCAAAAAGATAGAAAATATCAAACGAGTGAAAAATAGTGTCATCCAAGAACATATTCCATTTTATGAAGGAATTTTCAACTGGCCAACTGGAGAGGAAAATGACGGTCCAGATGTCGAAAACGACGAAGAATTTGATTATTTTCCATAATCTTTTTATTTTTAATTATTTAACTGACGTATTATATTTAAAAAAAAACTCAAATAAACCATTTATCTTAATATTTTTCTGTTTATTTATTTTTAAAATTAAAATTTAATTCCTCAAAATAGAATTCCGTGTAAAAACCACACAAGTCATTTTATAATTTTTTTTTTTATGAAAAAACCATTCATATGTTTATAGTAATTTCATCAACATTAGTTATAGTCATGTAGTTTATATTAAAAAAAAATACGTTTTTTCACTTTATAAAGATACTTTTTGTGCAAAACAGTTTTTTCGCTCTACTGAAAAATTAACTATTTTGACTTATGTGGTTTTTGAAATGAACGATTCAATTCAAAATCTGTTAGGTGCTTTGCTGTCTTCTCTGGCATTTAAAAACTAAATATAAATACATATGCAGCTATTTGTCTTAAAAAATCATATTTAGTGTTTACAAGCAAGTTTAGTAATTTGTTGATAATAATCTGTTTATAGAAAATTTATGTTTGCATAATAATACTAGAATACTATTTCCCAAATAGGTAATGTAAATTTGGTGCATTAGTTTATTTTAGTTTCTTAAAGTATGCTTGAAAAAAATAACAAAATATTTTACATATTTTTAGATTTTGGATATTGTCAAAAATAAAGATAGTTGTTTATTCTTGGACCACATTTATATTTTGTGTCATACCCCGTATATCAGTGTGTGTTTTAGAGTTTTAGACCACGCATCCAAAAAGCGTATCGTCCAATCATCCTTATGTAATTTTCTCTAAAAATTATTTTTCTAATATAACAATAAAAAAATTTAAATAAAAAATTATTATTTTTTAGTGTTTATCCTGTGTTGGAGCCCCTACATAATTTTCGATCTGCTACAAGTATACGAGCAAATTCCGCAGACCCAAACGAATATCGCCATAGCGACGTTTGTCCAAAGTCTGGCGCCGTTAAATTCTGCAGCCAATCCAATCATTTACTGCATATTTTCGACACATTTTTGTCGCACGCTTTGGTAAGATCATCATTATATAATTGTTAAAATAAGCGCAAGAAAATTACTCAAAAATTTAATATAAATCAGATTTTCGTAAAACATTAATTAAATCCAATCCATCCTATGGGTGGTTGAACAACAGCAAAATTGGTGGGACATTTTTTCAAAAAACATTTGTTTAAACATTTTTTTTTTGTTCAAACTTTCATATGATGAACTTTGGATTTAATTTTTTTCTTTATTTGTTATCTGATAATGGCCATGTTAGGCCGAAACTAGTAGGTTTTTTACTTCATAATCGACCACACTTGAAACAGTGGGTAATCTTTCATTCCAATAAAATATCTACATGTTTTTTAGGTTGTTACCGCCCTGTAAATGGATATGTAAAAAACGGAAACGTAGACCAAGAGATTCTACATTAACCACGACGCAGAGCAGCAGTTTGTCGGAATTTTTGACCAATACTCACAAAAAGAGGACCGATGGAGCTGTAACGCTTGCTCGGAATCATACAGTATTAGTACATACCAAAAAATAGGATACAATCTTCAAATATATTTATTCATGTTGTATATCTACGTAATTATCTGTTAAAAGAAAAATAAAGTATAAAAAAAACAGTTCTAATTTTTGTTGCAGAGCACTGCAAAATCTACCCTTTTGATACGTCTATGGCGAGAATACTAATGCCGCGTTAGAATATCCACATCCGATGCATTTTTTACATTGGACACATCTAATACATCTACATTTGCGTTTGTTTATCTGATATGTCCAGATTACATTTTTTACATCTCGATTTGAAATGAGATGTTCGTTCTATGCCAGAAAGTAAGTGTTCTGTGAAGCCAAGTTTTTCAATTTATCCTTTGTTTATGCTAGCATGAATATAAAAGTGATTAGTTTGTTTAGATTTCAAATTTAGGTTGATTTGTAGTCTCAAAAGTCAAATTCAAAAAGTATAAACTTCTAACTTGTCATTGCCATTTTATCACGTGACCAATAAAGTCTAGAGCGTTTGTTTATTACTTCTACATTCAGATTTAATTATCTATCACGTGATAAAAAATTCACATCTCAGATGCATCCGAGTAGATATTCAAACGCGGTATAAGACCATTTTTCCATCAGCAAGATAACAAGTGAATTCTACATTATTTACTCATTTTGATAGAAGATTATTGAGAGAGTCACATCAAAACACCGCTTTGGGTAAGATCTCTGGTTCGATAAAAGTAAAAATACTATTTAACACAAACTATTTATTCTCAGACAAGCTTTTCCTCGATTCTCCGCTGACAGATAACCAACAAATTCTCGAATTCACTCGAGATTCTCCGCTCCGCTCAGGATAGTCACTAGAAGCGTTTATAATTCGTTCCCCATCCCGCAAGGAGCAAAAAAAACTCATTGAAATCTAGTTCTTAGATCAACTAGATACTAATGCGCATGGGCAATCAGTGGGGCATACTTTTGAAGATTGATGCAGGGCCAAAAAATAGTTTTAACCCAAGACAAAACACTGTTCTGCACCTCTGATCAACGCGAAAAGTGCCGAAAACACATGAAATTCTACACCGACAAAAATTCACCTGTCACAAGTCAACTGTCAACGCCGGGCGGGAAAATTCTCAGCTAAATTTTGTTCGTCAAATTCTCCGAACCTGCTCAAATTCTCCGGAAAGCAAAGAATTCTCCGCCCATTGGCAACACTAACAACGATTCTTTTAGAGCAAAACTCCTGCTAATAACAAACTATTGCGAATTGTTACGAATGTAAAGCGCCGTTGGCAGATCCGACCAGATTCTTAATATCCAAGGAAAAACTAAAAAATTAAATTTATCTCTAACAAAGATGTACCCCTACATGTTAGAGCCAACATGTGGTTTATACACGACGGGGTTACCGCTCATTAAAGTGTTTTTGCACGTCAGCATCTGGACATCACCTACCTACCCTAATCGCTTGATTGGACGTGCTATAGACCTCAAAATTGGCCACCTCGCAGTCCTGATATGAATCCTCTACATTTTTATTTATAGGGTCGTCTGAAAGCTCTTGTTTATAAAACTCCTGTACTAGATGTGAATGACTTGATGAATTGGATAAATGAAAATTGCAATGTCGTGTATTTTATCAGAAGGTTATTTTACTCATTTACTTTAGGTCGAAATTGTTTATTTTTTATTTTTGGTTTTTATTTTATGTTGTTCATTGATAGTTCTTAGAATGAATAAAAGTGATTTTTATTTATATTTTCTCGAAAACAAAGCTAAATATCAAGAAATCACAAGAGACCAAAAAGTTTTTTCTCAATAATATCCCAGGTAGCACAAAAACATCCCATCTACGTTAATGAGCTGCAATTTTAGGCTTTTTAAGCTCGCATGCAATGAACTTTTAATGTAACCCTAATATTCCTACAATGCCGAATAGTGATGCCGCGAGACGAGAAATTCTCGTCTCCCGTCTCGTCTTGTTTCATCTCGAACGAGACGAGAGAGACATTTTCTCTCGAAAACAGATTCGAGACGAGAAGAGAGAGTGTCATCTCTCGACGAGAATTTCTCGTTTCTCTCGAGCTCTCTGGAACAATCTTCTCTTTGCTTATTTGAAATTTTCAATTGCTTATCGTAACTTAAAATTTTAACATATTAGATATTTCATTTCATTTATTTAAAATTTATACAATCATTTCTTATATTTAACCCATTCTGTTTTTCTGAGGTTACTTTTGAAGATAAGTTGAACATTTTTAAGGTTTTTTTCGAAAAACTGTCAAAGAAAAGGTAATACAAACGAATGTATTATATACAGTGAGGACGAAAATTGTACCCTCCACTATTTTAACTTCTAAATGAAAAAAGATAATGACAAAACAAAAACGAGGTAAAACTCAAGAGATATTATATTTTTATTATAATGAGATGCACTTTACTTGGGACACGTAAGATAGAGGGAGTTACTAGCTTTAAATTTTCTAATGGAAAGTAGGGTCACGTGATACATCATTTAAAATATATTTTCTATATTGCAAACAGGTGATTAGGAATATTTTTTCTGTATTACTAATATGTTATAGGATAGGGGGTTAAATTTACAACCTATTTTATGTTAGAACTTTTGTCGGGTTGAATTTTATAAATTAAAAATATTTTTTTTCTGACAGTTTTCCAACAAAAAACTAAAATAGGGAAATCTTATATGGAATGAAAGATAATTTAAATGTCTATCAGTTTAAGTTATTAAATACAGGGTGTGCCATTTAAAATAAGAATATTATTCAACTCCATATGTAAGTTGAATTCAATAAGACTAAATAAACACCCTGTATGATGTAATGGAAACATTTACATTTTATTCGATAGTCTAATATCTTGGCTACGCATATCGTAGGTGACTGTTAATGTGTTTTAAATAACCGCGACATACTAGATTGTTCAAGCTTACAAATTAAGAATTCTTTAAATGTTTCAAAAACGAAAAAAGGTAGGTATAGGAAACATTACAGAAACTTTACTTTATTTTTTCCGGGAAATCAAAAGACACCATCAAATGGTGTTCCCTTTAAAGAAACATAACTTTGATATAAATTCCTATTTTTTGGTCACCCTGCATAATCCAAATTATTTTTAATTTGTAGTGTTAATGGCCCTGTATATCCGTATTAAGAAAAAAAATTCAAATTTTAAGTCGTTTTCCCAACAGAGACCGACGCGTATAGAATGCGCCACCCTGTATATATTTTTTGAAATGTATAAAAAAAAAATTAATTTGTATACTTACGACTTTTTGGGATACCCTGTAAATTGTTATTTTAAGAAATCAAAATTAAAAGAATAATATCATATTTTTTACCTATTCCTATCAACACTTAATATTTTGCTCTATACAGAAATTTAAAAGTATTTTACTCTTTATTATAAATCATTATTTTTTATTTTCCCTGTATATTACCTAATTTTTTTTTTTTTTTGTTAAATGCAATATATACCTTTTTTTATTTATATAACAAGATATACCATTTTTTACATACAACTTTTTGAGATACTCTGGAGTATATGTAATTTTGTCTAATTTAAATTAAAACAATTATCAAAAACAAAATTAATATTTTTTTTTAAATAAATTTAATTATTATGAATTTAAAAATTAGGTAATATCTTCTTACCTATCAAAACGTTTGGCAACGATGTACACATGCGTCAAAATATTTGCTTAAAAAATGTGTAATTTTTGAGATTTTATTATTTATTCCACTTTAACATGAATAAAGAGCAATTTTATATTAATTTTCATATTTTTTCGCCTACCATAATGTGAAAATGAATCATATAAACCCTAAAAATATGACCGAAAGTAACGTATGTCGTCCCATGGGCTACTAAATTCATAACAGCCCGATTTTGTAGTTTTTCACTAGATATCTAGATACCTTTGACTGTCACTTGCGTACTTTGACGTTTCACATAAATATTAATTACTACAATAAATAAATTCGTACATTTTACTACTTAAGTTTCTTGTATTTGTAAAATTAAAGATTTTCGTTATATTTTCCTTTTGGTAGGCCAAAAACAATTTTGTAGCCGTGGGCTGCTAAAGCTCATTTTCTGCCCTTGTGACACAATATACTAAACTACTACCATCTAACAGAGCAAAAAATATTTTGAAATTCATGTCTGTAAAGTCAAATGTACCTTTTCGAATGAAAACAATACAAATCTTATTACATTAAATTGGTAGTTCATTAAATTTAAGAAATTATCTAAGTATTATAAGAAAGAAAAATTTTACCTTATCAATTTGATTTTTCATTTTTTTACCACAAAATTAGAATAATTCTAATAAATATTCTCAGTTAACTGTCATTGCACAATTCACAAACACCACTTTTAAAATTAATACAGATGATTTGATAAAAAAACATGTAAACACTTTTTTCTCTGGTTTAGTGAGAGGAAATCATTTGTGCGCATGTACAAAAATGTTATGTAGGTATAAAAATTAAAATTGACAAGGATGGGTATAAAAGACATAAAACAACGTATATACGAGGTGTATAGGATATATAGGAATAATTATATTTTTTATTTAAATTTAATTAACAATAATTACATTGCTTTAATAATATATTTATTTTCCTTACGTGATAATTTCTATGTTGCCGTTTTTACCTAAAATTAGATACGAAAATTTATTTTTATTTCATTTACTAATTTAATATACAAGGTGAAACAAAATTGTAGAGCAATAGTTCTTTGGGTAATAAATATGAAACACACCGTTTGGAGGTACTTTATAGGGGGGCAATGGTTTTAATTTAAGACATATTTATGTTATTTATGAATATAGATGAATATTATTTATAATTTTTTTTTCTATTCATGATTTCTCTAAAATGGACCGTAATGAAGAAATATCAAGAAAAGTGCAAAATGTTTAGTATTTTTGATGGTAATGAAGATAAAATATTTCAAATAATTTTTATCTTTAATTCATATTGTAAATACTTTTTGATTGAGTGGGCCGTATTCAGCATTTTTGATAACTATACAGGAAAGTGATGTGTTGGACACACGTCCTATTTTTATTGTTTAATACCAACTACGCTAGGCATCGATGGATACAAGGGGGCCAGTATCAATAGGATGAATATGGGTAATAGGGAATGGGGCAACTAGAACAATGGAGGAAATGGGGCCAATGAAGGTTATGTGGGTTATATCCCTTCTTTGAGCCTAATAAACAGTGACAGCTGTTATTTAAAAAAAAAAAACTAAAATTTTAAGAAATTATGTTCTTAGTTATTAAAATATCTGCCTCTGGCTCTAAGTATGTAGGTACTATTTAACTAGAAAAAATTATTTTAATTGGTTTTTCCAAATAGAACTTTTTCTAGGAATTGTTGTGAACTTAGATAGATACTACTTATTTTTAGATGTTCTCCACCTATCAACAAGACTTGGAAATGTCAAAGATTTATATGAAGTAATCCACAATTTTTTTTTCTAATATGAAAAAATTCACGTATGTGAAAGAATACAATTCTTTTTTTTAATTGCCAGTTGAGAGCCGTAATACCTACTTTAGGAACATTTTTTTTATCACTCTTTATTTGATAGTAAAAAATGGAAGACAAATAGAAGAAATGTTAAATGTGGTGACACATGTTTCTACTTTATTGAAAAGTACTTACCAAACTTATTCAAACGTATTAGTTTACAAATTCTTTAAAATCTCAAATACATACCACAAGAAAAAGTGACATTTTCCTATGTTTTGTTTTGACTTATGACAAACGAATGGCTACGTTAGAAAACAGTATGATGTTCAGTACTTCTCGTGGATACTTTTTTAGCAAATTACTTTATTACATTGTTATCATAACAGGTAGGTTAAACAGGTAAGTAACAAATATAAATTTTGCGAGGTTTTGATTTCCCTCGAACGTTGCATTTACGTTGTATATTAATGTTATTACGTTCCCTTAAAACAACATCGCCGAAAGGCTTGGCAACATTATGTGCTAGCTGGAATTGAATGTGGTGCCCACTGAGACACCACTGGTGTTGAAGGAATATAACTTAATCATCTACATTTAGTTTTATTTATACTTTGAGTTAGTTGTGGTTAATGTCACTGAATAAATATAGTTGTCAATAAAAAGTAATTCAAGAAGGTACATCTTTTTATTCCGCCATTAAATATAACTAGGCTGCTATAAGAACAAGAAAGAAGTAATGTTCTAACAACTGGGACCCCACAGGTTAAATAACTGTACCAAATTTAAACCAATTTGGTTTAAGGATATTTATGATATTTATAAAATACCAATTTTTTTACTTTCACACCCTTGTAACCACTCGGATGTTTCGTTTATCGCTAGGCTAGGACCACCCTGTCATGATTTACGAGTGCTACTCATTTTTCGTAGAACGATACGTCGGACTGGGACTCATAAGAATATTTGATGATATAAGCAAGCACCGCATTCTTTCATAGACATTCACTCAATACGTTTCATTTTATGTATTATTATTCTTAACACCGATTAAATTCGATTCTATATTAAAATCCGATTTATTTCATTTAAAATTAACATAGTATCTCAGAAATTTATAAAACGATCTAAAGAATCACTCTCTGAGATTTCCTACCGCAGTTAGGAAACACCCTGTATAAAGAAGCGATGTTTTATTGCAATTAAGAAAGAGAAGATGTAAAACATCGACAATTATTCTTATTGTACACAAATTTCATTAAATATAAACGATGTCCCTTTTTTACTACGCCCATGTCCTATGTTTACAAGTTCAAAACCTCCATCGCCATTATACAGATAAAGAGACCGGATAATAGAGGTTATGTCGCCTTGATTACTACCTATTCGGTTGTCGATTTTAATTTTTTCATTAGTCTGTTCTACAATTTATTTTAAAATAAATTCCGTGATCAAAGTAAAACATGTCGTATAGAGACGAAAAGTTTCCCGAGGAGCATCCAAGGAATTTGATACCGGAATTGTGTAGACAATTCTATCATTTAGGTTGGGTTACAGGAACTGGTAAGTAAGGATATCTCTTTAGTTCTAATCTTTTAAAATGTATTTTGATAATATAATTTCCACCTTATTAAAATTTAAAAAGTTTGTTGCATTAATGTAAATATTTACATTTTATATAATTTACTTTTTAATAAATTGGTGTAGGTATTTAGTAAATGAATCTCTTTTAATTCACAGGCGCTCTTTGAATAAATTTAAGAAAATCAAATTAGAGACTTTATTTTTACTTCATCGATAAAATTTGTACTTGATAATAGGCAACTCACATTACACTTACACATTATTCTAAAATCTTAGCAGACAGAGTTGTTTCTTAACATATTTTTGAAAGGTTTATTTTCACAGAATACCTTTTATTTTTTCCGGTAATTTTTAATTAGAAATTTAAATGAATAATTCTAGAAAACAAGCTTAATTAACAAACTTAAAATTAAATTTTTTGACCTTCCTTAAATTTTACCTGAAATCGACATTCAATGCTTCAATAGAGGACTTCTATACAAGGGAAGTGCAACCAACTTGGCAAATTTTTTGACACTAATGACATAAGAAAACGGGTCACATAAAGAGGCTGTTTTTTTGTTGAATTTTATTTTTGGTTTTTTCTATCTACTTTTATGCCGTTTAGATACCATGTTGACTTTTTATTTTAGGGTATTTTACATTTAAAGGTTGAAAACATTTGTCAATATCAGCTATCGATAATGTCAAAACATAAGCGTAGCATTGCATTTTATTTTTTGTTATTAATAGTCTATTTGTGTTTCTCCCGCTTTCTTGAAACATTTTTTTGCATTTGGTTTTATTTATTTGTCGATTGCAAACTGCTACTGCTACGAATACAAGTTCTATACAATATACAACCAACATACAATACTAGTTACGTTATGCCCATCTATGGTTACGCCTGTGTTCTACCATCAACATAATTGACAGCTGACAATGACAAAATGTTTCAATCTTTAAATGTAAAATACCCTAAACAAAAAAGTCTTTTTCACGTCACGGGTACAACAAGGTATGCAAATGGCATAAAAGTAGATAGGAAAAACCAAAAAGCAAACTAAAAAACAGCCTTTTTATGTGACCCGATTTTTTATGTCATTAGTGTCACTTTTATTTTGTTAAGTTGGTTGCACTTCCCTTGTATATTAGAACAGAAGTAAAAGTTGGAAATGCTTTTGCCAGTTCTCCCACTTTATACACATAAATTGACAGGTTGGCACCGGATCTCACCGAACTGGACGCGATACATTGGCGTACAAAATTATTTTATAGATTTTAATAACAATTTCGAGTAAATAGTTTAATAAATTGTGAATAGCTGTTGAAATTTTGTAAAATTATAATTTGAATATTATAATACATGTTTAATAATTATTTATAATCCATAAGTACATGCGATTGTCCGGTTCCGCCGATAACAATTTAAAATTACTTATTCTATGAAACGACACTGGCAGATAAACATTACTGTGAAATTCTCGGAGCCGCCCGACGTGGTTTGACGTTTACTCCCTCTCTACCTACCAAAAGACTTTTCAACTTTTACTTTCTCTATAGGCATTCCAAACAAATGAATTGCCAGTGGGAAGGTTTGGTATATCTAAGGGTGGCGACATACGGTGTATTCTATCTACTTTACGTAAAATCATGAATAATGGATTACATTTAAATATTTTATGTCAAACACAATAAAAATAATATTTAAAAAACCTACCTATACATTTCTTCATAAATTGGCAGACTTGGCGACTACTACTTCGAATAAAAATAGCGTCCAAGTTGCAAGACTATGTCGCTACCCCCTTAGATATACAAGAATTTCCCACTGGCACATATTGTTTGACAGGTCGTTAGAATGCCTAATTATTTAAATTCAAAATGGCGCTTTTTTCTGATTGGTCCTAAAATGACAGTTAATTAATAATAAGCAATTTTGAGTGAGCTACCAAATTTTCTTGGTTATCACGTGCGTTTATGGAAGGGGTTAGTATTCTATATAACACCATAGGTGGTAAAGATATACGACCCTTAACCACTATATGTTCGGTCTTTTAAAATAATAATGTAAATATTCTTTTAAATTCCATGTTCAAAACTTAAGAAAAATATCTGCCTCAATGTGTAAACTGTTGATATTTCCAATGAATCAATCCTTTATTCATAAATTAACAATTTATGTCCTCTTTCCTGGATTTTTTTTTAATTCTATTTTCTATATTAAAACAAAAATAGAATTCTAAACAGGTAGGTAATCAATACGTATTTATGGACCTATGTAAATACACTTTATAAATAGATTTTAGTTTTAAGAGAGTATTTCTTTTAAATTAGGTTTTAAGTGTTGTTTCAGTAAAATAGTTGGTGGAAATTCTACCCGAATGCAATAGCTAAAAATTACAAGTAAAATATTTATTCCTATTTTTTTTTATTTATGAAATTGATAATAATGTTCTGAATTATTTGTAAAAAAATTGTACCTATTTGAAATTACGTGCTAAATATTATTGTTTGCTGTTTTGATAGAATAATGTTTATCCGCTAAAACTAGGGATTTTGAAGAACTAAAATATATATTTAGAGTTTTTGCTTCTTAATGTGATTTATTTATTTAATTGATCTTAATGTACTGAATTATTGGTAGGTACGAATAATTTTATTTTGAATTTTGTGATAAAATATTGCACGCTTTCTGCTGTTTTGATAAAAATTTTATCCGTGGAAATGCGAACCTTTAATCAAAGTCAATGTAAGTTTCCTCAAGATTTTTTTGTATAATGAAATAACAACAATAACTTTTTGACATACCTAGGGTCCCGACGACTTTAGGGACAGTGGAATTTTAAAGAAATTTATTTTTTATCAGAAAAAGCGTATTTTAAATAGTACATTAAAAAAAAAAAATTGCGGTAAATGCATTATTTAAGCCAAAAAAAAAATATTTAATTTCTATAAAAATCAGCATTTTGACGACTGTAAACATCGAAACTCGATGGTTTCTGTCAAATTTGGAAAATATAATTGCAACGTTGCCGGATTGTTTTTAAAATTAGTAGTTAATGGAAAATTGTGATTGCGCATACCAGTCCATAAATATGCAACAAGAAAACAAAGCAACGACTTATCGTAGGGTGGCGGCTTCGCCACCACCAAAAAACATCAACCGCTGGCTACGCCGAACGGCATAGACTCCAACGGCCTGGACACAGCTCAAATTGAATAATTTAAATGAAAAGTCAAATAAACTCATTTATATTATGGTTTTATCATCTTACCTAGAGCTATTGAAAAAACAGCCACTGTCATTCCTGTTATGTACGTTTTTTTTACTATGTTTGACAATACCACATTTATAGAAATAAAAATATCAGTTGTCATATTATTCATAAACAAAAAATATTATATAAAACAGTATTACCATGAATATATTTATTTAGAACAAATAACAAAAAGCAATTGGCAACATCGCTAAAATCACGCACAAGCGCTCTTAGTGTGACTGTCAAATGGAAAAAATTAAAATCAATATGGCTACGTGAGAATGTCGTGAATAAATGCATATTCTTAATTTTTTAACTTACAAATATATTTTAATACTATTTGTTACTTTAATTAGGTTAGTGCACACTTATAGAAGATTAAAAAATGTAAAAATATTATGGTTTTACTTAATCTTTATGGAAAAAGTGACAAAATTACTGTCCCTAATATCGACGGTAGCCCATACCTACGTACTAAAAACAAAAGTTTTGCCGAATAACATTACCCATGAAACTTTAAGGCAACGACTCAATTAAATTGAATCATTTTAAAACCTGTTTTAAAGAGTTTTAATAAAAAAATGGAGAATTTTTGTACAAATTCAATTTTTACATAAGTTTTAACTAGGTACTTTGAGATATTTAGGAATATTCCCAGTACCATTTTAAAATTTCGTATCTTTTCCTGCTTTGTTAAGGCTGATGGACAACCATGGTTAATTCAAAACAATAATACTAATAATTTAAAAATATATAAAATATTTTCGTAATTTGTACGTCTATGATAAGTAAATTCTAACCTATAAATAGGTACTCACCCATGAAACGAAGAATTTGGGTCCAATTTGTCCTATTTTTTACAAATTTTGCACTGTCTCGTCATGTTTAAGGTCTGCATTTTATCAAAATAACAGAAAACCACTTTCACAAGAAAAAACTAAGAAAAACCGATGAACAATAACACTAAACCTTTGAGCAACATTCGTATTTTGTTATGTATAAATAAACGGATCATTTTAGACGTGAGGGGAGAGGGATAGGTACTCCATTCTCAATGGCGTACGGTTTGAAAGGATTCGTATTTATGTTTACCATTTATGCAGTGTAATGTCACAATAACTAATAATTTAGATAATTGATTCGTATGATTAATAAACAAATTTATTTAACAATTTTTTTCGTTATACACTGTGTTGTAAACATGTTTTACTGGAAATGACTATATGTCCGTTTAGGATTGAAAACTTTTTTTATTGTAAATATGTTTTGAAACTGTAGGCTTTCAACTGAAATCGTGGTCACACATTATTTTTTAGTTCAAGTAGATTATTTAGAAACTGAAATCTTTTTTACCTATATAGAGTAAATAACAGAAAAATAGAAACAAGTAATAATAAATTGATCTATTAGTAATAATATTAAATGTACATGTTTTATAATAAAATTATTAATCAATGTAATCAAAACATAGTTATTGGTTGTGCCTAGATAAATATATGTGTGTAGAAGTAAGCTATTTATAAAATAGAACAAAAAATGAAATAAACATTAATGCTACCGAATTCCCATGAAAAATACATTTTATTTGTGAGATATATCATACACATTTCAGGCAAAAAATGTTCAGTTTCATTTTACTGCCTATTATATTAGAGCACAAACATTTTAAAATTATTACACAAAAACGTATATACACAATAGATTATATACACATACAAAAGATAATATAAAATAGAGTAGATACTTAACTACCCAGACAACACACCAAATCCCAAAGATATCCACAGAATATATTTTGTGGATATCCAATATATCCACAGGATATCAGAAATATTCCGTGGATCTAATATGGATATCCAAATGTCCGTCTATATCCAGAATATAGAAGATATTCTATGGATATTCAGCAAAATATCTAATTAGTATCTTCCAGACAATACAAGAAATCCCAGAGATATCCACAGAATATATTTTGTGGATATCCAATATGGATATCCAACCAAATGTCCGTCTATATCCCAGGATATATAATTCAGATATTCAGCAAAATATTTTATAGGTATCTTTAGTAGACATTCATAAGTAACCAAATGATTGTTACGAAAGAAAATAGAGATAAAAAATATTTCCAACAATCTGCCTTTGAGTTTGCCCACTAAGGAAAAAGTCATCCTTATTAGGACTCTTCAGCAATAAATGGAAATTCTCGACTCCAGTCTCTAATAGAGTTAATGCGAAAAAATTTTCGATCAACTCAATTATGGCGGGTTGAGCATGAGTAGATACGAAAGTGGTATCGCCATCTATACTTAGGAAGCAAAATCAAAAATTACATCTAGTAGATATCCACGATGGTTTGCGTCCGCGCTAAGACTTTGATATATGTGGATGTCCATGGGATATTGAATACACCTTCAAAAAATTAATTTTAAATATCTGAACGGTACTATTAGCCACAATGGCGTAATTTTTTAATAATTTGCTATATAATTACTATTATTTATGGGCATTTGCATGTCTATAAATTACATTTTATGGATATAAAATAGATATCCACCATGGACTGAACATTCAGTGGATATTGGGATGTTCAGTAGATATCCAAAGGATGTCTGGGTATTCGTAATAGACAATATTTATTAACTTTACAAGCAGAACAGAATAGCTTCTTTTGCTTCAACTGACTGATTTTGCTGCCAATATCAACATATCCAATATATTTTTGGCCAGTACATTCCACGCTTTGCATTATTACCATTTCATCCATCAAAAGATTCGAAAAACTTTTTTTATAACCTTTTGACTTTTTCCGCCTTTAAATTTCAATGTTCTTCAGTGAATCCAGGAGAACTATCAACAGCCTAATACCACTTTGATAAAGTACTGGAATGTGGGAGACAATTTTTAAATTTTTCCGTCACATATGTATAAGCCTTCATACTGTAGAAGCTTAAAGTTAGTGCAAACGCTCTTAATTCAAAGGAGTATTTTATTCTGGAATGATCTTTAATTGCTCTCTTGACCAATTTCTTAGATCCACTTGCAAGAGAAGCCTAAAAAATAAACTAATTTGATCCATGATTAAAAACATTACATCCACAAGTATATCTGTACTTTTGTTAAAAGAGTTATTTTTTATATATATCCTATCATACTATCTAAAGATTCCAATCTACTTTGTAAAATATATTTCTCCTAAGTTTTTTAATTATATTTTTTTTTTGGGCAAGAGCTAATTTTCAAAAAGAAACTGTTAAATTTTTTTTTCTAAAGCATCGCTTTCCTGAAATCATAATAATGCTTGATTACATGAGAAAATATCATATTTGACTTCAACAAACCTTCGTTTTTCTTTTATAAATCAAGTATTATCGCAAAGAAGAACATTCTACAAACATGTTTTTCTATTCATTTTCCCATGTCCCATTTTAAGTTACGTTTATGGAATATAGAATACTTACTTGTGAAACGTCAACCAGGATCCTTTCAAGAATTTATTATTGCAAACTATACAAGCTTTCGGCATGATTAGCACTTCGCCCCCACCCTACGAGAATTCGTTGCTTCGTTTTCTTGTTGCCACAGCATTATTATTATTTGTTCATGTATGTGAAATTTGCTTCTAAGGTTTATAAAATACTACTGCTTGCTGCTAGTCACGGCGTAAATGATAGGCGATTTTAAATCAGATACTATGTCTTGAATATGATTGACTACACTGAAATAAATCAAAAACAATGACGTCATATTGAATATTGTCTTGAAATAGTCAAGTTTAACATGACTACAGTAAAAACGTGGTCATCACAGGTATGAAATGTCAAATGAAATGACAAATGTAAAACTTTTACTTTTTAATTATTAAATCATTGTTTGGTTGTGTTATTTGTAAAATAGAAAGAAAGATTTACGAAAGGGAAAAGTGAGACAATGGTGACGATAGGGTATCAGGTTAAAAAAAACAGGTATTTTTTATAAAATAAGCTCCTTTTTTTGTAGAGATCTAAAAAAAGGTCCTCCGCTTATATTTATTTAAACCATCAGATTCCTTTTTCTGAGCTTCTCAAAAACAGGTCAAACATTGTCAAAAATATCTTTATACCTATATAACTTTGAATTTAAAAAACGTAGCAATAAGGTAAAATGCGGAGCATTTTTGTAGGTACTTTGGCGTAACGCGTGCCAGCAAGTTAAAAAGCGGGACAATTACACCTAAAGCGCGACGTCTGGCAACCCTGGCTGAGTACCTAGATATGGACGCATTTAAGGTTTCTGCAAATGAAAAGACAATTTATTTTCAAGGTAGGATTTATTAATGAACATGGCTAAAGTTTTGATAAAAAATCAGAGGCCAAAGTAACTATAATACCAATTTTCTCTTCATCCATGATCAGTAAACAAAACAAATAATTATTTTTTATCCCTACAAAATTCAAAAACAAATCCTACTACTATTACATAACACACAAACAAAAATTCATGATACCTGCCAATGTTATACCCATTGTGAAGTTAGTGTCAATATAAACCAAACATTTTTAAATCAGATTATTAGAACGTCATTATAATGACGTAAGAACCTTGACCACACTTGACTTGGTCACATTTCTAGTAACTGATTTAAAATCGCCTAAAACAAACAACACGAATTCACACAAATACCTCCCATCATAGCAATATGACGTTTCGCGTGTATATAATTTTTTGATTTGTGTACACAAAGAGACACCTTTTCCAAATTGTCTTTGGAAGCCACAAAAAATAATCTTTTTAAAAACTTAAACAAGACGTCAAATAAAATGTCATTTATCACAAATACGCGCGTTATTTAAATTTGCCAATCGTAAATCGTCGTGTTCCTAACTCTCCAATCATAATGCGTCGTGTACTTAACACCGAAGGGGTTACCCCCTCAGTACATGACAAACCAATTTGAGTAATACCTCTAGTCTTATATGTTCTAACCGCCTGTGTCCCTTAGACTATGTCTTATTCTGGACCGCACGATATGTGTAACTACATCTCCTGTTATCTCTGGTCAAACACGTAAAAAAATTCTAAACGTCAAAAATTCCAAAGCCTCCCAAACATAAAATTTAATAATTGCAGAGGATATTGTTCGAACATTTAAATGGTCATATATCTTTCGATTAAATACTGTTTTTTTAAAAAAAATTAAGATCATTTTGGCCCGTCATGCTCTCACAAATAGTAGAAACATCAACAACTATTAAATTTAACTGAACTGGACATTATTCGATACTTTTAATATTCTTGTAAAAATGTCTTATCTTTGACAGTATTATTTATGTTGAAATAATTCTTAGGTGGTGGCATAAGCATAAAACACGAAGGCAAAATTTACATTGCTCCGTCGGCAGTGCAAAAAGAAAGAATCCAACCGGAAGACATGTTCGTACAGACTATCGATAGCAAAGACTTGGAGCTGCCTCCACCAGAAAAAAGATTGAAAAAAAGTCAGTGCACGCCGTTGTTTATGTGCGCTTACAAAATGCGTAACGCTGGAGCCGTCATACATACTCATTCCAAGGCGGCGCTCCTAGCGACTATGCTTTTTCCGGGCAAGGAATTTAAATGCACTCATTTGGAGATGATTAAGGGTATCAAGAATCAGAAAACTGGAGTTAATTTTAGGTAAATCTAATTTCCATACTATCAATGCACTATGTAATGTCAGGTGAAACTAGACAAGACGATTTATTGTTTTATACACGTAAGAAAACAAGTGAAATCGACATTCTGTTCAGACAGCCGAACCGTAGAACCCCCTTTTCTTAGGCCACATTGCCCTTAGGAACTTAATATATATTCTTAACATAACAAACATGAGTCAAGACATTTTAATGCCTTCGCCGTCACTAGGTGAATCCTAAGTTGATACTTTTTTAATGTTTATAGAAACAAGTATTTAAAATCAACAACTTAAAAAAAAGACAAAAATAAGAAACTTACATTAATTTATTCTAAAATGTACCCAATACCCAGACAACACACCAAATCCCAGAGATATACGCAGAATATCTTTTGTGGATATCCAATATATCCACAGGATATCAGAAATATTCCGTGGATTTAGATCCATTTAGATCCATATTAGGGATATCCAAATGTCCGTCTATATCCAGGATATAGAAGATATCCTAATGGATATTCAGCAAAATATCTAATGGGTATCTTCCAGAAAATACAAGAAATCACAGAGATATCAACAGAATATATTTTGTGGATATTCAATATATCCAATATGGATATCCAACCAAATGTCCGTCTATATCCCAGGATATAGAAGATATTCGGATATTCAGGAAAATATTTTATGGGTATCTTTAGTAGAGGTTCATAAGTAACCAATGATTATTGAATAACGTCGAAAGAAAATAGCAGAGATAAAAAATATTTTCAACACTCAAAATATTTTCAACACTCTGCCTTTGATTTTGCCTACTAAGGAGAAAGTCATCCTTATTAGGACTCTTCAGCAATAAATGGAAATTCTCGACTGCAGTCTCTAATGGAGTCTGTAGGACAAAAATTTCGATCGAACTCTATTACGGCGGGTCGAGCATGAGTAGATGCGATAGTGGTATCGCCATCTATACTTAGTAAGCAGAATCAAATAACATCTAGTGGATATCCACGATGGTTTGCGTTCGCGCCTAGACTTTGATATATTTAGTGGATGTTCATGGGATATTGAATACACCTTAAAAAAATTAATTTTTAAAAATCTGAACGGTACTATTAGCCACAATGGCGAGCACAATGGCGTAATTTTTTAATAATTTGCTATATAATTACTATTATTTATGGACATTTGCATGTCTATAAATTACATCTCATGGATATAAAATATATATTTACCATGGACTGGACATTCAGTGGATATTGGGATGTTCAGTAGATATCCAAAGGATTTGGTGTGCTGTCTGGGTACGGTGCTGTCTTAAAGTTAAATAATGTTTAGAACTTTCATCAAGAAATATTAATCACATTCATGATGTTAAGAACTGGTCACATGATTGAACTCTGCGAGGAAAATCTTCATTTGCAATGCTTAAATACGTTGAACATGAAAGGGATACAATTGATTTTCCCGCAATGTAGTAAACATGTACACAATTGGTTCCAAAATCAAATCAAAATCAAAAAAATACTTTATTGTATACGATATAAAAATCTTGATTACAAAGTCATCACATTTAAAATAAAAATATACATAAACAAAAATTTTAAAAGTCAATACAAATACAACTTCTAGGAAGCAGATTATACTCGTACATGTTAGCGAGTAAACAATTTTTTGTGATTACTAACTATAGTACTGTAGAGAACATCGTCAGTCAAGAGCAAGGAGTGAGTGGAACTGTTGCAGTAGTAAAGTACCGTCGGCACTTCTCCAAACAGAACGATTTGAGTCTCCTTGAGTGTCTAGTATGATCAGCTCGTACCTATACTCACGGTACATGGAGCGGTACCAACAGAGCAGCAAAGCGCGAAATTCAAAATTTTAATTAAATCAACGGAGAATAGAAAAAATGCATTATTATACAGGGTATTCCATTGTAAAAACATGGAGAGGAAAAGGTGAAAGTTACAAGAAAGTATATGATAAAAAGATGTCCCTTTTTATATGATTAATGAATTATTTAGGTAGCATGAATAGTTTTCATTGAAATTTCCCACTTTAGGCCACCTTGTGGACTATACATGAAGTATGCTGCGTTTAGTGCGTTTCTGTTAAATTGACCACAGTTTCAGAATATTTAGTGTAGAAAATGTAAATATAAAATATAACTGATACATTTTTGGGGAAGATATCAATAATTTAGAGAAATTAAAATATATTTATTGGCTCGACAGGTATGACGAAGAACTAGTGGTGCCAATTATTGAAAATACGCCTTTCGAGGAAGATTTAAGGGATTCATTGGCCGAAAGTATCAAGAAATATCCACATACCTGCGCTGTTTTAGTTCGAAGACACGGAGTAAGTTAATTTATTTGATAATATCATAATGAAATACTTTTGATTAATAATTGATAATTATGTACTGATAATCGTGATTAATGCTGCAAAATCTAGTAGGCAAGCTCGTCATGTTTTATACTGCAACTGTAAATTATTGAGCCCTCATATTTTATTAATTTGTGCTATTATTCTGTGATAAGAAGCCATAACTTGAAATGTCGGCAATTTACCAAAATCTATAAGATGATATAACTTGAAAACTCAAATTCCCAAAAATAACAGATACAATGCTTACCCAAACCTGATGTCCGAATTTTACATGACAGATAAAGTAATAACTTGATATGTATGCTTTCCTGGAAAGTTACCAAAACTTGATATATCAAGTTATATGGCTTCCGATCACAGATCTACTAAATACAACTTTTGATGTCGGTTCTACGTATAATCGCATAAATTAATACATTCAACACTGTAATGAAAAGTTAAAGTGTAATAAATAAATTAGAATTGTTAGTGTCTAAGTATTATATAAATTAATTAGTACCTACGTCTAAAATAAATTGTAAATAGTGTGTTTCAAATAAATAAACTATAAATAAATTAGACTATCGTTACAATATGTATGCAAAATTTTAAAAAGATTGGACAATATTTAGAGGTTGCACACTTTGACCAGTTTTGTAAAAGTATGCAAAAAATACGACTTTTCTATATTAATTACTTTTATTATTAAAACTATAAACCACACATTAAGATTATTAGGTAAATATTATTAAGATTATTAGGTAATAGATAGGAAAAACTTGTCTTATATTATTCAACTTTGAACGATGCAATCCCTTGTTTAGTTCATTTGGTGACGACTGCTCCACTACCCTCAGCAAAAATTGTTTTTGTCGTTCATCTCTGACCGACAAAAATTGTTTTTGTCGTTCATCTCTGACCGATTCGTTAAATTTCTTTATTAGAGCAATTCCCCTTTCTTCGGTATCATTCACTACCTTAAGAGCGTCCACTTGATTTCTTAGAGAATCACTACAATATTCTGTCACGTTATGGATCCAAAACAATTCAAAGAACATTTTTGTTTTACTAGTGATGAAATGGCTCAGGTCTTTTCCTTCAAAAACTAAGTTTTTACCGTCTAATCGTTTCATTTCCTTTTTATTTGAAGGTTTGATTTCTAAATGTTTAGTCATATTTTCCTTTTCAATCTGACTAATACGTTCATCCAAAAAAGCTAATCCTACGTTTGTTTCTGACAAATACCACAGGTGTCTCTTAGCAACAGTAAGAACACTTTTTGGACGTCTATATCTGGGTAAATATTCAGAAGTTGCGGCATTTTTTGGAGTCCATCAACTTACAATCGTGCCAAAAGCGGAACATATATGAGGCTGACAAAATGTACAACCCTTTTAATTCTCGTTGAGACATATTCAACTGTTTAGTGAAGAGAACAATTTTAAGTGCATAAATCGCTTTTGCCATCCACCTTGCTTGATGCAGAGCTCCTGGGATCCTGAAACTGAATTCGTCTTAAGACCAACCTCCCAGGTACAAAAGTGATAGTTGTAATAACTCTTTGTAGTCTTCTCTTGGATAACTTCCGTCTTTTAGGACATTTTGTAAGTAGTTAATCATTTTCACTTTCCTTCTTTTATAAAGCCTTGAATGGGACGTTCCTCATTCAGCATTGTCGTATGTACTTTTTTATCAAGTGAAGCTCACATATTTTGAAACTTTCGAAAGATCTGGATGTCAGGACCACTTGATGGTATGTTACAACACTCCTTTTAATATTAGTTTATGAGTGTGATGAAGGCAAGCCAACCACAACAATGTTCGTCCTAATTCCCTTTCAATTCTGGTACATGCCCCTTGGATCAGCCCTGTATTAGACGATGTAGTATCAAAAGACATACCGATGATATTGTCACTTAGCCCAAATCGGTGTATTTCCCGAATAACTAGTTCAGCCATTTGCTCACCGGTGCCTTTCTGGGCAACAGGTACTCCAAGCAAATGCTCAAAATCTTTGCCAGTCACTAGAACTGCAACTCTATCTTTCCCATGGGCAACTGAAGGCAACAATTTACTATCCCAATGCAAAACCAAAGGAGGAGGATTTTCAAAAAGCGTCTCCTCGATTTTCCTTGCCATTTTTCTTCTATTGACCACCCAAGCTCGGTAAACGGTGGATGGAAATAGAAAATTTTTGAAGTCGTATGAAAATAACATCTTTGGAAAAATGAAATACCCTAAAGATCATTAAAAGTAAATTCTTTGTAAATTGAATTTTAAGTTTTGACACCAAAATACATTTAGAGCAGGAATATTAAGAAAAATGAGTTAGTAGCCATTTTGTGCCACATTTATTGGATATCATGTGAAAAAATGTGTCTTTGTTCTTGTTCTTCTTCGCCCATGTCGCATACTCTTTTTGTTGTATTTAGCCGTGACATTCATTGTTTTTACTGTGTACCTCATTTTTTGTTTCTGAAAAAACTCCATGGCCATGAGATTTATTACTGTGTAAACCTGTTTAGCATATACTACAGACTCTCGGCTATTTTATCGTGTTTTCAACTAATTTTTGGAAAAAGTAATTTTTATCGTTTTAGCTGTGTGTTCTTCATTTGCTTCAAGTATTTATTAACATAGTTGCCAAATGTACATGATTTTCCGAAACTGTAAAAAAATGCTATTTAACAGAAAATTCCCACCATCTTACAATTACACGTTCTTGCAGTAATTCCTAAAAAATATCTTTCCCAAACCATAATATATACATTCTTGGATAGGGGAAGAAAGGGACTTTTAGTATGAAAAAATATAGAGTAAATCGATAATTTTGCTTATTTTTTTTTTTCGGCAGTTTTAAGGAAAAATGTACATATACAATCGGTAGGTCAAATTAATTTGGTACTTTTTGTAGGTGTACGTATGGGGAGACACTTGGCAACACGCTAAAACCATGACAGAATGTTATGATTACCTGTTCGATGTTGTGGTGAAAATGAAGCAACTTGGACTGGATACAAATTTGACTCCGGAACAATACGAGTTGAAAATTCAAAAAGTTAAATAAAATGTACCTTATAGGCCAATTTGCAAAGCTAGATCTTAAAGACATATGCAAAGCTTAAAATTACATATTTCTAACAAAAATGTCATTTTAAATTTCGCTTATTTCTTAACGACAAATTATGTTACCATTATCTGTTAATTCTGTTAAATTTTGTTTATTGAAATGTTAATAAAAAAAGATTTAAGAAACAAAATGTTTATTTTTTTTTATTCCAGCAACATACATTATTTATATTCGTTAAATATACACATTATAAAATATATCATCAAATATCAGGTAAGAGATCACATCTAATGAAATTTTTTCTTGATATACAGTATGTCTGAAAAAAGTTTGCAACAATTGAAGCGTTCCATGTTAAACGGATGTATTAACAATTTGAGAATAAAAAAACTGTCCTGTGTAAACATTATTTTTGAACGAAAAGTTTGTCTAATAATAATGCCAAATGGCATTAATATTTTGGACCAATTTTTTGTTCAACAAAATATTTACACAGTACAGTTTTTTTATAACGGAAATTTTTTTTTTACTTTAAATGTATTAATTATTAAAGGCCATGTTTAGATTATTTTTTTAATTCCTATCGTCATTTCTAAATGACATTTTGTTCTATACCTTTAGATTTAAAAGCACAACACTCTTCATTATAAATCAATATTTTTTTTTATTTTCCTTGTATTAGATACCACCAAAAATATTTTACAAATTTGATTCTTGATTTCTATGTGATGCGGAACTTTGTATGAAGAATATTTTTTTTTATGAAATTAATAATAAAATCTCCAATTTATTGCCAACTTTTTCACACACTACATATTTATTTTTACTTACATTAATAGCCAATTCGAAGACTCAAAACCGAAATAGAAAAATACGTTTTTTTTATATATATAAATATAACGATTTAAATTAAATAATTTTCATTGTATTTATTAAAATAGCATTAATTTAGCGGTGTCATTTTTTTAAGTGTCAATATAGATTTTTTAGACCACATTTAACAAATGTTATTGCAGCGTTGCCAATTATAGGATCATACTCTTGCAATAATGATATGGCAACCTGAGGATAATTCAATTAGGTTTGTTGCAACACGCGCGAAAACCGTAATATTACTGCAAATCATGCGCTCTACCCAAAAATTGTATACATCGCAAGATTTGTACGATAATATTACGGTTTTCGCACGTGTTGGAACAGACCTTATTTTTGATATACAAGACTGAGACTTTTGTCGACCTATATGGCGGAAAAGAAGGTCCGGCGGCTTTATAAGTTTCTACTTAAACTATTTTTGGTTAAGTAAATCTCATTATATGAATTCTAAAAAAAATAATTGACTACAGATATTTTTGATTAGTAGATTTTTTATTAAAATAAAAGTTATAAGCATGCTTGAAAGAAATCTAACAATAGTTTTTCCAAAACCGGCATTTTTTATGAGTGCTTAACAGACTAACCTTAGCTTTTACGAAACCGAGGAGTCTTAAAGGCTCTTATTGGCCCAGAACCCTTCTGTGTTGTCACAAAGAACTATCAGATATTTACAAAGTAGCGGATGCTAAAAATCTCAAGAATGGTGTAAAAATACACCAGGACAGAAACAGGCCAAAGAGTTCTTAAACGAACCATTGCCTACGCTCATCGAGCACCTACTAAGCCATAATCGGAAAAATACTCGAGTACTAGTAGACCTATTAACGGGGCATTGTAAGCTTAACAAACATATTTACGTATAACATCGGTCTGACAGAAGAGACCTTATGCTGATTATGTCAGGAAGAGGAGGAAACTGAAGTACTTGTACTGTGCTATTGCGAAGGTCTACCAAGATTGAAATTCCGAGATACTCTAACCTACAATTTAAGGTTATTCACAACAGATCTAACGAAATCGAATGAGTTTTTCATCAATAAACATAATTTAATCTCATTAAAACTTTTAAAAGAAAAGCTTGTTGGATTTAAAAGAGAGAAATATAATGGTTTTGACTGTATTTTCTGAATGGACTTGAGCTCGAAAAAATCTAATAGAACAAGTATTTTCAGTTTCCCCAAATTTTTCAATTTTCCAGTAATATTTTCTTTCCCTAAAAATCTTAAGGGTCCCACTCACCTCGTTCTTCTCCGCCGTTTTTAACCGACGCGATGGGTTAAAAATGTCACAAAAACGAGATGTATGGGCAAGAACATCGTTTATGCACGTCGTTCCAAAATTTCAGGAGAGGCTTGATTTTTGTCAGTTATCGTGCCAACCGTTCGAGTAAGCACGAGGTGTGTGTTCTCAACAGTTTGACTGGCCGGGCATTTATCAGTTACGTTCAGCATGTTTTTGTTTTTTATTATTATTTACAACTGGTTATAATAAAAATGTCGGATATTAGGTAGTGGAACAGAGACTTTTTATTAGAGTTTATCGAGCTTTATAGATCATTTCTTTGCTTGTGGAAAGTTAAATCGGCAGAATACCATGACCGAATCAAGAAAAACAAGCATTACTGGTGAAATACAAAAAAGTGGATGCTGATGGAACAGTTAAATCAGAGTAGCTGTTAGGCGTTCGTGAAGACTGATGCATTCACGTAAATGGGTATTATGTCTCCCAATTAACGGTGTTAATAGTTTTAACAGTTTCCGATACGTATCCTCGTCCATCCTCAAGTATTTGTGCCAATCGCCAGGCTCCAATATTAGCTTCTCCAGTAAATTTGTATGTGACAGTGTACTGCTTTTAAGTAGCCAGTCTTTAGTCCATTTTCTCCGAGATTTTCTTTTTTCGCGATTTTTTTCCACTGCCACTGCTAACAAGCAGGTGGTCCATCGTGATAAACTGGCGCGAAAAAAACTTTTGTGTGTGGACATACGAGTCAACGTTCTTTCTTCCAACGTTTTTAACCGTTGGGTAAAAACAGCGAAGAAGAACGAGGTTAGTGGGACCCTTTAGTCGAGACTATGAATACTTAAAAAAAAAAATGCCGAATCGGTCCACCGTTCTCAATTAATATGCTTAACAACAAAGAGAATTTAGTTTAGTTTAAATATTCACACCGAGTGGACGTGCGATCGAACGGCGATTAGGAATCCGTTTAAAACTAGTTTTTATAATTTTGTTTAAGTATTTAAAATTTAGTTTAAGCTAAAAATAAAATCGGAATCAAATTATGAATGCTAAGAATGATGGTGAGCCACCAGATCCTGGAAAACCATGAATTTATAGGATTTATCAGGAGCGAACAACGAATTGAAAATGGACAGCGAATCAGGTAGTAGTACAAAAACAGTTCACCGGGAAAGTAAGTAGGTAAGTGATACAATTTAGCGCTAGGAAAGTCGGGGAAATTATTTTTAATTGTCATTCAGAAATAAATAAGTTTATAAAAGCAATTGATTCTAATGTTAGAAAGATAAAGATAAAAAAAGTGCAAACACATTGATCACTTCATCAAAATTAGGTCAACATTTAAGTGCTTTTATCCCAAGGTATATGTTACATAGGCGAGGTATAGAGTTCCCAGACAGCACATCAAATCCTTTGGATATCTACTGCACATCCCAATATCCACTGAATGTCCAGTCCATGGTGGATATCTATTTTATATCCATGATATGTAATTTATAGACATGCATCCATAAATAATAGTAATTATATAGCAATTATTAAAAAATTACGCCATTGTGGCTAATAGTACCGTTCAGATATTTAAAATTATTTTTTAAGGTGTATTCAATATCCCATAGACATCCACTAAATATATCAAAGTCTAGGCGCGAACGCAAACCATCGTGGATATCCACTAGATGTTATTTGATTTTGCTTACTAAGTATAGATGGCAATACCACTTTCGCATCTATTCATGCTTGACCCGCCATAATTGAATTCGATCGAAATTTTTGTTCTAATCAGACTCCATTAGATACTGGAGTCGAGAATTTCTATTTATTGCTGAAGAGTCCTAATAAGGATGACTTTCTCCTTAGTGGGCAAAATCAAAGGCAGAGTGTTGAAAATATTTTTTATCTCTTCTATTTTCTTTCGACGTTATTCAATAGTCATTGGTTACTTATGAACTTCTACTAAAGATACCCATAAAATATGTTGCTGAATATCCGAATATCTTCTATATCCTGGGATATAGACGGACATTTGGTTGGATATCCATATTGAATATCCACAAAATATATTATGTGGATATCTCTGGGATTTCTTGTATTTTCTGGAAGATACCCATTAGATATTTTGCTGGACATCCATTAGGATATCTTCTATATTCTGGATATGGACGGACATTTGGATATCCATATTAGATCCACGGAATACTTCTGATATCCTGTGAATATATTGGATATCGACAAAAGATATTCTATGAATATCTCTGGGATTTGGTGTGTTGTCTGGGTTGCCACCTTTTTGAAAAGTGAACAAAGAATTACGATGCTGACAGGAGCTCCGGTATACAAAAAGTCCTTATTCTTCTACTGAACTTCTAAAAAAAAAGGTCACCGAGTTTGTAACAAAAAAAAATCCTAAGACCGATGGGAATGAGGAAAACGTGTTTTTCGTAATCTAGGGACCCGAAAACGTAAAAATCTAAATTTTCACGATTACAATAATTACCTTTTATCGAGGGAAGTAAAAATAAAATAAGTATACTCAATCTCTTAAATGCTCCTCTACTAAAAAGTGATGTATCAGTCTCCTTAGTTTTTTTTTTTGTATGTTACCGGCTGGCTTTAAAGTCACACTATATCTCTTGCTAGTGGACATCCTCTCATTATACCAACAAATACAATCTGTAAACAAGGAATTATCTTTGGTGTGGGTAAAATCTCATGTGGGAATAAAATCAAATGAAAAAGTCGACGAACTCGCAAAAATCGTTATGACCAAGGGTACAACAGAAAACAGAAAACTTCAAAATCCCAGTCTCAGATATCTTTCACCCAAGTAAACTGAAAATTATAGAAGAGTGGCAATCACAATATGAAGAAACCTCTACTGATCAAAAATATAAAATATTATAACCCAAAATCGCAAAACAGGTACGGTTCAAGAACTACCATTCAAAGAATTTCATCCGAGTATTATGTAGATTGAGGAGTAACCACTCACTATATCCTGAATACCTTTACAGGTTTGGACCAACAGACGATCTAAACTGCTCTTGCAGAGAACAAGGAAATCTTCAATACCCCAACAACAATCAAAAAATTAGTAATATTTACCTAAATATCAATAAATATGCAACTTTTTTAGTAAATCTGCCTTGTCTACTGAGCAACAGTAGATGTTATTTACCATTATATCAATTCGCTCCGTGTGTGAGAGCACCATCAATTCATTTAGGAACTAATGCACTATTTTTGCCTATACTGACAATACAATTTTTGATAGAATTCGTAATTAAAGAGTATATACAGTGTGTCGCATTTTAGATGAAGACACCCATATATTTTAACTATCTAAGTAAATACAGATTTGAAATTTTGCACAGTCATACAGGGTGATGGTTCACAGTTTTCAAGATACTCAACTGAAATTTAAATTTTGAACACGGCCTACTGCGAATCCACAAACAGGGTCAATTTTCGATATTTTTCTTCGCGTTGGAGATGTCAAAAAAAGTTATTTGAAAAAGTTGTTCCGAATATTATTCTAAACCCACATACCAAATTTATGACAAAATTCGCATTTTTAGTTTTTTTTTTTCATTATTTTGGTCAATACACAAAATTATTAAAAGTGGATTTTTTTTATTCGATAAACTAGTGTGCCATGGAAAGGATTTCAAAAGTGTCAAATTATTCCTATTCATGGCACATTGGTTTATCGAATAAAAAAATCAACTTTTAATAATTTTGTGTATTGACCAAAGTAATGAAAAAACTAAAAATGCGAATTTTGTCATAAATTTGATATGTGGGAACAACTTTTTCAAATAACTTTTTCTGATATCTCTAACGCAAAGAAAAATATCGAAAATTGACCCTGTTTGTGGATTCGCAGTAGGCCGCGTTTAAAATTTAAATTCCAGTTGAGTATCTTAAAAAATGTGAACCATCACCCTGTATGACTGTGCAAAAGTTCAAATCTGTATTAATTTAGATAGACAAAATATAGGGGTGTCTTCATCTTAAATGCTACACACTGTATGTTAGTTTTAATAAAAGTACATGGATTTTATAAAACAAGTAAAATAGTAATTTATTATTATATATTTTTATCGCTTTAACTAAAAAAAAATAACTAAAATCAATAATAAAATATAGACAGGCAACAGTATTTACGGGAAAATGTATGAGAAGTTGCCTAAGTCTAATAAGTTGTCTTTGAAGAATTAACCTATTCTGTCAAAATAAAAAAAAATCCATTAAATAATAGTTAAAATGTATAAACAGAAGGATTGTTATTTATATTTTCATTTTTGTTCGAAAGAAAACAGAATGAAATATTAAAACTAGTTTCTTATCAATTAGTCACAAAATTGTATTCCAGCCACATACAATAATCAAAGGCAGAAATCTAGTTCTTGTTGAATATTTATAATTAAAGGGATGTTGAAGAATATCGTAAAATGATAATTTATTGTTTATTTAAAACCTTTTAAGTTTCTGATGTCTACTATTTCCAGTATTACTGTTATTATTACAAAAATAAGGGTAATTTTTCTTCTTATTGTACAGCTATCCATTTATTTCTTTGATTTAATTTTCACTTTGCTACTGACAAATTTGTTGCTAGTATTTTGATAATTTACAACACAGCAACTCCGGTTGATTACTGTACTGTTTCTACCTATTTTTTTTTGTTTAAAGTAAAATTTATACGTGTAGTTGATATGCCAAAATTACAAAATATCGCCCTAAAATGCACTAATTATCCGCAGCTTGCGCTAGTATCGCTTTTGCTTCCCCTACCATGACTTCGCACTGAGCGAATACATAATCAAAGGTAATATTAAGATATAAATAATAGAATACCAAAAGCACCTTCATACATTTATGTCTCCCTCCCCTCTGTTTATCCACCCAAATATTAACACCTGTATAAGTCTAATCCCGCCCAAGAGGTCTTTGGGCAAAAAATGGTTCCTATCTTGTGGCTTGTGTCAAAAAAAAAATCTATAAAACAGGTCAATTTAAATAATAGATCAAGAATAACTGCAGAGAAAAATGTCCATGGCTATATAAATACAGTCCTTAAAGTCAGTTTAATTATTAACGAATCTTTGGCCAGTTAGTTCCATACCAGTACCATTTAACTAAGGAAAAAAACATTCAAAAATCATTCAAACTCAAATAAAAATTAAATGGAACACAAATGACACATAAAATTGACAAATTGTTCTTGGCATAATGTCGGATCACACCCAGTTTACGTATGTCACAACTATTGCATAATTGCGACGTAGCCGAGGGTCTTGAAGACGGTCAATAAGAATTATATTTCAAAGTCTGGAAAATCGAGTGCAATGAGCAGTATAGAAAATATTGTTTGATATCAGTAAAGCATTATTCTCAAAAAAATATCTGTAATCATGGTAGTTTGTTAAGAGGCACGCTGTTTTTAAAAAATAGCTAATTTGCAACTACAACGTCCTGTATATCAAAAACTAGTCATAGGATTGACTTGTGCCCAATATTGTTTATTAGGTCGACAACTGCAAGAAATTTTACCAAAGCCTTCTGGTCCTTTTTGAACTCAAAAGTAGAGCGACATTTTATTCTACGATTATTTTGCACAATAAGTGACGATCTGGCAACGTTTCTTTATTGTTAAATTGTTAGAACACTAAAAAAATTATCAAAGATCATGATATGGTTCAATTTAAAACATAAAATTGTTTAGAGGTATTGATAATAAATATTTAACACAAAATAGATTGTTAGATGTTTATAATACATTTAATTTTATCTTTTTTTAATATTCTTGAGTCAATTTATTATGCGATATATAGAGTAACGAAATTTTGAAAAACATTCATTCACGATTTAAATATATATTTAATATATATGTAATAAAATCAATTTCTTAACCTGAAACGTAATTTTTTTATTATTTTCATTTCATTTCAAAAAAAAAGTATTCATCTGAATTTAATGATATAAATAGTCCTGAACAACATTAAATACAGTGTAAAAAATGGAGAAAAATCAACAAGTATAAAAACAGAGGAATGATACACGCCACTGGCACCGAGTCAAAGATTTCTCCAATTTTCCCAGACTATAATCTCCAATGCTCCATATTAATTCTAATAACAACCAACAATTAACTAAATTAAATATTTTTCAATTCAAAATTTCACCAAAACGAATATAATAAAACATTAAATATCAATTTGTTAGAAAATAAAATTTAAAAACCAACGATTATAGCCCAGGAAAATTTTCTATAAAAAAGCTCACAATCTTTGTTTCGATAACAAATAAATAGGAACAAAATGTCAACCTAACCTAAAAGAATAAATTTAGTAAATAGTACTAAATTCGGCAACCCAAAATGCTAAAAAAAAATCACATGGAATTTTTTGGTTTTCCGTTTCAAAATATACTACCGACCGTCGATGTTTTTTCGTAAAACAGCATGTAAGCGGTACTTTGGAGTACTTGATCGATTGATACTTCTCTTATTTCGACATCCGATGTATAATACCATCTGAAAAAGATTTTAAGAATTGGTAAAATCTAGATATACCGAATGGACTGACAAAAGGAAAAAATCTTTTACTGAAAATTTTATTCTTTATATAATTTTTGCTTGTTTCAAAAATATTAACTCAAAGAGAAGATGAAAATGTTTAGATTTATTTTATATTTTTCAACATGAAATAATACAAAAAAAAATAGCTTAATTTTATATTAATCAAGATAAAAACCATTTAGCAAAAACTTCTATGGAAAAAAACTTTTTTTCAAAAAGGTGAAAATAAAAGTTTTCCTCTTTTTCAGTCCATAAATCAATCATAAATAGTAAAACATCAGGCAGTTCTGCAAATATTATTGGTGCCAAATGGTTGGGTTATATTTAAGCATACTTCTATTTCATTTATTAATGAAAATGTTATATTTAAAAAAATTTGATGGAAAATTTAATAGAAGAAATTCAATTTTCTCTTCTGTAATAAAAACTCCAATTTTCTAACTTCCTTAATTTTTGAGAAATAAATATTTATTTAGAAAGTTGTCATCTATGTTCTACATAGTACTCTAATATTTTAACACTAATTGCTAACAAGAAAAACAAAACAGAATCAGCCACCTAAAGAAATTATAAAATAGGTGACAATGTTTTATACTGTATGATGAGACCAGTTCTAAGTAAAAACCAATTTACCAAATTTTATAATATAAAATACTAGAAAATAAGGTAGCAAATATACACAAAAATAGGATAAAACCATTCAATATTTAAAGTTTAAAAAAAAACATATATCCCCGGATCAACTGAAAAGATGGAAAAACGTTCATATTAATATCCATTTTACCTAGTAAGAATACTGCACGAATATAAAATCCACCGATCACACTTCTGCAGCAGTGTAGAAAGGCAACATGTTTTAATTTCTGAAATTCCGACTTCTAACACAGAATTCCGTATTAAAATACGAAATTCCGTATTCGAACGAGGACTTTCCTTGTTCGAAGACGGAATTACAAATTTGCCTACATGAACACGGAATTACGTATGTATTCTAATACAGAATTCCGTATTCAAACAAGGAATTCCGTATTCAAACACAGAATTCCGTGCTTAAACAAGACATTTGCCTTTTAGGACACAGGAATTCCGTGTTCAAATACAGATATCCGTAATTTCCGGTTCAAACACGAAAATTTCTTGTTTAATCTCGAAATTCTGAGTTCAAGTAAGGAATTATTTGTTTGAATACGGAGTTCTTTGTTTGATTACGGAATTCGATGTTCGAACAATGAAATCCGTAATTTCCGTTTTCAAACACGGAAATTCCGTATTCAAACTTAGAATTTTGTATTTAAACAAGAAATTCCGTATTCAAACACGGAGTTCTGTATTAAAACACGGAATTCCGTATTCGAACAAGGAATTTCCTTATTTGAACACGGAATTACAAATGTGCATGCATGAACACGAAATTCCGTATGTATTCCAATACAGAATTTCGTATTCAAACAAGGAATTCTGTATTCAAACACAAAATTTCATGTTTAAACAAGGAATTTCACTTTTGGAACACAGGAATTCCGTATTTAAATACGGAAATCCGTAATTTCGCGTTCAAACACAGACATTTCTTATTTAATCACGGAATTGTGAGTTCGAATAAGGAATTCTTTGTTTGAATAAGGAATTCCGTGTTCGAACAGTGAAATCTGTATTTCCGTTTTCAAACACGAAAATTGCGTATTCAAACTTAGAACTTTGTATTCAAACAGGGAATTCAGTATTAAGAACAAGAAATGTCCGGGTTTGAACACGGAATTAAAGATTTCCTTGTTCGAATACGGAATTCCGTAATCAAACAAGAAAATCTGTAATTCAAACACAGAAATTTCGTATTCGTATTCATAATTCCTTATTTAAACAAGGCATTCCGTGTTAAAACACGGAATTAGAGATTTCCGTGTTTGAATACAGAATTCCTTTGTTTGAACAGGAAAATATGTAATCCTCAGATTTTCCGCTCTTGTCGACTTTTGGAAAGGGGGCAGTATTAAGTAGTTTTAAAAGCGTCGCCCTCTTTGGCCCCTTCGTAATATGTTTCCTTCAATTTCATGTCCAGGTCACTCGAGTTCTTAAGGGTCTAGTCTCTGATGCCCGAATGTCATTTATATCACATCAAAATTAAGCCCTGTATATAGTTATAAATTTTGTCTCCTTTCCTCCCTAGCTCAGAGTTTGGGAGAGGGGTAATGTGAGAGGGTGTTTTCTAAATGATTTCAAGCAATTACTTTGTTAATATCTTCAGAAAAATGTGAGGAAGTGGAGGGTCGGTTAAGAATTTTTTTTCTTGGTCTTTTTTAAATATTATTAAAAAATAGTGGTGATATTTAAAATACTGATCATTAAAAAATATATTTACACCAAAATATGCGCATTTAAAAATCAAAATCCACTTCTGAAGGGAAATTTAAGAACAAATAATATATCCGTCATCTATGGGAACCAAAGGTAGAACATTTTGGTGTCAAAAATGTTTGTATCTTGCAGAGCAAGAGTACATTTAAAAGTTAATTTAAGATAAAATCGATTAAATAGAGTATGTAGGACAGAATTTGATCATTTTCAGAGGATCTGTATTTATCTTCCCCCTTCCCGAATTCTCCTAGTCCCTCAAAAGCAACCTGTAAATAAATGCAATTAAAAACTATAACTCGAGCATAGAATTCCGTGTTTGAACACGGAATTACATATTTAAACACAGAATTCCGTGTTTGAACAAGAAATTTCCATGTTTGAACACGGAATTCCGTATTTAAATAAGGAATTTCGTATTCGAACTCATAATATCGTGCTTGAACAAGAAATTTTCCTATTCAAACACAAGAATTCCGTTTTTAAATACGGAAATTTGTAATTCCGTGTACAAACACATTGTATATTCGAATACGGAATTATTTGAGTACGAAATTCCGTGATTGAATACGGAATTTCGTTTTCGAACAGGGACATTTGTAATTCCGTATTTAAACACGGAAATTCCGTAACCAAACTAAAAATTCCATAACCAAACTAAAAATTCCGTATTTAAACAAGGAATTTCGTATTTAAAACAAGGAATTCTGTATTCGAATACAGAATTCTATGTTTGAATACGAAATTTCCGTGTTTGAACAAGGAAATCTGCAATTTCGTATTCAAACAAGGATATTCCTTGTTTAACCGCGGAATTCTTTGTTCGGACACGGAATTCTCTGTTTGAATACGAAATTCGTTGTTCAAACACGGAATTATGTATTCGAACACAGAATTTCGTGTTTGAACAAGGAATTTCCATGTTTGAACACGAAATTACTGACTTCCCTGATCAAATACAGAAATCTGTATTCAAATAAGGAATTTCGTATTCAAACTCATAATATTCTACTTGAACAAGAAATTTCCTTGTTCAAACACAAGAATTCTGTTTTAAATGCGGAAATTTGTAATTCCGTGTACAAACACATCGTATATTACAATACGGAATTACTTATTTGAGTACGGAATTCCGTTTTCGAACAGGGAAATCTAATTCCGTGTTCAAACACGGAAATTCCGTAATCAAACTTAGAATTCCGTATTAAAACAAGGTATTCCGTATTTATAACAAGGAATTCCGTATTCGAACAAAGAATTGCGTATTCGAATACAGAATTCCATGTTTGAATACGAAATTTCCGTGTTTGAACAAGGAAATCTGTAATTCCGTGTTCAAACAAGGAAATTCCTTGTTTAAACGCGGAATTCTTTGTTCGGATACGGAATTTTGTGTTTGAATACGAAATTCCTTGTTCAGACACGGAATTCTGTGTTCGAATATGAAATTCCGTCGAAATTTCAGACGTAAAAAAATGTGACCTTTCCCCGCTGCCGTAAAAACTAACTAAATGCATTTTTTGTCTATTTTATTTTATAAATTAGTAAAAGTCATAAATTATTTTTAAATTAGTTATTTTATCTTAATAACCTAAATTCATTTTTAAAATTTGTAGATTTTCGTTAGCGATTCGTAGAAAAAAATACACTGTACAACTCGAATAGACTATCAATATCGCGTGAAGACGAAGTGTTACAAAAACTATTTTTTTTACATTTTTGTTATAATTTCACTAAACCGAAGACTTATTCAACTTCTGTTTGGTTTATTATTAGTTTTGAAACAAGCAAAAGCTTTTATGAAAAAAAAAGTTTTTCCTCCTCTTTTTTTTAGTCCATCCAGGGACATTCTGCATATACATTTCATAAATTTGATTTTTTTTCTTTACCGGGGAGGTGTGATATGCAAGTATCACCCTGTATGATATTAATAAGTAGGTTGAGTTATATTGCTAATTCATATAGATGCAATAATAATTGTTTTCCTTTTTAGCAAAGTTTGGAAAAGTAGGACAATCAAATTATACCTTCAACTGCAAGATTAAGTTTTATTTCCAATAAATATTAATAAATAATGTTATAAGAGAATATCACAAAGTATTATTACTCACCTGCTATTCTGATGACCCCTTCTGTACGTTATAAAATGTCCAGAATGTGCATCACCAGCGTGCACTACGACAGCGGCTAATTGATAAACGTTTTTAAATTCGTTCGCCATATCAGTAAGAGTACTACCCGTCCAGCAAAGAGGCGTGCTACTAGACAGAGGACTACCACCCTCGCTAGTGCTCGTGTATTGCTAAAAAAATAACAATTTTTTATCTTACTATTATAAAAATCATTCAAAGTTAATTAAAGCGATAAAATTTAATAATTAAAAAGTATTTCTAAGAAAAAAATAATATAATTATTTGTTTTTTAAAATAAATTCCCCTCAAAAGGAAGTTAGTATTACAATAAAATATTCCATTAAAGGCTTAATATAAGTTGAATAGTTAATAAAATGCTCAAGCAAATAATAATTTATTAAAAAAAAAATGTACCAATATGTACAATTGTTTGGCAAAGTCAAAATACACAAAAAATAAATACAGCTCAAAAAAAAATCATTCTTAAAACTTTAGATTTAAAATATTTTTACATACTATAAAATAAGATTTTATCCTTTAATAATAAAATACATTCAAAAATACAACATTGATATTATATTATTTGAAGATTTTAAAAATAACTAACTAAACTATACAAGTACAGAAATAAAGACTAGATAACAAAACCAATATAATAATAACCAAAATATTAATTCATAACTTTTTTTTTAATAAGGTCCTAAACTTTGATGGGAAAAAGAATTTTGAAGGTTTTATAAAATCACAGAAACATACTTATTTATATTACTTAAAAAAAGGCAACACAAACATTTGTTATTAAAATTCAGAACAAAAAGACCAAGGACAATATAAATTAAATCAAAAAATAAATAATATGAGGGACAGTAAGAGAAAAAAAGAAGTAATCCGAGTCTTTAAATTTAACTCAAGCACAACGTCTGAAAAGAAAATTCAAAAGAAATAAACATCTACAAAAACAGAATATAATTTTCAAGACATTTATAGAATAAACGAACTAATGATTAAATGACAGAAGCTGCAGAAAATGAATGAGACCAACAGATAGTCAGAAAAAATAAGAAAACGTAAAAACTGATGCTAGATTTCTGTGAAAAACTCAAGAGGTCTGGGAAAATGATGTCAATCTATATATATATATATATATATATATATATATATATATATATATATATATATATATATATATATAATTTAACCAGTAATTTGTGGGTAATGCAGCAAATGAAAGTTTACTTTTTTAAGTTTATTCCAAGCTTTCGGAAATGTTTATTTCCATCATCAGGGAGACTAAAATAAAATAATACCACATATTATGATAAAGTAAGGTAAAATTTTTTAATTACTTACATCTTAATTAAGGTTGTTCATTATGGTGGTATTATTCATTTTAGTGTAACGATACAAAATGGACAAGCTGAATCAATTACAAAATAATATACACAAACAATAATGACGATACTTTAAAACTATCAACTCTCTTATATATATATATATATATATATATATATAAAATTGTTTGTCCTGACTGACTGACCTATCAACCTACAGCCAAAACTACTGAGCCTAGAAAGCTGAAATTTGGAACATAGGTTATAACATAAGCATCCGCTAAGAAAGGATTTTTCAAAATTTTAACTTTAAAGGGGGGAAATTGGAGGAAATGGGGGGGGGGGGAGGGAGCTTTAAATGAAACTCTTTGTTCTTTAAAGTTAGAAACATAAAAATTTAAATTACAGCTACTAAGCATAAATAAATAATAACGTGTATTAGGGTTTTACGATTTTCACATTTTAAGGGGGGGAAACGGGGGGTCAAAGTTTGTATGCGATTATTGATTTTTTTTGTTCTCTTTGAAGTTAGAAACATGAAAATTGGAATTGCAACTACTGACTACAAATTATTAATGACGTGTTTCAGGGTTTTTGGATTTTCACATTTTAAGGGGGGGAAATGGGGGGGTGAGCATTTATTTGGGAGTATCTATGTTTTTGGTTCTATTTAAAGTTAGAAACATGAAAATTGGAATTGCAGCTAATGAATACAAATTAATAATAACATGTTTTAGGGTTTTTGGATTTTCAATTTTAAGGGGGGGAAATGGGGTGAAATTTTATTTGGAGATATCGATTTTTTTAAAGGTAGGAACTTGAAAATTGAAATTGTAGGTTCTCATCATAAATAAATAATGAAGTGATTCAAGATTTTTGCATTTTAACATTTTAAGGGGGAAATGGGGGGGGGGGGGTGAAAAATTGTTTAATAGTATGTATATATTTTTTTGTTATTTAAAGTATGAAACATAAAAATTTGAATTAGAGCTATTGATTAAAAATCAAAAATGATGTGTTTCATGGTTTTTGGATTTTCACATTTTAAGGAGGGAAAATGGGGGTAAAAATTTTTATAGAAGTATATATTTTTTGAACCTTGGAACTTGAAAATTAAAATTGTAGACTAAATAGATAAGGACTAAAATTAAAAAAAAATAATAATTATTCAAAATTAATAAAAATTATTAAAAATTAATAAAAAATAATAAAAATTAAAAAAAAATAATAAAATTTATTAAAATTTATTAAAAATTATTAAAAATTGTTAAAAATTATTAAAAATTATTAAAACTTAATAAAAATTAAAAAAATTAATAAAAAAATAATAAAAATTAATAAAATTTAATAAAAATTAATAAAAATTATTAAAAAATAATAAAAATTATAAAAAAATTAATAAATATTAATAAAAATTAAAAAAAATTAATAAAAAATAAATAAAAAATAAATAAAAATTAATAAATATTAATGAAAATTAATAAAAATTATTAAAAATGAATAAAATTGAATAAAATTAATAAAAATTAATAAAAATTAATAAAAATTAATAAAAATTAATAAAAATTAATAAAAATTAATAAAAATTAATAATAGTTAATAAAAATGAATAAAAATGAGTAAAAATCAATAAAACTAATAAAAAAAGGAAGTCATGTATTTTTTTATATTAATAACACGACTATATGCGAGAAAAGCCGCGGGCAATAATTAGTTACTTATACAACTAATTCAAAAGGAAAGATAGATCTCAAAATTGAAAATCATGGCTCAAGAACTTGATGTAAAGGTCACAAATAACATAACAGTCTTCAAAATGATGTTAGTTGTTCTTACAACTGATTTAAAAAGGAAAGATAGATGTCCAAGATGGCTGAAAACTTGAGAGAAAGACATAACACTCTTCAAAATTATGTCAGTTACCCAAAATTAAGCAAGGATCAACTGTAACGGTTTCTGTTCCAATTAATAATCACCTACATACCATAGTAGTTTATTTTGGAATATACCGTTATCCAAAATGGACATAATGGCTCAACAACTTGAAGCAAAGGTCTAGAATGGCACAGCAGTCTTCAAAATGGTGTCAGTTACTCAGCACCTAAAATAAAGGATCAAATGCATCTTGCATCGGTTCAGATAGTCCTCATATTGTCTTAGAATGACTATGTGCACATCTGAGCCAAACATCCCAACAAGCTCATGGAAGAAACATTCACGAAAAGAAAAAGGACACTCTCTTAAATTAAGCAGCGATCAACTGCAAAGAATTTGCTAACAGTTTATGATCCCCTTACAGATTTGTGTTGTTCAGTACAAGGCAAAAGAGTTTAAAGGAAGAACACTAATAATTGGGAGATGAGAAAACTGGGTTACGTTGAGCACATGATAAAAAATGAAAGTACGAACTTATGTAACTATCAAAAAGGAAACACAGATATCCAAAATGGACATAGCGGCTGAAAAACGTGCGACAGAGGCACAGATAATGTCAGTTATCCAGAAAGGATCAATCATATCTTGTATTGGTTCAGATTCCCAACAAAATCATTAGAGAAACATTTCCTAAAATTAAACTGAGATCAACTCCAATGTTTTTGTTCCAATTAAGAATCGTCTACATACCAGACAGTGGTAACCTGTAGAAATAACAAAAAATGTGTTCAAAAAGGACATAATGACTGAAGAACGTGTGACAAATTCCCACAATGGTGTTAGTTATTCAAAACGAATCAATTATATCTTGCAGTGATTCAGAGACAGTCCTCATATTGTCAAAAACAGCTGTGTACATAACTGAACCCTCAGCCAGATAATCCTAACAAGCTCATGAGAGAAACATTCACTAAGAGAAGAAGAACACCTCGTGATATTAAACTGGGATCGACTGCAATGATTTTTGTTCAATTGAGAATTGTCTATATACCAGATAGTGGTAAATCTTTGAGAATAAGGAAAAATATGTCCAAAAAAGACATAATGATTGAAGAACGTGTGTCGAAGACACAAAATAATGTCAGTTATTCAGAACCAATCAATCATATCTTGCATTGGTTCAAAGACAATCCTCATATTGTCAAAAACGGCTGTGTTAATCTCAACAAGCTCGTAAGAAGAACACCTCCTGATATTAAACTGGGATCAACTGCAAAGTTTTTGCTTCAATCAAGAATAATCCATACATCAGATAATGTTAGAACTTCGGAACTGAGGAAAGAGATGTCCAAAATGGATATAATGACTGAAGAACTTGAGGAGACAGTTTGAAATTTCAATTAAGTCCGTTTTACTTTACCATCCTGTTTGCTGCCAAAGTACTAAAAGATTGTAAGTAAGAGAAGAAAGGGAAGATCAAAAAAGTGATAAGACAAGAGAGGAATTAATTTTTTTTATGAAACCTCTTGACTCGGTAACAAAATTTGTGTTGCAGGTATCAAAAATAATGTAACTTTAAGGCAAAAAATTATATCTAATGAGTCTTTAACAATACTCGTATCTTACGTGCCTGAAAAGGCCGTTCTTAGTGACTTTTATGTCATTATTTAAGGGTTACTACTGAATTTATTAATTAATTAAGTGCCATTTAGAAAAATTTATCATTCATTATAAAATTAACAGAGTGGAAGAGATAGATTTTTTTTGCCCTTCCAGGCTTCTCTGTGCTCCTCCCTGAGGGGTTCCAGCAGACTCCTTCAATCAGTTTTGCTCCCCTCAAAATAAATTAATAAAAAATTTCGAAGAGCTAAAAATTAAAACATGGATTTTCACAAGAATCTCTTTTAGGACCTGTTTTTCTTGATATATATTAACGATTTAACAAAAGTTAAAATATCTGGAAACTTTACAATATTTGCTGATGATACTACAGCTCCCTAGAATGGAAAAGATGCTGAAAATCTTAAAAGCTATATTTCATGTGATTTCAAAACAATTAAAGACGGGTGTGACTCTAATTGCTTGAGTTTTAACACAAAAAAAAAACAAATATAGTTTCATTTAAATTTGCTTTTCCACTTTGTCCGATTTCTATGATTCTTTTTTGTTAGTAAGGGGATACCTCAGTAATAGTACCATTTAAATTTGGTCAAAATGTGGTGATGGCATCTGCAAGATTTTGAAGTCGGTTTTTTAAAATTACTTTTAATACTTGTAAGAAGATCATGTATAGACAAAAATATTCCAACAAATTACTCCATTTTTAAAGTATGTTAATAATAAACAAGATTTAAAATCTCAACTGAAATGTATTAGTAAAAAAAAATATTTTACCGAACTATTGAGGAATTTTCGTTGATAATGGACTTGAATAAATGTGTAGGCGGACATCGATAATCTCATTGGAAACTGCACATAATCCTGTCTTTTGGACATCCCACTGCCTTGCCATGTATTGCGAGAAATATGTATACATAAACATACTGGTAACTGCAATAATAAACAATATTTATGCTACAAATTATTATTATTTACAAGGATTGATCTCAATGCTCCGCCCCTGGCTTTTTTATATAAAAAAAAAACTACAAAAAGTTAATGGGTCTTCACGGTTAGTGGCGCAGAATGAAAATCAATCACTGTATATCAATCATCGAGATAGAATAAAGTAGAGATGACATGAAAATGATTTTATATCATTTATTCTCACCAATACTGACTAACTTCAGTTTGACATATAATGTAAAAGTGTAATGCAAAGGTGAGGACAGTTTAGCATTGTCATGGCATCTCCTCTTTATTCTATCTTAATGATATCAACAAATTACCTTCCCGAAATTCAATATCTTAACTTGCTTGGATAGAACAGGAGGCCTGCCTGGATCTCTATCCCTATTACATCCCTCACATTGTACATCGTTTACCATCTCAGGAGTGACGAAATTAGTGAGCAACTGATGCAGTTTGTGCCTACCCCATCCAAGATCACCTCCGGTGGTCGGTAGAGCCAAAGACAGGCTTTCAAATTTGTCATAACGTACTGCAGACTGCAAATTTATTCAATTTAAATACAAATATTGACAATTTTAATAAAACTCAAGACACAACAGGTCTAGGAAGTTTTGTTCACTTATACATTAGGTATATTGTATAAAATAATATATCTAATGAGGAAAAAAGATGAAGGAAGGTCAATTTAAATTGGGATCTTGTATTAAGCGTGAGTACCTTAAATCCACAATCAGTACACCTCAACTGACTGGTAAGCGTCCCCGTAAAAGGATGACTGGTGGGCTGTTGAGGTGGCCCTGACATCTGCAGTGCCCTACACGATCTGGAAATCCATCGATTCCTTCGTATAGCACCACCTCTCCATCCAGCACTCATTGGCCTACACAATTCGTTCAAAGACATTACGCTGCCTAAAGAATCAAAATCGCCACCTTGGTCGTCTTGATTGTCTTCTAATTCTAGTTCGTTCATACCTAAAGCATCTGATAAACACCCCGCCTGAAATTAGATTCATAATAAAATTTGAGATAAAAATTATTATATAAATAATTTACCTTTCGACCTATTTTTTGCGATTCTTCATCTAAAGTTGTCAAAATAACGTTTAATAATTCATGTGCATCTTGTTCTCCTGCTGGGATTACCCAGCCCAATCGTTTTAAAGCATTTATAACGGCAGCAGGTGCATAAGTGTCTTGTACAGCTTTATTTGTTCCATTTACAACTGTAATATAACAATATTTACCTATAATTTGTTCTATAACAGGATAAGCCACAACACTAATTTATTAAGGAAGCATGTCTTCAAATGTTAAAATAAACTTCAATAACTACTACAACTTTGTTAAAATGCAATAACATGATTTTTCATCTAATTATGGTATTAGTTGGAAAATTTCCATTTGGTTCAAGCTTTCGTAACCTTATTTTTATTGATGTAAAGTAAAAAATGAATTCATTTTAAAAAGTGTAGCTTATTATGTTTTTACAGTAAGCCCTTTAACTCTACAATTGGAAAATAAACCTTGAATTTTAAAATTACTGGGTTTTTTGGATACCAAATTAAAGATGGCTATACAAGTTTGGAACATTCAAAAGCAAATTACAAAGACTTGAGAGAAAGACAGGTTGTAAATTTTTGAGTGCTCTATGTGTTACTTCACAAATTGTGACAAAATGATCATTGAAAATAATAAAAGTAGGTATACACCGATAAAAGTCTAGGGTAGATTTGTAGTTTAGGCGGATACTAAAATGTATGTCCATTCTTATTGCTACTCCTACTTGTTCTGAAAATCAAAATCATTACATAGTTGCCAAGGTTATATAATAGTTGTGTCAGAGTTATTTTATTTATTTATTAAACAGAAAACCCCATTACAAAATAACAACTGAATAATATAATATAATATGGTTTTGTCAACATAAATTTAACAATTTCTAAAAAATTAATTCTAGAAATATAAGAAAGTCTTATCTAAAAAAAATCACAAAAAAATTAATAATAGTATACAATGACAATATTTCAGTGCCTATGGCCTATTCAATAGTAATTATATTGCATCAAAGTATCCTTAGTAGAGTACTCTTAAACACTTAAAAAAGAGTTATTAAAAACATCCAATATACCGTCTCTAAATAATAATTACAATATCTCAAGAATTTATTTTGTAATCTCTTGAGTAATGACTTATAAACATCGAAATAATTAAACCATATTCAAGTTGTGATCTGACCAATCCAACATACACTGACTTCACAGCTTCCAGAGAGAGTTCACAACAATTTCTTAAAGTAAACCCTAACATCCTTTGAGACTTAACCGCTAATTGATTGATATGCTCACTAAAACTTAGTTGAGAATCAAAAATTATTCCCAAATCCTTAGCCAATTCTTTGTCATTCAGCCCATGACCATCTAGTGAATAAGAGGATGGGATCTTATTTTTCTTTTTACTAAAAGAAATCTTAAAGCATTTTTCAATTAGACAAATTATCTAAATCCCTTTGAAGTAAACTAATATCAAAATCATTCAGAAACAATAAAAATTCACAATGCTTTATACAATCTTTGAGGTCATTGACAAACAAGACTAAATAGCAAAGGGGAACAATGTCCACCCTGAGGAACCCCAGACTTGACATCAATCTCTTCTGAAAAAAAATTGCCAATTTTTAACATCAATTTTCTCTCACTAGAATACGATGTACCAATTTTGCTAGACTGTCTGGAAAACCTAGACTTTTTAATTTATCAATCAACAAGTAGTGATTAACTCTGTCAAATGCCTTGGAGAAGTCAGTATATACCTATGGCTTATGTACTAATTTTTTAAATCTAGGAAAACGTACATTTTAAGGGGAAGGAAATTTTTTTAGATATGGATGTATTTTTTTTGTGTAACACAGATTTTCCTTGCCCTTAAAATTAATAAACACAGAGACTAAACAAGAATGGAAATCTATCAATGAGGTAGTGTAATGATTCTGATTGTCAAAACAAGTGGGAGCAGCAATAAGTACAGACATACATTTTAGTACTAGTCCAAACTACAAATTTATCAAGTCTAGATTGAACAACATATTCATATGTGTATTTTTAGATCTTGCAAAGGCGTTTGACACAGTGGCCTCAAACACTCCATAAATAGCTTGAGCACTATGCAGTAAGATGAAATAGGGAAAACACCCATAAAATCTTGTACATACAGGTTTTCATATAGTGCTTTAAAAAATAGTGCACACATTATGTCTGTTCTTATTAAATATAATAAATTGTAAATATAAATGAATGTCAGCATCCTTACCTGATAATACAGTAGCTAAGGTGCTCCTGAGACTGGTTTCTTTCACAAATTTGTCCTTTTCCAGCCACGTTATGAAACTGGGACAAGCTGCTAAAGCGTGCAATATAGCGTTGAGGAAACAGGTTTTTCCTAAGTTTACTAGACCAGCTAATCTACCCCTGCCGCCTCCCGAGCTGGGCGTCGGGCCCCAAAATATAAACGCGCCTACTACTGCTGCTGCAGTTAAACCTGCAGCTACTAGAATTCTATCCGATTCCATTTTTATTTACATAATCGTATGTATTTTGCTTATTTAGTACATGGTATGGCGTACAGACATTGTTGAAATGAAAGTATTTAAATTAGAGCCATTTTTCTGTTATAACAATAAATTCGAATTATAAAAAATCGACTTTTTCATTATAATAATGACAGATGTCAGCCAGCTGCCAGCTGATTGATTGACGTTGACGTTAGTAAGTAGGGCATTTTTTTAACGTGGATCGTGGATGAAATTTGCCAATACTACTATGACATCATAGTATAATCACAGTTAAAAATTTTTATTTAAATTTTCAAATAATATAGAATCATCGATGTTATATTACAAAAATTATTCCAGTATTTAACTAGTTATTGATCAAATAAGTGAGCCAATAGCTTTGATTTATTTATTCAGATTTAATTACATGAATTACATGTATGATAAGATTGAAATCATTTTAATCTTCGTTTATTAGTAATTCCCCCTGCAACAGACATCGTTCTATGTATGCCGTGATAGAATTACAATCTTCCTCCATTTAAAGTTACGTAGTAGATTGACGTTTGAGTTATCATTTTTTAAGAAATCGCGTGCCTTTTCGGCTTATTTAACATATAACGGGTTTTAAAAAACGTCAAGCGTCTAAAATATTAGTGTAAAATGATAATACCTAAATTTTAGGTAAAATATTACTGTGAACTCAATGAAAGAACGATGTATTTAATAATGAATCGAACATAAAATATTTCTAATCATATAACGGTGTCTGATTCATCACTAGGTATCGGACTTTCTGTTAATTTCGGGCAACATAGCTGGGGACGGTTACAATACAATCTCCAAGGAGAAATCGTTTACATTAGAAAATTTGAACTGTAGTACACAAAGTAGTCACTAAAAGAGTTCACCAAAAATTGCCTAACCATTGCTGTCAAAATTGTCAAATTTTACAAATAAAAATGAAATAAACAAATAACGTTCCGCGTTCTGTCATAACAATAAAATTGTAAAAATGTAAAGTGAGTGTTGTTTTTTTTTAATAAAAATTATGGGAACCGATATTGATAAAGAAAATAGCGTTTTTAAATTACTAACCAATCTTTGCGAGAAATTTCACACAAGTCCAGAGGATATAAAATCATCAAGATCAAAATGTTACGAAATTCTACTGGGAAAGCGGAATGTGAAATTCAAAAAAGGTAAGTAAACTCGGTTATTTATCAGTGATTTTATACCGAATGTGTGATGTTTTTAGAATTTACGGATTTAGAAGGTACGTCTGATCCATACTGTAATCTGTTAGCATGGCAATTCAAACTTGTACATAATTATAACATGAAAAATCATGTAGATGAATTAAAAGATGCAGTAAGTAATGTTCAAACATGCCTCGATGGCGATAGGGACTTATTTAACAGTGTTTTAAAGTTTTTAATGGATCTGAGACAAATTCCAAAAACAAATACTAATAAATTAGATATATCCTCTTTACCGCCTTTAGAAGAATACGAAAATTTCAACAAGCTCTTCCAATTACCCGATCATTTTAAAAACATTCACGAATTAGGAACAATCGCCTCATCTAGAACGCTCCTTCCAGAGTATTCTGATCCTCTAAAAGATAAACTCGGTGATATATTTAAAGATAAAGGTTATGAATCAGAATCTCCTACAAAACCGAAAGAAAACATTTGGCAGTTGGTTTCTACTTTGAAATACAGTAATCGAAGAACTTGGGAAAGTTATGGGTATCCGGAACCCGAAAAAGAGCCCCCGTTTTTGTCCGAATTAGGACCTCTCTCTTCATTATGGGTTGAAAATTTGGAATCTTTGTATATGTACAAGTTATTCAAAGATGGGGCTGTGTTTAAATCAAGATTGGTGTCTAGGAAGGATTTTATCAAGGATTTGAAATACTTATTAGGTATGTATGATTGTTTTTATGTTTTATTTATTTATTGAACAAGATATGGGAAATCCCCATTACAATAAAAATATATAAACATTAATTTGCAATAACTTTAAAATCATTTTATAAACAAACACCAACACTTAAGTCAGTCAAGTATTAAGTAATATATTTATTTATTAATTTATTTATTTATTTACTGGCAAGCCCATTTGAGAAATAAATTACAATTTTAAAATTATAATTAAAATGTAGTGAAATATATATGGTGCTGAAATACAAACGTGGTATAATTCATAAAATAGGTTAAGAATTTAAAAGATTTAAAAGACAATAAGGTTGAATAAAATATTTACATTAAACATTTAAAATTAAAGATCAAAAATTAAAGCTCAATACTAAGTAATTGCTTTATAAATTTATGAAAAATATCTTAAATATCTCAAGATCATTATGAGTGTTGGCTAATCTTAACATTCTTGGAATACAGCTGCTAAAAGTATGGTTTAAACGATAAAAAGGTACATGAAATGTTTGTTCTTGTCAAGTTGAGCACATTGGAACATAAAAATTTATTTTTGTTAGCAGTTCAGTACAGCTGCATCTGCCATTGATAATTTTGAAAAGTAATGTCAGGTCTCTCTGTTTCCTCCTAGTTTCCAAAGAGGGGATGTTTAGAAAATTCTCTATCAAATCATACTCGCAAAGGACACCCAATTTATAGGCTATGTATCTAAGAAATTTATGTTGCACATTTTCTATGTTTCTGCTGTATGTTATGTAATGTGGAGACCAGACAGAAGAGCAATAATATAGGTGAGGTCGGACTAGTGAACAATAAAGGACTTTAATTGCAGTTGTGTCAATAAAATCATGTGTTAGCCTTTTGATAAAACCTGAGATCTTATTTTTCTTTTTACTAAATGAAATCTTAAAGCATTTTTCAATTAGACAAATTATCTAAATCCCTTTGAAGTAAACTAATATCAAAATCATTCAGAAACAATAAAAATTCACAATGCTTTATACAATCTTTGAGGTCATTAACAAACAAGACTAAATAGCAAAGGGGAACAATGTCCACCCATAACATTTTCATGGATTTATGGATAGCCTTAGGTATGTGTTGATTGAAACTTAAAGTGGGATCTAGAATAACTCCAAGGTCTTTAATTTGATTAACAGACTCTAAGATATGACCATTTAAGTTATAATCAAAAGTAGTAGTTGGTACATGGGATTGATAAAAGTGCATGACATGGCACTTTATAGCATTCAAATCCATGCCATTTAAGAAACACCAGTTTGATAGATTATCAAAGTCAGACTTGAAGCCAGAGGGCATCATAAATGGTTTTAATAGTTAGGAAAACTTTTAAATCATCTGCAAACAATAGTGCTTTGCCATACTGAAAACAGTGAATGATGTCATTTATAAATAAGTTGAATAATAAGGGACCAAGGTGTGATCCTTGAGGAACACCTGAGGTAACTTGAAATGAGTTAGAATAGTGATGGTTTATTCTAACCATTTGAATTCTGTTCGTAAGATAGCTACTAATCTATTGCAGTAAGACAATATTTATGCCATATTTATCGAGCTTTTGAAGTAAGAGAGAATGGTTAACCCTGTCAAAAGCCTTAAAAAAGTTAGTGTACACAGAATCAATCTGGCAATCCTTCTCCAAAGCGTCCGACAGGAAGTCGACGTAGATAACTAGATTTAATTCAGTCGACTTCCCAGCACAAAAACCATATTGATGATCCGTTATGATGCCAGAGCAATCATAAGTAAGGTACTTGTGACGAAGTCACTAAAATTTCCATTAATTTATTCCCTAAATTAATTTTTAAAACTAATTTCCGTCTATGAACATTTGCGAGACCCCCTGTAACTAATATTTCCATAGAATTACCGTTTTTAAACCTTTGCAAGGGCCCATAAATTAAATCATGTCTTAAAATCTTAATTCTGGTAGGTTTATCAGTATGCCGATCAATTAACATTTTTTTGCAAAACAACTAATAACAAAGGAGTAGGAACTAGCGTCCCCACTCTGGCAAAAGTCCGACTTTTGATAAAAGCAGACGTTTTCGATGGGAGCTCTCTCTTATATCCCAGCTTTTGTTGAATGTTGACCGATTTACGTTATACTGTGCTTCAGAGTAGTTTTGCCGTTCGAGACCGATTTTTCGCAATTTACATTTCGTGCACCGAAAACCGTTGTGAGGAATTAATCAAGGTAGGCACTTTAAAATTCCGTCTAATAATTCTCCCTGCAACGTTCATTTTCCGTTTCCATTGTCTACTTAAGGAATTCGACCTGTACTTTTAATTTCCTTAGTACCTGTCAGGGTAATAAAGTAAATTGGATTTAAATCCGGGGACACTCGCACCTTTCATCCATTTTCGCGTTAACCAGGGGGTGATAGCGGTATTCGCTTGTTCCCCCCGTCGATAATCAGAGCTGTTTCAGACCCTATACTAGAACAAAATATTGGAGAAGGTGAGTCATATGCGTGATCAACACTGTTGTCTATGAATGAAAATTCCGACGGAAAGTAACATAGGCGGCGGATCAAATACCAAATAATTATTAATTATTTATTAGGTATTTGTTAGTAAACTTTATTAAATTTGTTTGTCAACATCTTTATTTAAACAAAGATGATGATTAAAATAACCAAAAAAGGTTGACAGCTGTGTGCACGTAGTTTAGATTCAAAAGGAAAAACTTGTATTTCGTGCAAATCTTTTTTATTAATCAATGCAAAGCGCTTTCGGCTTATTTGCCATCATCAGTGCTCATTGTCCACAACGTATCCAACAAGTTCCTGGTCATCCTCACTCCCAAAATTATATATTTCGGGATATTTACAACTTGCTAAATCATAATTTTATTAATATTAATATTTTCAAATTTAAATTTCTCTCTTCATTTTGGTTCAAGTTGAAGAGAGAAATTTACGTGATTCCGATAACTTCTGCAGTTTTAAGCGCGTGATTCCATTCATTATGCTATGGTATAGTACGATGATTGTACGTGAATAGGGATGAGTCACCTTCTCCAATATTTTGTTCGAGTATAGTCTTTATAACAACTCGGGGAAAGGGTTTCTTTTTTGTAGAAGCTATGGACTACCAGATGTCTACATAAGAGACACTTTAAACCGAATAAATAAAAAAGAAAAAACCGTGACTGTTCCCTAAAGTATTGGTCGAACGATCCCGTCATAAATACATTTGTTATTTGGGGTTATTGTGCCTGGTGTAAAGTAATAAGTGCGGGGAGGATATTAACCGATATTCTTACAAGTGCAACAGGTATTTTCCTTTCATGAGTGCAGAGTGATACAGATCACCGCCGTTTATTCTTTTTTTTTTATATTAATCACCGAGAGAGAAAATTATTATTTTTTTTATTTTCTAATCATTATAGTTCAAACTATATTTTTTTACCGTTGTTACATATACTGGGTGGTGTGATTTCACCCAAGTTCCATTTATTTTATTTGTTGCCTGTTTATTTTATTTGTAAATATATATTTGGTTTTAATTCCTGAGTTTAATTTTGAGATACCTCTTTACTTTTTTTTTTTTTCATTTTCACAGGTTAGTTATTATCAGGTAAAAGTGCAGTGCGAAATTTTATTTTTACTTTTATTTTATTGCCCCAGTGTAGGTTAGTAAGCAGTGAACGTCTGGTTGTTGTATTTATTTTCGTTTTTTTTGTACCTGGACTCCACTGAGTCTGCTGAGGGTGTACTCTAGGTGCGCCGCAGAGCCGCAGAGTAGACTGCGTGACCAAAACTGGCGCCTGGGCAACCCTTATTCGAAGAACAGCCTAGCGCCACCCCAACCCTTTTCTTTATTTTTAGGGGTGAAGAAAAGGGGTGTTACATAGTCTGTTATAATGTTCTCAAAAACTTAGGTATAGTACTGAGAATATAGGTCGGTAATTTTTGATGTCTGACTTGCTACCCGATTTGTATATTGGGGTGACATAAGATAGTTTCCAATAATCTGGAAACTCACCTGTGGCGATTGATTTATTGAAAATATAGAAGAGAGGGCGAGACAATAAGAAGCTGCAATTTCTGAGTAGGATGGGAGGAATAATGTCAGGACCTGGACCTTTCTTTATGTCAAGATTAGATAATTTCTCGTAAATGGTCGAAATAGGAATGTGGTAAGAGGAAACATTAAGTTTTGATTCAGTATCGTTAAAATTTTGATTTAGATTTTGATTAGTGTAAACTGATGAAAAATGCTTGGCAAACAGATTTGATACTTCATTGCCACAAGAAGCAAAAGAGTCTTCAAGGTTCATATTATCAGGTATGGTGTTATTAGATCTTTTGGTACATACAAAATTCCAAAAGGCTTTAACATTACTTTTAACAGAAGTTTCAACAGAATGTAAGTAATTTGAATAGCATTCTCTAGATATAATCCTGCATTGTGATCTTAACTGACTGAATATTTCATAATTTTGGGGAGTCCTGTTTAGCTTGTAAATCTTATGTGCAACCTTTTTATCGTTAACCAAGCTTCTGAGTTGAAAAGAATACCAATGTGGGAATCTGTTTATAAAAAATTTCTTTAAGGGAACAAATAATTTAATTACCGAGTACAAAGCGTCATAAAAAGTAAGAATCATTTCTAAAAGTTTTTTTAGTTAATTATAAGTTATACTTATAAGTAAATCAGCTGCAAGAAGTAACTGCCTAATTGATAGGCGACAAAGTAATTATTCAAAACCTAAACAGTGATATTGATCAGGGTTTTATAGGTTTTTTTTATGTGTGCCTTTTTTATAGTGGGTATGGCCTCTGAATCTTTTGCGTTCGATGAAAATGGTGCATTTTATCTAGTACCGGGTATAAGTATTGAAGCTATCACTCCAGATTCTTTACTAAGGTACTCCAAAGAAATTATGTTTACTGGCACTTGCTGCAAAGCCCTAAATAAGCTGAGTACGCCAAATTTGGAAACAGGAAGATATAGATATGAAGGTTACGTTTATACAGTAAGCGATTTTATACTATTATTAATAATTTTCGATTTAAAAATTGATTTTTTTTAAAGGAATTTTGTGCAAGCGTTAACCGCTATTTGAAATTCTACCAAACTGCCGTATTTTCTATACCGAATGATATAAATTTTTTACAATTTCTCGAGAAAACTTACGATTTGAGAATACAAGTGAATACATTATCATCGGTATGCAAAGTTGGACCTTATATGGTGCCAGAAATGATGGAGAACGGCGTAGCTCTACTAAATTATTTGTATCATAAAGTACTTAGTGTAACAGATCAGAAAGTTATTTATGTACTGTATTCTATATTGTATCCATGTTGCCAAGTTTATTTTAGGTAAGAAAATCGATATTTATAGCTTTATATTTCAGCAGATTATTGTATTTCTCCTAGTCTAGTTAGTCCCTGAAATGACGCGATTTATTGTATTTTAGCCGGTTTCTCAAACAATGGATGTTGGAAGGATCTCTAAATGATCCGTACGATGAATTTTTTATAAAAACCAACTCGAAATATATAACGTCCAGGGGTCGAACGTATTGGACTAGAAGTTTCAGCTTTAGAGAGGACTTTGTACCAGATTTTCTTGTAGATTTAAAATCCGATATACTTGCGTGCGGAAAGGCGATGAGTTTGTTGAAATGTTGCACCAGATCGGTTAGTAAAATTATTTTTTTTTATATATTTTGGATATATTTTGCTTGATTTTTAGAGTAAACTGCGATTGTACTTGATGGGTAAAAAACCGCCAATAATATCTTGTTGCGTAACTTCAGAGCAACTATCAGCATTGAGACAGAACACTACGAGTTATTACCTGGACGTATACGAAGAGTGCGGTCCCAGATTCAGCATGCAAGAAATTATATCGAAAAATCAACAAATCGATCCTTTGGTTTTAGCACTGATGGCAAAAAAACGAACCGCGACTCTAAAAAGAATCGAACGTAAATATTAACTCAATTTTTAACACGGCAGTTAACGTGTTGGAATGTATTTTTTGTTTTTTCAGTGGAACGTGAGAAAATAATTCTTAAACGTAACGAGAAGAAATTGGAAGAGATAACAATGTTGAAGGAACAGTATGAAGTGGCGTTGGCTTTAAAACAACACTCACTAGCTAGGGAAATTGAAATAGAAATGAACCATATCGGATATAATCTCGAAATCGAGTTGAAACGGCAAAAGCTGCTAAAAGATGAGGCGTAAGTAAACAAATTTGCCAGATTTAATAAATTATCGAAATGACGGTTTTTCTTTTAGAGAAAAAATGACGATTTACTACACGAAACTGTTTGAAATGGCTGACAAAAGGAAAGCGAAAATTGACAACCATATAAAACTGATGAAAAGCATCTACATGGAGCATACAATTCACAGGGAAGAACTGCAGCATGCTCCCAAAGAAAAACAGCTGCTTCCAAAAGAAGAAACTGCCAAAGAAAAAGAAGATCCAATAGAAATAAAAACCGATAATGGAGGTGATTACTATTCAACATCAGATGAAGATAAACAATCGGAGTGTCAAATAATAGAAAATCGCGTCGTTGAAGAAGAAGAGGAAGAAATAATAGACAGTTCTCTGGATGTGATTAACGCCAATGTGGAACTGAAGGATAAAAATGCTAATGTTGCAAAATTATCGGCGAATATTCAGATGGCGATCGATAATTTTGAAGCGGCCAAAAAGAACAGGCAACGTGTTATGACTGAAGAATTAGGTATGAACTTTCTGTCTTTTCTCAAAATCTCTTATAATATATGTTTTCAATAATGAAAAATATTTGAAACCTTCATTATATTTTCATAATACGTGAATTATTACATTGAATGCTTTCATGCCTAGAATCTGCAAAACGATCGGCCAAAAATATTACACTTATTTAGCGCCTAGATTTAAAAATATCGTCCCTCTTGAAATTATTTTTTGGCAGCACATTTCATGCATTAGCTTATGTGATTATTGATAGTACCAATACCACTTGTTGTATTTATGTATGATAATTTCGTAGGTGTAGATTATCGCAGAACGACCTTAACTCCACCAGCGTACGTAACAAATGCCGCCTACCTCACCGAAGCGCAAAAAAATAAGTTGAAAGTATTGAATTCGGAGTTTTGTTTGCCGGTCAAACCGGAACTCATAAAAAGTAAAATCTTAACGTTGGCGGCCATCAACAGGAACAAAATCATGGGGTTGAGCGATTGCTTTGACTACAAATTGGACAACGAGAATTTCCTGAACAGAAACGTGAAGAATTACGATCACAAAGCACCCAGTACTGTAAAGAAGTCCAAGTCGATGAATCTTGATTTACAAAAGGTTCGTAGAATTTTAATCTTAGTAGAAAATATCAAACTGACACATTTTAGAACAATATTAAGTAATTTATTATCAAAGCCTGCAGATTTACACCATTTCATATTATTTAAATTTAGTTTTTTATTAACGATTATCCCTGTATTTGACCACATATTGTATAAAAGTGTTGTTTCAGTAAAATTATTAATTTATTTATCATTATTTTTGGGAAATCATTTTTTATGGTTGTAAAGTGGGTTTATATTTAGTTGCGGTGGTTGAACTACAGACAAGGGAACAACCTATGATTCAAACCAGCTCCTTTTATTTATTTATGACTTCAACTTAGTGATATTTGTGTTTCAGGAAAGCTCGAAACAGTCAAAATTCGACACGGATCGCCCCGTACCGATGTCGGTAGACTCCACCCCTTTGAGCGAATTGCCTCAATCTCCCCTAATCACGCCCAGTTCGACGTTTCTCAGTTGCGATACGTTCCGAGGCGGCGAAGACAGCAGCGCCCCCACCACCGCAGACACGCATCTTACCGAACACGATTTCGATTTTAATCGAGAACAAGAACGATTAATACCGATTTACGCAGATAGGAGCGAGGATAAGTCGCAGAAAACAGTTTTTTCGAAACGCGTGACGGAAACCGAAGCGGCCGGAGTGTCTACGAACTCGTTGGGGTTGTTTTTACACGAATGCGTCCAAATACCGCTCGTCACGCAAACCAAATTGATCAACGAGGAGTTGTTGAGGTATTTCGTCGAAGATTTGGAGTACTTGAAACATCTGTCGAGTTTGAGGGACTATTTTTTCTTGCAAGACGGCGAGTTCGGTAGGCATATTACCGATAAATTGTTCACTAAGTTGTACGAGGCGAATTTTCCGGCTCAGTTGATCAATTGTCGCATCTTAAAGGATTTGGTGTTCGGAGCTTTGGATATGTCAAATAAGAATCAGAGATTGGCGTGTCATTTGTCGTTCAGAATCAATAGTGTGCCAAAGTGTTTCGATTTGGGAAATCCCGATGTTTTAGACTGTTTATCGTTGACTTATAAGGTACTTTTTCTAATTGTACGTAATTATTATATATTTTGTATGTATTAATTGTTTTTAGATAAATTGGCCGTTAAATATAATCCTTCCGAGCGATGCCATTGCTAAATACGATGAAGTTTTTAGATTTTTGTTAAAATTAAACAGAGTTTCTTGGGTACTGAAGAAAATATTTTTGGTAAGTGCGACTGTTTGATAAAAAAAAATGACAAACAATGTTTAGACGGAGTAAACTATCCCTGCCGAACAAGCTTCTACTCTATAAAACCATTTTTAGGCCTATACTGACATATGGTTGTCCAGTATACTGCTCAATGTCAAATTCATCCTTCGAACCGTTGCAAAGGGCACAAAACAGATGTCTGAGGCTAGCACTTGGCTACGACCGCTATGCTAGAATACGAGACATTCACGGGACGACAAATATGCCTATGATTAAGGATTTCATCATACATACATCCGAGAACTTTTTCGCGCGGTGCCTCCCTGAGGAATTAAGGGAAAGCATCACCCAAATTCACCAGGGAGACGGCGTGCGAAGGAAGCACGGCTGCATCCATAGTAATCTAGGCATATATAGACGACAATAACAGGACTCCTGACAATTCCCAACAATACTAAACAATAATTCACACGGACTAGATATTTACGAATTCTAGTCCGACGGAGGACTGAACTATAGTGTTAAGTCTTCACTTATTTAATATAAATTTAAATTATCATCCAGTATATAACGTAATATGTCATATATATTTATTATTCCCAATATTATACTTTGCCAAGACGGTATTGCCCTAATGAGTAAACGGCCATATCCGCGGTGGCGAAGAACGAGTAAAAATTCGACCGACCGGGCAGAAATCAGTATCGCCTCGAGTGTCGTAAAATACAGATCTGTTTAAGCTTGCGATTATTAGATACAAAACCGGTAATTCTACATTCCCGTCAAATACCAGCCCCTAATATACAGTCCACGACCCCTGCAGCATAGGGTGGACGCGCCCAGGAAAGAAGTAAGCATCAGGAAGCCGGGAAACTTAAAGGTAGGACCTGACTGGCAAGGCTTTAATTTTCTTTTGCGCGTTACATACTCTAGCTTAACCATAACCTAGACATATAGACTGACCGGCGGAGCCGCGGCCGATAGCGAATATTCGCACTCGACCGAGGCACTTCCGGGTGGTTTTATGGTTCACCCTCTTTGTGAATTATGACAAAAACACATAGACTACCACAAGACACACACCACCAACGACAACCCTGTTTTTTCTAGCTTTTTCAGGGGACAATAACGAAACTAAGACACGACAAACCCTCAAATACATACAATTCCTGACCATAATCCTTCCTAATCCCTTAATAATACCCCTTGGGTAAGGAGTGAGGGCGGCTATATTTATAGCATAATCACAATAGTTAAAATATGAATACATATACAGGGTGAGAGATCGCCTAGGCCTTATTCGCGTGAGATAAGGTCGCATACTGTACTGTGTACAGATATGTTTTATTTGTATATATGTAGATATATTAGTTGTAAAAATTTTTCTAAAAATTGAATAAAATGTTTGAAATGAAATGAATGTTTAGTTGAACGACACAACTAACATTGATATTTATTGATTTAAACTTCTTGACAGATGTTATTATTTCGAACTGCAGACAACTGGCATATGACATACTTACAAAATGTGTTTATTACATTAAAATTATCGTTTTCGTGTGCAGGAATTAAAAGTGTTGGCACGAGAAACGGGCAAAAAAGAAATCTACTTGATGGCGTCGCCCCAATACAGAAAACTCCACCAATGCAGGCACATAATGACGCATTTCGTGCAAACGCTACAAAGCTACGTGGTGGGTGAAGTCTTGCAGTCCAAATGGGCGGAGTTCGAGAAAAATTTAGCGGCCGTTACCAGCTTGGATGAACTTTACGATGCGCATACTGCTTATATTAAGAACATACTTTTCATGTAAATATACATCGATTTTTAGGAAATTTGATTATTAATGGGGATATTTTTAGGTGTCTATTGACGCAAAAAATGGCGGTGCTGAAGAACATCATCCACAAAACGTTTATGGTTATTTTGAAGTTTTACGACTATTTGCGATCGAGGAGTTGGACTTGTGATGGAGGGTGTTACGTGCATCCGAATTTCAGCAAATTGGAGAGCATATTTAAGAATTTTCAGGAATTCCAATTATACATGTTTAAAGTTATTAGAAAAGTTGCTAAATCGGGTTATCAGCCGCATCTTATCCAGTTATTGGAAATGTTGGATATCAATCACTATTTCAGCGAATGTCTCAAAAAACACAATGTGGTAAAATAATAGTTTGATTCTTGCGTTTTTAAAAATAATCACTCTACACAAACACGTTTTGTTTGGCTTTGTTGTGTACATAACCTCACTTTATCGTCATTATATATCAGTTTACAATGATTTATCGAAAAATTTTTGTTCTTATTATAGATAGGCTTATTAAACAGTTGCGTTACGTTTAAATTATTTATTATTAGCGTAAGAAGTTTGTTATATATTTTTTCACCGTTCTCAGCAAAGTTTATTTATATATTATAAATAAAATAATGCGTTATTTTTACATGTAGCTTTATTTTCGTTTAACTGCTAAATTCTTGGACGATTTTATATTAAAATAATTCGTAATGCCGCGATATTCTTTATCCAATGAATTACCCCAACTCCAAGAAATTCTTTACAAATTGGCAACGCTGTAATCGATTTGTATTTTTCGCATGTTTTGTATCCTAAGAAAAGCCCCAACTACGAGAAGTTCTCTTGAAATTGCCGCGATATTTTGTGTCATAGGAAAAGTACCAACTATCTACGAGAAATTATCTACAAATTAGCAACATGCTGTAATATATTTATTTTCATATTTGTTTATCTGAGGCCGCGATATTTCGTATCCTAGAAAAAAACCCTAACTACAAGAAATTCTCTACAAATCGACAATGCTGCGTAATCATTTGTTTGTATTTGCGACGATATTGTATCCTAGGAAACAAATCAACGATTTCAAACAATATCAAGATGTCCGACGGTACATTCTTGTTATGTTTGACTGGTCAAATAGAATGGGTAGATATTTTAGCATCCAGTGGCAGTTCGTGGCATTGCAAATACGAATTCTCATCTGGACCCGACTGGCGAATTTTAGGCGGCCTGGAAGCCGGTCTATCCCAAATAGTAAACATAATAAACAATGGTGACAAAGTTGTTTTGAATCTACCTATCGAAATCCAGTATAAATCAACGAATCCATACGGTTGGCCTCAGCTGGTGCTCAGTGTTTATAAGGAAATGCAACTTGCTGGATACGGTCGCTGCCATGTTCCTTTAAAACCGGGAAATCATACAGTGGAAGTGAGTTTAAGCAAACCCCAAGCTTCCTCCATATTGGGATACGTGGCGTCGTTTTTTGGATACCAACCCGAATTACTGCAACCGAAAATGTTGGCCACTACCGCAGGAAACAATTTAATTTTAATGGAATCATCCGGTACGGCGCAAATATCTTTCAACATCGTTTCTCAGGGCTTTCAAAGTTTGGGATACGATATCGGGGTCGTAAAGGATTGACACATAGTTAAATAAGTTTATTTTTGTATAATTTTAATAAAAACATTTTTTTTAATACATAATTCTTCACTACTTACTTTACCAAATTAGGTACCTAAAATTTTAAAAAATTACGAGCGTAAATTTAAATTTGTTTTCTGTTATCTTCTGTTTTTTGCTGGCCGTTTACTTGCCGGCATTAGGTTCATTAGAGCAATAATGTATATTGTCATATAGATTGCTCACCCATATGTAAATACTAGCTTTGTTCGGCTTACCAATTTTAAGCTGTTTTTTAGCCACCACATTGGTTTAAAATATTTTTTAAACCATATTTAAAGTGACGTCATGAATTAATAGATGGCAAAAATAGGGTGTTTTAAAAATATAATCTGCTGTCACATGACAAAATTTTTTTGATCGTATTTTTTTTTTAATGATTGTTAAATCAGATGAAGGAAGATAAGTGTTTGATAGCGATTTTAAGTAAAAATTGAATTGTTTTTAATAGGTACATTGGAATCTGAAACGTTATTATTTTATTTTTGGTATTTTTCTTGTCAATAAACATATGGTATCATATTTATTCCGTAGTTCCACAGATACGCGATTGTCTAACGATTATTTGCTGTAGATTTGTTGGGCTTTTCCAAAGTTCATCAACTGCCAAAGAACGTTTAATTGCTTTTAAATATTTGCTGGCAAATTCAGAATCTGAAGCAAACTACGTAATTATTTTTGTAAAAAACGTACAATTGATAAGTAATCCTTTAACCTTACTTTAATTGAATTATTGTTTCATAATCAAGAGTAACCCATAGGTAGATCACATTGTCCAACTGTTTATGATGACCATAAATATTAATATTTGTATTAAAACATTATAACCAATTAATTTATGAATATGAATCACATAATATATGTATGAAGTTATCAAAAATCAATAAAAATCAACAAAACGTCAAATATATCAAAATGTTCAAAGATGGAACAGAGCAAAACAACATACAACAGCCACAATCAGAATCTCTTATGTGTCAACCGTTATTGAACCATATGCCTCCCACTGGTTCAAAAATTCTAGCTTTGGTTTAAAATATTTCGTACGCGACGTCATAGTTGCATCACTAAAATTTAAACGGTTTAAAACAGTCGAAAATATTTTAAACCATACACTCGCTAAAAAATACCTTTATAATGTTTCAGAACGATTCAGAACTGTGTGAAATTAGTTGCGCACCAAAATTACACACGAAACCGTCAATCTTAGAGTGTCTAGGACTAGATTTGGAGAAACCCGAACACGTAAATTTAAATGCGTATGATTATAACGCATAGCTTTGTTCGGCTTACTTTTGGGGACAGTTTAAAATCGTTATAATCATACGCATTTAAATTTACGTGTTCGGGTTTCTCCAAATCTAGTCCTAGGACACTCTAGGATTGACTGTTTCGTGTGTAATTTAGTGCTCAACTAATTTCACGCAGTTCTGAACCGAACAAAGCTAATAGCTTTGTTCGGCTTACCAATTTCAGAACGATTCAGAACTGCGTGAAATTAGTTGCGCACTAAATTACACACGAACATATGGATCAGCAATCTATACAGCTATATATCATTGGCTCATAGAAATTTGACAGTTGACAGCATTTCGGCCTCTTACATACAAGCCTTTCTAAAGTAAAATGTGAAGCAGAAAGAAGAAGCTGCCAATAGAAAAATAAAAAGAAGCTGCCATTAACCTGTAGGATTTGTTTTTGTTTTGGATTTTTAAATTTTTAGAATATTGTTTTTTAAAACAGTACATAAGAATGGATGAAATTGAAAAAAGATTGTACTCAAATAATTCGATCAATGTATCTAATTTGGTATCTAAAATAGTTGTTAATGTTAAGAAAAAACACGAAGATGGAATAAGAGAGTATCCAGAAGTTAAATTTTTGAAAGAAAAGTTTTTGACCACCGATTCTCTTATTAGTGAAATAATAGGAATTGGTATAATGCAATTAATAAACGATGGTGTGCTGCCAATTGAGAATGTTCTTACAGATTTATTGAGCAGTTTAGATTCAGTCAGGTATGTTTTTAATTAAATATTAAACTTGCATTATTTTTTAAATAAATTTTAGATGTTATCCCAGCTTAATCAATATATTGGGGGATCTATTACATCTCCATTTACAGAAAAAACATGTTAATTACAATTTAACTAATCCGCAACATCCTTTTATAACATTATTGATGAAAAATCCAGAAGTGTCTCATTATATTATAAACAAATTAAGGAATTTACTAGTATTAGGAAAGTAAGATACTTAAATAATATAAATACAAAAAATACAAATCAGTGATATTAAAATTTTTAGGTGTGATCATAAATTATTTCAGTCATTTTATTTGTATAGTTTAAACTGTCCTTCAAAAAGTTCAGTATATATATTGAAATTCAGGTTGTGGAATTTTTTGTTGGACCCTAAATGCATAGAAACAGTTCCTAAACATTCCTACAATACTTTTTTAAGTTGGTTTCAGGTAAGTTTAAAGTCAATAGGTACTAGGTACTTTACAAATTTAATACTTATTAAAAAAACCTCTTCTAGGTGGATAGAAGGGAAGATTTGGAAATAATAAGTGACCAAATCACAGATGCTATTGATGTGTCCGTAAAAAATAAGGATTTCTTAAATTTGGAGATGTTAATATTATGGCAAATCAACATTTTATGTAATTTATCAAAACATAAACTAGATCTACAACCTACTCTAAATTGTTTGATACAGAATTTAACTGGTAGAAAATTGATCACCATTGATTGCATGCTGATTATTCTGTCTCAAGTAATTGATAATTGTTCTCCTTTATATTTAAAGCAAGTATTAGAATTATGTAAGAAATTTAAACAATTTTGATTTATAATTTTTATTACAATTTACTAATTTTAGGCAAAAGTTTAATTGAAGAAAATTCTGCCAATTTGTATTCTATGTGTGCCCTCAAAGCTGCTATATTACAATGGCTTGCATCACCCTGTATATTAACTATTGAGGCGTATGATACAGCAACATTTATTTTAAAACTACTTTGTGAAAATAGAGATATCAAAACAAATACTGATTTAAAAAAATTTGCTCAAGAATTTAAAGATCAATTATGTACAAATAAAAATATCTTTCTTTCTGTAAACATTTCTATACAATTAGAACATTTAATAAACGAAGAATATCTTAGTAAATTTGTAGAAAACATTAAAAATACACCCCATGAATTCAAATCGGACAATTTTAACTTTTTGTGCAGTTTAATGTTAATAGATCACAAAAATCCTGATATATCTGTCGATGTTTTGGATATGCTGTTAAAATGTGTTCAAAATGACATTTCTTTATCACCAAAACTACTCACTCTGATTTTTTATAAAATTTCCAACAATCAACAACCCAAATTCAATTTTGCTTTGTTAAAATCATTGCCTAAAATGGTCATTTTGAGAGATAACATTCCAAAAGTCGTGGCCGCCATACAGGCAATCAGTAAAGGATCGGAAAATTTGTATAACATTGGATTATCGCTAGCGTTCGATGTTTGGAGATTGGACCACAAATGTTATACTTTTTTGGAAGATTTGTTGGTAAATAATCCGCCTACCAGGAAGAAGTGGGAAAGAAATATCATTAAGGCTGTTATTTTGAAGGAATTGTGTGAAAAAAAGTAAGATTGATTTAATGTTTATTTTCCTAGACTATTGTATGCGAAAATTTTTGGAATATACAAACAGGAATAAATAAAAATAAAATGAAGAAATTTCATCTGGCTATACTTTTATAATTCAGGAAATTTTCTTGGCCTATAATTTTATAGCACAGGAATATTGAATAAAAATATAGAAAATGCAATAACCATAAATAATCACTTTAATATTTTACGCATCCATTAAAAATCACCTTTGGTTGTTTGTTTAGCAAGTTTAACTTATCTATATAATTAAAAAAATATAATTAATAAAAAATATAACCCAGAAAAATTTTACAAGTAACTTTTTAGACCAGAACTGTATGGAAAAGACATAATAGCTCATTTATCTACAATGTTAAATGAATGTAACGATGAAGATGGCACCTTACCGTGTGCTATAGCCATTGAAGCTATAACTATCTTGTGCAGATCTGGCGTTATAGATATCAAAACGACTTGGGCCACTTTAGCTCCAAAATTCAGCAACGATTACAGATACCCCGTCGTCAAAAGGTATATTTTTATACACGCGAATAATGGACAGTGATTGACTTGTAATTTTTTATAGTTTATGTAGTTTGATTCAAGAAATACCACAATTATTGAGTACCGAGTCTTATATTGAATTGTTCGAAGAAGTTGTACAAAAATTGTGGCAGTACGTCGATTTTGGTGATAATAAAATTAGCGAGGTTGCTTTATTGAGTATAACTACTTTCGGAATTGAACATATTCGTAAAAGTTTGCCAGAAAAGTATTTGGAAATCAACACTGTTACCAACTTAAACTCCATTACAGGTAAAATACAGTAATTTTTTTAGTTTGCAAATAAAAACGTTGGAAAAAAAATTTTAGGTAAAACTTGGGTACATTTTCTGATCGAAAATAACGCATCTCCCGCTGCTTTAAATTTTATCAAAAAAATGGTATCTAACGAAATTGATGAGTATTTGAAATATGTATACCAAAGTAAAGGACCTAAAGAACCCGTAAATTATGGGTACTTACCTTCTCACAGTGTCGTTCGAGCTATTGGGGAATTTATAAAAACTTGGGTAAGTAACTACAGTTGAAAAATCAGATAAAGTTTTTGAAATACATGTATATTAACCTCAGAAAAACAAATGAAATATAGATAAGTAACGGACGCCGTTTAACATAGGCTTTGTTTGAAGCCAGTAAATATGAACGTTCGGCAGATGTGATCTCTATGGGCGTACGAAATAGTTTTTTATCAGACTCCAAAGGACTGTTTTGTAAATATTTTGTCAAGTACAAATTTAAAAAAAAATGCAGTTCAAACAATTTTATTTTACAAAAAATAAATAAAATAAAATATTTATGCGTGGTGGATAATTTCCAGAACTTCTAGACTAACTGGGCTTCTAGTCACAGTTGATCTTTCTAGACTGTTACAATTTTATATATAATCGAATTCTTTCGCCGTTTAAGCTATAAGTTTGGATATAAATGTTGTCAAATAAAGATAAATTGTAAAAATAAATTAGGAGTGTGAATTATAATAGTGTTTTAAGTATTATAAATAAATTAATCATAGTACGCGGTGTAAATAAATAAACTGGTTTAAATAAATTATTTTTAAATTAAACAATCGTAACTGTAAATAAGTAGTGAACAAAAATTGCAAAAGCACTGTGTGATTTAAAAGTGACCCAGTTACGTTGAGAGTTAGAAGAATGTGAACTCGAGACAACGGGGAAGAAAGTGGAGCTGGCAAAACGTCTGAAAGAAGCAATAGAACGTAAGGGACAGGTGACTTTGAAAAACTTAAAAAGTGATTAAACATGCGATATGGCCATGGACTCTTGGAGCATTTATACCAATCACAGTTAAATAATCGCAAACAAAAATGAGACGAGACCCTTCAAAAATAAGAAATGGATATTGACAGATTGGTACGATTTGCTTACCCATTAGCTCCGGAAAATATGATGGAATGTTAAATCAAAGCAATACCTGAAAAAACTATATTTTTTATTATGTAATGTTTATGTCTGTATTTTATATGTATATGTGTATTAGAGTTCACTTCTAATGTATATTTATTTGTTTGTCAACAAGATTTTGTCTTAGACAATAAACGCATATATTCTCTTTCTCTGTCCAAACATTTGTTGATGGACTCCGTGGCCATAAACACATTCGAGCCTCAATCATGAATCAAAAGAAATCTAGGGTCGGAGTGGTCCTCGGCCCCTCGCACAAAAATAATATAACTTGCTTTATTTAATTACTTACTTACTCACTTACTTTACTCACTTACTTACTTTACTTACTTACTTGTATAACTTATAAGGACCAAGTTGGGAATTAAGTAAAATAGGAATTGCTTCCTGCTATAAGTTTGCCTTTCCCGGCGGAATTCATAACAAAATCATAATTTATAAAATGTTTTTAATATAATTTTAGGTTTTGAATCCAAATTTCCATTGCGTCAAGGTTTGCATAAAAAATGACTAATACTATTCTACAGTATTTTGTTCACACCAATGGAGAAAGGAGGAAGTACTAGAAAAAATGGTAGATACTGACCTCAATCAAATCCAGACTCTTACTTATCTATATTTCTTTTTTTTTTTCTATCTGAGGTATTAATCTTTTAACTTTCCTTGAATGAACAAACATATATTTTTTTTAAATATCTATTAATATCTTTTACTTGATAAAATTACTTAAATAAATTTCTAAGCAATAGTTTAAGAAAAGTTTATTTTGAAGGCTAACAAATGGAGGGGCAGCATCCACGACAAACTCTATTTGGAATGTTTGAAGATCTTCGGGTATGAATACAGCAAACCGTTACCACCTTTAGATTGGTGCTTCTTGCAAGATCTCGTACACGATACAAAAACTAAAGGATATTCCGTAGATATCGCGTCTCACCAAGTTGTTTTATCTGGGACAGCGCGAAGGCTGATGGAGAATTATATCATCGCTGCTACTGAGAATCCGCAGGTAATGTTTTCTTTAAAAGAAACCAAAACATTTGCAATCTTTTGCTTTTCCACTAGGATGAAGATATAAGGAATGTTTACAGGAATTTAAAATTCCTAGCTAGAAGTATTCAACCGATGATTTTGAGGCCGTTTTTCGAAACCACCCTTTGGTTTGCTATTAAAAAATACAATCAAAATGAAATCGGTCTTTTAAATGAAGTTTCTGAATTTTTAAAAAACGTTTTGACACTTCCCGATGTACAGGACACGAATAAAATCATTGTGGTGCAGGTTTTGGATAGCATTATCTTCGTCACTGAGTTAAATTCCCAGGTAACTAATTAATTTATCAACAAGTGAATATTTTGTTATGTAGCTGTTTTCTTTGTGAATAGCAAAAGCATATTTGTTTTAGTTGTTTGATGTTTTATGCCAAACTATCATAGCAGCGCCCTCTAACTGTTTGAAACAACACGCCACTAGCGTGAAAGTTACCGACAACGAAGAACAATTCAAAAAATCGGCAAAAATTCGATTTGCTTTAGCTAAAAGGTCGAAAATGTTACCGCTGATTTGGCTAGACCAGATTATCGATGTATGGAGTAATAATTTCAGGTGTGTATTTTTCGTTCATTAATTTGTACTAAACTTAAATATTTTGGCTTCTCTAATAAGTCTTTGTTTCTCATTTGGTCTTGGTAGGTAACAAAAAGTTATTATTAATATTATAATCTAAGATCCGAAGTAAGGTCGATCTTCACCCATCTGTTTAACGGATAAAAGTTTTTTTTATTAAATAAAATATGTTTATAAATATACCGCAAATGGGTAACTATGCTCAAAATTTAATCAGCTTACCGTAGGATGGATCAAAGCTTAATTTTAAAATTTGGGGTTTTTCTCTTTATCCGTTTTTGAGTTATCATCAGAATTCGACTTTTTCTCAAATATTTCGAATACTAGTGGAGCGCCGTAAGGCGTAAAAATTGTAATATCTCGAAATTCAGGGCCGGAATCTTCATAAAAACTGTTGGACTGCATTGTTAAAAGCTCAAATACTCAAGTTACTGAAAAATGAGAGGGACAAGGGAAAAAAATGTTTAGAGCAAAGATTTCAATTTTTTACCTAATAAATAATATTTGCTGAGTAACTTTAAAGTTAATTTATTAATATTTCGCAAAAAATAACGAGTTACAACAAAAAAATTATTATAAACTAAATATACATTATAACATTATTGTTCGTTACTGTCGACGTCATCGATTTCATTGGTGTGGATTATAGGTGAAGGATTATTAGTACAGCTGCCAACATTGCATTCCAAGCAAGCTACAGTATAGGTCATTCACTGAATTTACACTCATATCGAATTAAGAAATAAATGAAAGATTTGACTGGTCAGTTGTATTTTAAACATTTACTCATAGGTGGCGTTATTTTGTATATTGCAAGGGGTTCTTATAGAAACAAAATAATTATAAATTTTAGGTATTTAATTTTGCCTCATAAAGCTTAAAAGAGATAGTTACATGATTTTATTGTTTAATAATAGTTTATTCAGAACAAAAATTTTAATTTACATACACAGTTTTGCCCTGGGATTAAGTAAGTACGATGATTAATAATAATAATATTATTGTCTTTTGACATACCTATAAATCTTCAGCATCACTCTCAAAATTTGTGTCACTAGCGTCGCTGTCATCAATAAGGGATATAATTATAGGGTTAATTTTGTTTATCCTGTTTTCACGTGTCTACCAGTCGTCAATTAATTTATCACATTTTTGAACACTTTTTTTGCCAAATTTCTGGGGTTGATGTATCCAGTGCTTGTTTCCATATTTCCCTTACTGCTTCGTCGCTGTAACCATTAATTCCAATATGATTGTCATAATACGTTCCACATATACCCCAAATGTGTTCGATGGGCTTAAACTGACAATGGTACGGTGGAAGCCGTGACACATCATGTCCATAACTATGTATGACTTGATCTACCATATAAATTTGTGGTGGTTCATGCCGTTTACCTAAGTTAACTCAAATTTAAGGGTGTATTGTGGAAATGCAACATTTTCGTTACGTAGCCATTCTTGTATTTTGGCTACAGTCCAATTCTGTCTTGGCGGTTTGTTTAAAAGTTCTGTGTGATAGCTCGCATTATCTAACACTATAAGAGACGGTTCATTTTAATTTGGTAATAGTTTTTCATTTAATCATTTGATAAACATATCCGAGTTCATGTAGTCTTATGATTTTGATGAAAATATTAATCCTGCACCATCCACAAATCCATTCTTTCCACCTGCGTGCAAGATTATGTGTCACTTTCCCTCACCATTAGTATGTTTTATTGATTTTATATTTTCATCTTGCCATATTCTTTTCGTCACACCTTTCGAAAATATCCAGGTTTCATCCAAATATATAAAGGAAGCTCCATTCTCTTTTAAATGAGTGTATTCTCTTAAAAAATGTATTCTTTTGTGAACAACACATAAAGCTTTTCTATTATCTTCTTTCTTAAATTTGAAACCTATTTCCTTAAGCAACTTCCAAAGACTTGTTCTGCCAAATTCACCAATTTGTATTTCTCTTAAGTTAGCCAGCAATGTGTCTAAGTTGACATGTCCCTTTTTCGCACGCATTTCATACACCATATCACGAATACGAAATTTTGTCCCACCAGATATATCCGACGTTTTCAGTTTTTTGCGAGGTGTGTATTTTTTCTTTTTTTTTTGCTATCTCCGCTTTTGACGTTTTCCAAAACATATTTTAATTTTGAATCATTAATACCGAGAGCTGTACAGACGCGTTCATGCACACTCACTACTGGCTTTAAAGGTCCTTCGTTATCTTTTTCCGCCGTAAAATACTTATGTAGATTACAAATTAAGTCATCTAAACGTAACACGCGCTTCGGCATTTTCAGTTTCGACATACGTTCTCTTCGAAATCCAAAACTGAACTAAATAATTTAGCGCAATTAGTCCTATAACATCAGTACAAAAATAGAACATTTAATCTTAATTATATACCTGAGAAGGGTGTACATTCAGTGAATGACCTATAGCAACTTTTATCATAATTTCTGTACGTTCCTTATCCTTATACAGAAATTAAAGTAAAAAATGGCTGTGATCGTATATTCTTAGGCAACCTATTTGCGGTATATTTATAAAAATAACTTTCATCTGTTAAACAGATGGATGAAGATCGACCTTACTTCGTATCCTGTACTATTATTATTATTATTATTCCCCTCCTGCACCTACCTTTTTTTCTTAAATTATTACCTCATTTTTTAATTTTTTTAGAAATTTGAAATTGTGGACCGATCTCGCTAGAGTATTCGAATACCACAATAACAACACCGACGAGTGTGTACCGTGGCTTCTCGAACTAATCGGTCAAATCCAAGCCAAAATCGCCGACAGATGTGACATACCAGTCATTTCTTATCTGTTTGACATTCTTATTTTCGCCGTGGTCTTTTTTTCGGGTAACTTCGTATTTTTGACAGAAGGAAATGAATACAATGAAGCAGAATTAAAAGATTGTTTTCCGCAATCTTTGGCCACTTTGTTGGATAGAAATTATTGGGAGACGTGCTCCGTACAGGTGGGTATTTTATTAATTTGTTCGAAATTTTCCTGGACTATTATTGGTCGGTCTAAGTGTTATAGCCCAGGATACGTATGCTTGAAAACGAGAAAAACGGAAATAATGATAAGTATGATAAATCGGTGTTTATAAAGTGGCTATAAAGTAAATGCAGACAAAAAAGTAAGTTAATAAATCCGAAAAATGTATTTTTTTATGATAATCATCTAAAAATAATTTCGTGCCTTTGTAAATCATTTCCTGGACTATTGCACAATATAGTGCAGTAATATTTACCAAAATATTTTTTTATTCATTGAAATTAATGCTGATAAATATTTTTAGGTTTTGGAATGGTTGTATCACATGAATACAGAGGAAAGTATACCAAAAAAATATCGGAAAATCTTCGGTATTTGTCTGCAAGCTTTAAAGCACAACGAAGAATTCACGAAAAATCAAAGATGGTTAAAATATTTGAATAGTAGTACAAATTTTGAATAACATAAATTTTTGTTTTATTTTTCATTCGTTTGTATACACATAATTAACGGATTTTGCGGAAGGGTATATATATATAAAAAAAAAAACAAATTATGCACTAAAGTGAAATTTAATAAATAGTTTTTAAATAATATCACAATTATCGTTGATAAAACTGCGAGAATCAGGCCGTTCATATATTTTATTTTTTCGAAATAAATAAATAATTTAAATAAACTTAACAGAAACAGATCTATAAATAAAATTGGGTTTCAAATACTGGGTGAACAAACCAATTACCAGCCAATATCACAAATTATCAAGATTTTAAAGCTCTATACAGCCCGCGTATTCAACCAAAAGCTGCCCATTAATTATAAAAACCTACTAAAAAATTATAAAATGAATATGATTATTTTACAGTGAAATATGAATAGATTTGAATGGCTTCCATTATTCAAATTTAGACAGCGTGACCTGTCAAACATCAATATTTGACTTATGACAGTTAATCATACATCAATATTTGACAGGTAACGATTACGCTATGATTATATTCTTTTTTTGTTACATATAACCTAATAAATACAAGTTGTTATTGTTTTGATTGATCCAAGACAACATCTACGTACAAATTTTATACAATTCACAGCTAATTTTTTTCTTTTTTCGAAATATACAGATACAAATTGACAGATCAGAAAGTACGGTCAACTCAGCCAGTTTCGATTTATGCGGTAAACGCTATAAATCACATATAATCTCACTTTTGCTCCCATTCTAACCATGACAGTTCGCAACACTGATATATAAGAGATTATATAGTGTCTAAAATGATTCTAGTTTTACTTAAAACATCCAACATTGTGAGAAGGAAAGGAAATTTTATTATGACTAACGACGAAATGCCACAAAACTTTTTAGTCTAGCAAATTGACAAATAATAATGATTAAATCGCTTTAAAATTGACAGGTGGCAGATAATTTCTTTCCAGTTGATAATTGACAGATGAAATCGCTTTCATACTGACAAATGATACGTGAAAGGCTTTCAATGCTGCCTAGTTCGCAAATGACAGATGATATGGCATTCAAACTGATAAATTACAAACGCTTTCAAATTGACAAGTGACATTACACAACAGTGTGCGTGAGAAAAGGTTTGCAGCAATATTTACCGTAAAAAATAAATAAAATTATGTACTCATTGCATTGCACGTTAGTCATACTGAAAATCTTTGCTAAATAGTTCTAAAGTGTTTTTTTTTTTGTCAAGAAGTCTACATTATTTTATTTTTGTAAAATGTTTCCCAAAAAAACCATTTTTATAAAAAATCGAGTACAAAAAATATTCTTAGCCCACAAAAAACTATTACTCCTGAGTATTTTTTACAAGCTTTCCTATATAAAGTACGGAAACAATTTACAAAATGCACGTATATTTTTTTTACCTTCGCATTAGGCTCTTGTAAACACATTTACGAAAATGCAAGTGAAAACTTTTTGATATTTTTGTTTGTTATAACCACAATACTTGCCCCCGAAATGTTTGCTGATTTAATCGTCTCAGCTTTTACTACAACCCGGTTGATTTCGCTTGTCAATTGAAGTGTCGTTCGTGGTTAGGCCTTGAAGTCGACCGGATAGATCCTCACTGGACACTACTGCGTGTTGGCCTGCAATCATACATCACACAAAACTATTAGGCATTCCAAACAAATGAATTACCAGTGGGCAGGTTTGGTATATCTAAGGGTGGCGACATATGGTGTATTCCATCTACTTTACGTAAAATCATGAATAATGGATTACATTTAAATATTTTATGTCAACACACAATAAAAATAATATTTAAAAAACCCACCTATACATTTCTTCATAAATTGGCAGGCTTGGCGTCTGCTACTTTGAATAAAAATAGCGTCCAAGTTGCAAGACTATGTCGCTACCCCCTTAGATATACAAAAATTTCCCACTGGCACCTATTGTTTGACAGGTCGTTGGAATGCCTAATTAAAACATCTTGAGATTAGTCAAACATTGACAGATGACAATTTAGAGTAATCAATCATAGACAGATGACAACAAATACAATTTAAGGGTATGGTCCGATATTAACCGTAAATAACTAAGATTTTTCGACAGTGGTTCTTAAAAAAAACTAATTTCTTGGTTACTTTTGGACCATGGCCGAGATTTACGTCACTTTTGTGACAGATTGACATTCGACTTAATAGTAACCGTAAAATTATAGCAGTTAGTGAATTGACGTTTAAATCACAATTTTCAGGTAACCTCATTCCTAATTTAACCGAGTTTTCAGGAATGTCAAGTAGAACGGTTAGTTTTGGAACGAATAACCGACATTTTGGTTAATAACGGACGACATCATTGACAAGTGACATAAACAACAGATCTAATTGACAGTATAGGACCAAAATGTTCTTTTAAATGTGCTTTTATTGAATACATTACAATTTTTTAACTGATTTAACTACTGTGGACTCAGTTACTGGTTTTTCAGAGGTCGTACTTGAACTGGGCAGGTTCGGGTTATTATCTGGATGTTCAACTTTGGGTTCTTCGACTCGAGTCGAACCTTCAACTGGGTTTTGCGGGTCTTGTTCGGATACGTTATTTGAGAAAGAAAAATCTGCGGCTGAACCAAGTTATTTAGTTATTACATAAAATAATAAAAGTAAATCATTTGGGAAAATGTAATATTGACGATTTAAAAGAATGGTTCCCAGTCAAAAAGTAACTTTACATATAGATTGAATAACGATGTAAATATTAGAGACATGAATTATAAATCTGAATAATAAACATCCATAATGGATTCAGAACATGGTAGTAATGAACGATACTGTGGGTAGACTATAGACCAAGAATTAGACTTGTTAGGATTAACAAAATAGATAAAATAATCAGTTTTGTTAAGGGGTTGCACAAGGAACGTTCTAAACGATGCACAATTACAACAAACTCCATTAAAAAGTCTTGAAGATGCGTGGGAAACATTTCGAGACAATCTCTGGGTTTTTGTGTTGTCCAAGCACCCTAAAACCCCAAACAACTCGTCAATGGGACAATTTTAAAATAAAAAGTTGTATTTTTGTTAGAAAGGATCAAAAAAACAACAATTTCTCTTACCTAATATATCTGGTAGGGCGTTCCTTCTTCCTGTGCGTCCAGATGACAAAAATTCCTTTTCGTTAGCAGCAGCTTCTTCTGGGGTTACAGCCGGTACTTGAGATGCAGAGTTACTGTTGCCTGCGGCACTTTGAGATGCCTCCATCACTGCTAGCATTTTTAACACTGCAACAAATCTTTCTTAATCTTTTTTTTTTTCAAATTGAAACGAGATGTGTCTAGAAAGTAAGGAGATTGATTTCATCCAAAATTGTTCCTCATACCACTCGTGCAATAAAGCTTTCAAAACTTTAGATTTTGTCTTAAGGAACTTGAACAACCTCTCATTAAATTTTATTAAAACAGTTTATGATGTACAAATTAGGTCAAAAACACACATTTCTGAGATATTGTGCATTTCGATTAAGTTTAGTATGTGGCAAGATATGTACTAAATAAAACAAAATGGGATCTTGAATCATTCGAAGGTCTTTAATAAAGTAAAAGATATAGCCATTTAAGTTATAGTCAAATTTGGAAGTAGGTGAGAAATATAAAAATACATTTACTCAGGCCATGCCAAGTTAAATAAAAAATTAATATCAACTGGTGGTGTGCTTTCTGCACCCATAGTAACAGTCTTTAAAATCCCCTCAATTAAAAAAATTACCATCATAAAAGCTAGACTTCTTAGCCAAAAATACTCACCTATAAATAAAATTTATTCATCTTTGAGAATTATACGCTATACAAAGACACTAGGTACATAATATAAAATCCTATCAGACTAGTCAAAAAAGTGTTAAGTAAAATACATTAAAAAATAAAATATATATAATAGACAATTCATGTTAAGATTAGTTTAAAAGTTCAAAAAATCTTCTATACTATAAAATACATTATTTACAAGAAAATCATTAAGATGTTTTCTTAAATCATTACGACTAATTTGATGATAACCTGTAGTATCTTCTAATATGTTACTGAACTTATTGTAACACTTAATCCCAATATATTTTGGTGAATGCTGGCTTATTTGTAGTCGTGAAAAAGGTTGATGGATGTTAAATTTTAATCTAGTATCATATGAGTGCAGGTCTTTATTTTTCTTAAATATATGCTCATTATCTTTTATGTATAAAATTAGTTGAAAAATAAAAAGGGAAGGTAGTGTTAAAATTTGCGTTTTCTTGAAAAGTTCTTTACATGATGTTGTTGGTGTCACCTTATACATGGCTCTCAGAATCTTCTTTTGAGATACAAAAGCTCTTTCAAAGTATGGTGAAGAACCCCAAAATATTAACCCATATTGTAGAGTTGAATGAACCAAACCAAAATAGCATAGTTTTAAAGTATCAAAAGATAGTGTCTCCCTTAAATTTTTGATGATATAACAACAAGTACTTAATTTTGAAGTTACCATTTTTATATGAGCTTCCCAATTTAATTTGGGATTTAATATTATTCCTAAAAAATTTATGTCATCAACGTTTTGAATAGTTTTTCCGTCAATGTGCAAGTAGGGTTCGTAATCTGGTAATATGTTTTTGAGTAGAAACTATATGAAGTTTGTTTTTCTTACATTTAATGCCAGACCATTATTTTTACAATACTGGTTAAACTCACGAGATGCCTCGTTGCTACTTTGAGTGACCTGTTCAATTTGATCATCTGCCATTACAATATTGGTATCATCGACATATTGAACTATTTGTTGAGAGCTTAAACAAAAATTACTTATATCACTCATAAAAACTATAAAAAGAAGTGGGTCCAAAATTGAACTTTGGGGAACTCCTATTGTACATGGAAGAGGATCAGATTTTAGACTATTTGTTACAATTACTTGAGTTCGATTTATTAAGTAAGACTGTATCCAAGGTTTCCCTCGTATTCCTAACCCATTCATCTTCAATAATAAAAGATTATGATCCACCATATCAAATGCACGGCTAAGGTCATACAAGAGTCCCAAAATATGTTTTTTATCATTGAGTGCTTGATATACAGTGAGCATCATAAGTCTTACCCCCCCCCTAACTAACTCGTTACTGGGGTCTTGTTAGGAAAATCGCCGAGACAGGTCGATTTTTGATTTCTACAATGTACGTTTTTGCATGATTAGTTTACCCTTAATTTCATCCCTTACTGGAGGGTAGCATGCCTTTCAAAAAATTTAAATGGCATGGGGTGGTGAGTGATAGCTCATTTGAAAGGGGGTTTTATTCTCTATTCAACCATGCAAAAAATTTTGAAATTTGCTTCATTACGTGTTGATTTATTAATGTTTAAAAATAACAAAACCTCACAAAATAGGAAAGCAACTAGACTAACAGTGACCTTCTAATGGCAAAAAGTCTTACTTCACGTCTGAACCAAAACCTGCATGATTTCCATGCAGGGCCGAATTTTAATTCTAAGGATGTGTGCACTACGTTAATTTCCGTTATTCTGAAACAACAATTAGGCGAGAATTAATGAAGCAAATTTCAAATTTTTTTACACGGTTGAATAGAGAATAAAACCCTCTTTCAAATGAGCTATCACTCACCACCCCATGCCATTTAAATTATTCGAAAGGGTTGCTCCCCTCCAGTAAGGGAAGAAATTAAGGGTAAACTATTCATACAAAAATGTACATTGTAGAAATCAAAAATCGACGTGTCTCGGCGATTTTCCTAACAAGACTCCAGTAACAAGTTAGATAGGGCAAGCTGTAAATGCAGTAGATGTTGACTTATTTTTTCTAAATCCATTTTGAGTATCTGGCAACATATTAAAACTTTCAAGGTAATTAGTGAGTCTAATAAAGTATGCTGACTCAAATATTTTAGTTATTTGACTAGATATACAGATTAAACGATAATTTTCTATATTAGATGCAGATCCCTTATTTTTATAAACAGGAATTCCTTTAGATTCCTTCATATTTGGGAATAATCCAGAAACAAAGGATTCATTAATCAAATGTGATATGGGTTTAGCAATACAATGAACAACCGATAACAGAATTTTACCATTTATTTTGTCAATACCTTCAGTAGGTTTAGAAGTAGTTTTTTTTTTATTATAGTGATGATTTCACTAGGAGTTGTTGGAAAAAGAAAAAACTTTTATGATGTTTATCAATACTCATAGTATAGTTAGGTACAATATTATTTTTATTTACATTAATAAAATAGTTATTGATATAATTTACTTTTTCTAAGGGTGTTAATTTGTCATCATTTGTAAGTTTAATAGGATTCAATAAGTTGTTTTTTCTTTTTCACCTACTCTCGTTTATTATATTCCAGGATTCTTTCATTACGTTATTACTTTTTAAAATACAATCATTATTTTTTTTTTTTTCATTCTTCTCAACAATGTTTTGTTATTTTTTGATACTCTTTTTTTAAATTATTGTAACGTTCTGTATAATATTAGAATTAGTAGATGTGTATACTTCACGCCAATTTTCAACTGATAAAATATTTATAAAAGTTATTGCATTAGGATCACTTAAATCTCGTTTATATCTATATTTAAATTCGTTATTTTCAAAATTAGGTAATTTAATCGAACATAATAAGTAGTTATGATCAGACAAAAAAGTATCATATACACCTACCTTATCTACTTCAAAATTGGTTAAAAAATCTGATGTGCCCAACACATGACTTTCCTATCTAGTTATAGGCTTTTTTCCGGTTATTTTGTACAACCTATTGTAGCACCTCTATAAATGTTTAGAGGATAAACTAAATATATACATTTTCCACATACATCTACCTCAAAACATTTTTCTATATTCATTGAAAACGAAAATACTGAAAAATTTAAATATAGCATTTTCCTACAATTTTTCCATTACGGTCTATTTTAGAAAAATCATGTATAAACAAACAACTTTTAGTTCAACAATTTTCATAAAAATCAGAATTTTGCACATTTTGTCAAATTTCTCGAAATTTTGACATAAGGCAAAAATTATAGATAATAATATTAGAAGTAACTTTTATTTGAACAATTTTCTTCTCCAAACATATATTCCATAAAATATAAAAACGGCCTCCCATAAAGTACCCCCAGATGCTCCGACTTTGTCCAAAATCTAATCATTTCACGTCAGGCCGAAATAAAACTTAAGTTTAAAATTTAATGTTTTTTTCTTTATCCGTTTTTGAGTTTTCTTCAAAATTCGAAATTTACACATTTTCTCAAAAATCTCGAATACGGTCCATTTTAGAAAAATTATGTATAGAATAAAAATTATAGAGAATAATATTACAAACAACTTTTATTTAAACAATTTTTATAAAAAAATTTTTTTTTTATATTTTGTTAAATTTCTCGAATACGGACCATTTTAGGAAAATTTTGTAAAGAACAAAAATTATAGATAATAATATTAGAAGTAACATTAATTAACAGATATATTCCATAAAATATAAAAATTACCACCTATAAAGTACCCCCCAGATGTTCAGACTCTGCCCAAAATCTAATCAGTTCATTGGACGCTGGAATAAAGCTTAAGTTTAAAATTTAGTGTTTTTCTGTGTATCGGTTCATGAGTTATGGTTGATACAGACACACACATCATCGCGAAAATAGTCAAAACGGATTCAGGGGACCTCAAAACGTTAAAATCCGTCGAAAACTTGAGGTCGAAAAAAATCATGATTCCTATACTTTCCTTATATCTGTATACAGATGGGAAAGTAAAAATTATCTAAACAAGTTGAGGTTGTATTTGTTGTTCTCCTTGCAGCATTAATATGATGTTTAATATTAAATTCCTTCAATAAATCAATTAAAAGAGTTTTTTGATTACCTTCAATCAAAATATCTATGTTAATATCACCTCAGATAAAATAGTGATTGTCGTTTTGATAAATATTATGAATTAATAGCTCTAGCTGATTTATAAAAGTGCTAAACTTAGTACAAGGTGGCTTATACACAGTAATAAATAAAAAAAGTTTAGAATCGATCTTTATACACCACTAATGTAAATTAATTGATTCAAAATTTGCAGCAATACTTGTTTTCATAAATATACTAGCACCACCTTTTTCTTTATTTATCCCTGAAAAATATGATACTAGTTTAAAATCGTCAATTCAGGTAGCTTGTAAATTGTTAGAATCAAGCCAATGTTCAGTAACACATAGAATACTTACATTTTGTTTCTGTAAAATTAAATTTAGATCAAAGCATTTATTGGCAAAACCTCCCTGTGTATTGATATGCATTAAAGTAATATTTAACTGTTGGGAACTGCAAAATAGTAATTCATTATTTAAACCAAAAACTCTATTTTGGAACTGTGGGCAACATTCGAATGCAGGGAAAGATCAGCTAAAGAAACATGCAGTTAATGTGTTCTAGTACTACATATACGTAATTTTATTTTATGTTCAGTTCTTAATAAATACAAAATCTCCTTACTTATACATTTTAGACACACCTCGTGAATTTAAAAATTTAGCAACGATCACAAATTAATAATGCTTCCCAAATGTAAAAAAACCCCAATAAATGTTAGTTGTACTTTTTCTCAAACGAAAGCATCCCAAACTTTTTAACTCACCTGAAAGCTAATCAAATAAAAAATTCACATTTACTCATCAATTCCTATCACTACAATACTGATAAAAATTAGTAATTTATTAAACAATTGTTCTTTTATCTAAGGATAAAAAATTATTAGTATTGAATAATCTAACTAAACCAAAGATAAGGCCTTTCAATAACAGCCTTCACTCAATTCAGATGAAAACAATGAGTTATTAATAGAAAATCTCTTCACCAAACTAGCAATACAATCGCAATACAGCATACAGTACAAAACCCTTATGAAAGTTGGTCAAGGATGAAACTGACATATAACAGTTTATCTTTTTCACCTACAATAATAGCCATACTTTCAAAACAATACATGCCTGTTATGGAATAGAAATTAACTGTTAATAATTTTAGACTTTTAAATTGGCACTTACATGCAAGATTTGATAAAGGGTTAAATAATCATTGGTTTTAAGCCCCTATGAAAAAAAGCTCGACAAGCTTAATGGGTGTTAAAAAGCACTTTCAACGTGCTCCTACCTGATTTTCTCGAAAACCTCTTTATCCTATCACGTTTTATTTGAGGACCGATACACACAAACGATTTTTCAGTTACCTGCTTCATTATTATTTTTTACAATAATTACTGGAACTACACAAAATCACCTACCATGTGTAAATGCAAAAAATTCTCTTTTGATGTATATTACACCAAACGACTTTAATTTTCCAGTAAGTTTAATTTCTCTGTAGGGATTAATATCTCAATTTAGTGTTAAATATTTCTATTTCTAATCAAACATAAACATGATGGTCGTCTTTTGTCGAAACGTCAACGTGACAGTGTTGACATTGAACTCACCTAACTATTTGACGTCACAATTACGCTGAAATTACGTAAGAAACATATAACTTGTTGCATAAACATCGAATTTGCTTAACCAATGATGTATAGTTATATATGTAATGACATTTTTACATTAACAATGTCATTTTAATCTCCGTTTAACACAACCGTGGAATCGGTCCTTAGTAAACCATACTAGCGCTGGGTTTACTAGCGTTGAAGTGAAAGTACGAGCAGAAAACGATCCCTGTGACGTTCACATTACACATCGCACAAGGCAACGTTCATATTTTAAAACATATTTTGGCAAGAACGGTTCTGTTCAATAAGCACTTGGAACGACGTCTTATTTACATATGGGATGAGTAAATCTACACAACTATGTTACATCACTGTTGCTTATCACGTATGTTTCAAAGTTGAAATCGAGCAACGCGAAAAATTGTTTACGTATGACATATAAAGCTTACGGCTTACGTCAATTGCAGACCCAGCTTTAATTAGATACATTTGTTCCCATTGTTGCCAATACTCAGTTTATCAGTAGATTTACTGTTTTTTTTTTGAAGTTTCAATTAGAATTATTCTATTTTAACAGATGTGTAGATTAAATAAAAGTATAAAATAGAGTACTTAATTTTCTTTAAAGAATTAAAGGCAAATATAAAACTAACAGAACAATGAATCGATTCTGATAATACACAACTACAATCTACAATTTTCATTTGGCAACAGCGATGCGTTCACCTCCCCCCCACGAACCGAAACAAAAATTCCCAAACCCAATCTGATATTTTTCGATCTTCTCGAATACCTCGTTTTCGGCGTTTTGCTCTTGTTATTATTTAATTTGAATAACACGTGGTTATTGAGTGTTTAGCATAAAAAATACAAATATCAAAATGAATTTTTCATATTAAAATCGAATTTCCTTGCTTATTAAACTCAAACAAGACTGAAGTGTCATTTATATTTAGTGTTTGTGTTGAATTTTCTTTTTAGGTAGTATATTATAATGAGCGAAGCAGTATTAGAGAACACGTACGTTCCATACACCAACACCTCGACATTCCAGTATGCAGAATATAATTTCGAAAATTCAGCTTTGGAATTGGCAAGAGCCCAATGGCCCAACTACGACGATCAGCATTACTTGAAGGGGTGTAAATGGTCCCCTGACGGTACGTGTTTGCTTACTGTAGTCAGAGGGGCCGGTATGCACGTTATGGAACTGCCTAGTGATTTATATTCGGGAGATACTGTACGCACAAGCAGGCCTATTGTCCCATTAGCGCCAGCGGTCAGTGTTCCAGAAGCCGGGCTTATTTATGATTATTGTTGGTATCCTGGTATGAATAGTAGTAATCCAGCTACATGCTGGTAAGTACTGTTTATCTCTAAGATTTTTAAATATGCAAGTAATTGGTTTAATATAATATTTTAGAGATTAAACTGATTTTTATTATCTTAGACCTTCATTGCAGTAAAAATTTGTATAAACAATTCTGATGTGACTAAATGATTGATTTGTATGTATTTATCTTATGTTGATTAATGACTAAAGTGTTATTTGTTCTATTTTTAAAATTTTTTATGATTAAACTTGCATATGACTTGTTCTTAGGACGATAATGATTTTCCAGCTCATATTTAGTTAATATTTTTCTTTCAGATGTACCTATTCAAAGATTTTTCCTTTTTATTTACAAAATCTCTTTCCTAGCCAAGACTAACTGGTATAGGTACATGCCTATCTCTATTCTTTCTATGTAAAATTAAATATCGTACTTTTTAGTTGGCTGTCGAGCGGCCACGGGGGGCCTATACACCTCTGGGACGCCTTCTCGGGCGATCTCAGGTGCACATACCGCGGGTACAACAATCAGGACGAAATTGAACCTGCCATTAGTTGCGTATTCTCAGCCGATGGTCAGAATATATTTTGCGGATACAAGAAAAACGTTAAACTATTTTCCACAGGACGGCCTGGTAGAGATTTCGTCGAATATCCTGTGCAGCATCAAGTTTCTTGTCTGGTTGCTAGTCAGGCACAGCCTGGAATTGTAGCTATAGGTATGAATTGTACTTACAAAGCCAGTTTTGGGGATGATAACCGATAATTAATTGTGTATGTTTTTATTTAACATATTTACCTTATAAAGAATTGGCTAGTTATAAAAACTTGACAAAACTTATAAAAACAGCAAAACTTGTAAAAATATAGATAACTTATTAAAACTAAACCAAACTCAGAAGCTATAAATTTAACAGAACTTATACAAACTTTACATAACTTATAAAAAATAAACAGACCATATAAAAACTATAAATATAGAGTGTGATAATTTAAAAACTTACAAACAAAAGATGAATCAAATGCTTAAAACTGTTTCTAGGATAGGAAGGGGGAACTACAGTGACAAAATAATTCACCCCCATCAACCCCCTAGGCCCCCACCTGCCCCAATTAAAACAGTTTAAATAGCAAAACTCTACTCATTGAAAAGCCTATAAAAAATGCCATCCAATGGTATAAATAATAATTGTACAATAATTACCAAATTAAAATCTAACAATTTTAAAAACAAACATACCCCCTACTTGTGATACAATGTTAAAAAGCTCTAAAGGCCAATAAAACCTTATTTTCAATGATAAGTGTCTGTAGGTACTTTTTGTTGTTAAATAAAAACTTTAATTTACCATTTTTGCACAACAAGTTGTAAACATGTTTTTTGGATTCGGTTGCAGTCAATAATTTTTGGTTTATTTGAGACATTTAAATGTATTAGTGTTCATCATTTGTAGGATCGGTACTGTCATTCAGCTGTAGTTGTCATGGTGTTTTACAGTATACCTGAATGTGTGGAGATTTTTATATTTGGCTTCCAGAACCAGTTATTTACAAACAGCTCAAATATTTGATTATTTATGTTTTGTTAAATGATGGATACTCCAGTAATTCGGCTGTTATTGATTACTGTTTAAGCAATCATAGAATACTTACAGATATTGCAAGAAAAACAATGCAATTTAATCAGCAATGAAAATATTATAAATATTATAAATGTTTTAAGTTAAATAGGTTAGCATGTAGAAGAGATCTTCAAGCTATAATTAACACTGTGTGGCAGGATCCAAATGTCTTGTGTGATCAAATAGTGAGAACAGTCCAAACAATACCACCTGTAGGACATATATAGACCATTTTAGAACTAAAAGTTGTCCTTGGTTTAACATTCATTTGCATAACCTAATCAAGCACAGAGATATGTGTTATAAAAGGCATAAGTTTTTTCCCAATAGTGCTCTGCTTCACAGTGAATACAAGAACAATCAAACTATGTTGAAAGCAGCTATATCTAATGCAACAAAATAATATTATCACACTCAGCTAACAAGTGCCCTAGGCAATCCAAGAAAAATATGGTCAGTGTTAAATTTGTTAATTCATAATAAAATATCAAAGCAACAAAACACAGTGAATAATAGAAGATGACTCTATAGAAGTTCCTAAGAAAATTGCAGATATTCTTAACACCCATTTTACAGAAGTAGGTAAAGCTTTAGTAGAAAATATACCTGAGTCTACTTACACAAAACCTACAGTTATAAACTGTCAATAACTACCCCTCAAGAAATCAACAAAGTAATTTCAAAGTTAAAATCGAGAAAAGCCTGTGCTGCTGATGGTATCTCTGGGGACTTGATCAAACATTTCAAAAACGAGATGTCGCTTATCTTAAGTAACCTAATAAACTAAACATTCACTGATGCTTCAATTTTCAATGGACTAAAAGTAGCTAAAGTTTAACATTTTTTAAAGCAGGGCTAAAAACTTCCACTAATAACTACCAACCGACATCTCTATTAAGTTCTATCTCCAAAGTCCTGGAAAAATGTATTAATCAAAGGCTTGTTTCCTATCTTGAAAAAAATAATTTTTGTTTCAAGGCACAGTATGGTTTTCGTAGTGGAAGTGGCACAATGTCGGCAGTCACAGATATGATTACTAACATCAAACATGTGGATGAAGGCAATGCATGTATCATTGTTTTATTTGATTTAAAGAAAGCGTTTGATACTGTTAATCACACAGTACTGTTATCTATTTTGGAAGGCTATAGAATAACAAGAAATGCATTGTCTTTCTTCTTATTCTTATTATAATAAGCAGGTATCCAATTCTCGATATTATAAAATTTGTGCCTTGTAAGACCCACATAGTCTTAAGCTCTGGGTCTAAATATACCAAATTGTATTCTTTTTTATTAATAAACTTGATGGAACCTTAAATATTTAATGAGAGGCATCCAGACAAAAATGCAAGTCACGTGACCATCCGTAATTTAGTTGAAATGTTTAGAAAAACGGAATCAGTGGAAAATTAAAAAGGGGATGCCCCAAGATTATTGAATGAAGCAAGCCAAATTGAGGTCCTTGGACAATTTGAAATAGAGCCTATGATAGGACTATTATGTGAATCAGTTAGGAAGGTGTTGAAATTACAAAAATTTCACCCATACAAAACGCAATTCTTCAAAAACTAGGCCATGATGATCCAGACCGACGAATTGAGTTTTGTGAACTCATGACTGAAAGAATTCACGTTGTAACGATAATAAATTACCGTTACTAAAACTACGCCACTGGTTTCCCAAACATACCTCGAAGCGAGAGAGAGGGTATCCCTTGTCACCGCTGAGATATAAAAGGAGAAGCAATCGTCCAAACTAACTTATGAACATAGGTCTCCCCCCAAATCACAAAACTACTCCTACCTCACTGACAGAAAAATCACCGTCAAAGTGGGGCAACTCTCTATCCGACACGTTCACCCCACTAGCAGGAGTCCCACAGGGCTCCGTCTTGGCCCCTCTCCTCTACCTCATCTACACGCACGACACTCCCCCCCCCCCAAACCACCCCACATCCAAATGTCTGCTATACGCAGACGACACAGCTCTAATTTCGGTAGCCAAAAATTCAAACCAACTAAGTATTCGAACCCAAAATCTGTTGAACCAGTACTCTCACTGGTGTAGCAGATGGAGGGTCTCATTAAATCCACAGAAAACTCAATTTATTGTCTTCAAACACCCAAATTCCAAAAGAACCTCCCAGAACCCCCAACTCGTAAACGTAAATCTCCTGGGAGTCAGGCTCGCCCAACAGACTGAAGTCGATTATTTGGGGGTACGATTTTCTCGTACACTTAACTGGTCCTCTGATGTCCAACGCACTCTTGACAAGATGCTAAAGCGAGCCAGTCTCCTTGGAGCTTTGTGCGGACGAATGGGGCGTTGTAACCCAAACACCCTTATTCACACATATAACTCCTTCATCCGACCCGTTGCCGAATACAGAGCTATACCCTACGGAGTACTTCCCACATACCTGTCCCACAAATTCACCACACCCGAGAGACTTATTCTCAGACGCTGCCAGTACCTCCCCTATCGCTCCCCCAGTGGAGAAGTCTACCTAAACACCCCCATCCTCACACGTTTCCAGACCCTCAGGAAACAGTACGTCTCTCGCACGCTGAAAGGCACAAACACTCACTCCCTAGACACACTCCAAACCCCATGGCGCCCCAACCAACTCCCTCTCTTTCGAAAACCGAAAAGAAAACTGCCACAGCCTAATCTAAAACTCCTCACCGACGCCCAAGACCTCCCCCTCACCGCTGAACGCCAGGATCTGCTGGAATCAGCCCCCCTGAGTATAAGATAAACCCTTCCCAATTACTTAATTAGAAAATCAAAACTATGTACAATATCGTGGTTTAGGTTTTGTGGTTTTCCTAAATCATATTCCCCACCTCATACTTGGACTTGTCCATTTATGGGGTTGGAAATAGCAAAATTGGCGATATTCTTGGGGAACACAACCTGCCACACAGGTCCCACACACGCGCACAACAATTTAGGAAATTAGCTAGCTAGGTTACTTTGTAATCAGGGCAGACCACCCTGAAAAGGAGGATAACTCCTATAGCAGGGAAATAGGAAAATGAAATGTCCTAGAAAATGTAAAAATACTTAAGATTACCAGAAAAAAAAAATCCAAACTGTCAGTTCCATTCGTGCATTCGGTGATCTGAGCTAGAAAGAACTCACTACCTCCCCCCAGTAGTACGTGCTGAGTACCTCTCGTTTCCTAACCCCTCCTGGCAAACGTGTTAAGTTTGTCAATTGGTAAACGTGTGGAGTTTACCGATTTCCTGATAGACGCGTTGTCTATATTCCTGATAGATGTGTTGAGTCTATTCTCCTGATAGACGTGTTGAGTCTATTTCCCAGTCACAGACGCGTTGAGTCTGTTTCCCGTACCCGATTAACATTTTATTTTCAGAAAGCCCGTGCGATACACCGTCGCTTCCTAGCAGAGGCGCTTTACAGCGAACTATCTCGTCGAGAGCCCAGCTGTTCAACACTCAACAAAAGTCGTGGCTATTGGCCCAAGGGCCGTGAAGAAATTTAATTTATTTTAAATATATTTTATTTTGTTATTTAAAGAGAGAATAAATAATTTTATTTTGAATCCTGTCTTCTGAATTACCCGGACCGCATTACAACGTTGAACCTAGACCATTAAAATATATTTGTACTGAAGTGATGTGAACCCGCATCGACTTAGAGAAGGTCACAGTCAATATCTTGATAAACTGAATGTTGGGGCAGTGATATTAGGCAATGTTTTAATTGGCCCCTTGCTTATATCCGGCAATTTAAGTGGCGACATTTATCTGAAAACACCATCGAACATTTAATTGTGCATGAATTAGAGAACCAAAGGGACGACCAAAGCAATTTAGTTCTAGACGAAGATTTGCTGCACTTCCAACAAGATTGCGTAACTGTTCTGATTTCTCTCTAGAAGCCATAAAAAGAATTTATCAAAAATTGGTTGAACCTCTGTTGGCGTATGTTTCTATAATTTGGTCGCCACAATATCCTATACATTGTCTAGCAGTGGAAAGAATACAAAATAAATTTCTAAGATACTGTGCCTTCAAATTCAGGTAACTGATCACAATTATACTAGAATTTTAAATGAAATGAATATGAGCAGACTTAAGTACAGGAGACTTTATATCAGATTTGAATTTTATCTGTATATTATTAAATGGTCTAGTCATATGCTCTGAACTCTTAGAAATTATTTTTTTCAATATTCCTAATAGAGTCCTGGGGCAATTAAATATGTTCCATTTCACAATACAAACTATAGCATGCAAAGAACATTGAGGGTAAAAAATCAATTGAATCTTGAGGTTACAGGCATTTCTTTTAATAAATTTAAGGCAATCTGTACGAACACACGAGTAAAAATCTGATGTGTCCAACACATGACTTTCCTATCTAGTTATTGTAGGCTTTTTCCGGTTATTTTGTACAACCTATTACAGCATCTCTATAAATGTTTAGAGGATAAACTAAATATATACATTGTCCACATACATCTACCTCGAAACATTTTTCTATAGATATTCATGGAAAACGAAAATACTGAAAAATTTAAATTTCCTACAATTTTTTCATTACGGTCCATTTTAGAAAAATCATGCATAAACAAAAATTATAGAGATCGATATCGCAAACAACTTTTATTTTAAAAACTTTCATAAAAATCAGAATTTTGCACATTTTGTCAAATTTCTCGAATACGGACCATTTCAGGAAATTTTTACAAAAAACAAAAATTATAGATAATATTAGAAGTAACTTTTATTTGAACAATTTTTTTCTCCAAACATTAATAACAGATATATTCCATAAAATATAAAAGTGGCCTCCCATAAAGTACCCCCCCAGATGTTCCGACTATGTCCAAAATCTAATCATTTCACGTCAGGCCGAAATAAACCTTAAGTTTAAAATTTAATGTTTTTTTCTTTATCCGTTTTTGAGTTTTCTTCAAAATTCGAAATTTACACATTTTCTCAAATATCTCGAATACGGTCCATTTTAGAGAAATTATCTATGGAATAAAAATTATAGAGAATTATATTACAAACAACTTTTATTTGAACAATTTTTATAAAAAATTATTTTTTTTTACATTTTGTCAAATTTCTCGAATACGGACCATTTTAGGAAAATTTTGTATATAACAAAAATTATAGATAATTATATTAGAAGTAACTTTTATTTGAAGAATTTTCTTCTCCAAACGTAAATAACAGATATATTCCATAAAAATGACCACCTATAAAGTACCCCCCCAGATGTTCCGACTCTGCCCAAAATCTAATCAGCTCATTGGACGCTGAAAAAAAGCTTAAGTTTAAAATTTGGTGTTTTTTTGTGTATCGGTTCATGAGTTATGCGTTATACAGACACACACACAGACACACACACACACAGACACACACACAGACACACACACAGACACACACACACACACACACACACACACACACACACACACACACACACACACACACACACACACACACACACACACACACACACACACACACACACACACACACACACACACACACACACACACACACACACACACACACACACACACACACACACACACACACACACACACACACACACACACACACACACACACACACACACACACACACACACACACACACACACACACACACACACACACACACACACACACACACACACACACACACACACACACACACACACACACACACACACACACACACACACACACACACACACACACACACACACACACACACACACACACACACACACACACACACACACACACACACACACACACACACACACACACACACACACACACACACACACACACACACACACACACACACACACACACACACACACACACACACACACACACACACACACACACACACACACACACACACACACACACACACACACACACACACACACACACACACACACACACACACACACACACACACACACACACACACACACACACACACACACACACACACACACACACACACACACACACACACACACACACACACACACACACACACACACACACACACACACACACACACACACACACACACACACACACACACACACACACACACACACACACACACACACACACACACACACACACACACACACACACACACACACACACACACACACACACACACACACACACACACACACACACACACACACACACACACACACACACACACACACACACACACACACACACACACACACACACACACACACACACACACACACACACACACACACACACACACACACACACACACACACACACACACACACACACACACACACACACACACACACACACACACACACACACACACACACACACACACACACACACACACACACACACACACACACACACACACACACACACACACACACACACACACACACACACACACACACACACACACACACACACACACACACACACACACACACACACACACACACACACACACACACACACACACACACACACACACACACACACACACACACACACACACACACACACACACACACACACACACACACACACACACACACACACACACACACACACACACACACACACACACACACACACACACACACACACACACACACACACACACACACACACACACACACACACACACACACACACACACACACACACACACACACACACACACACACACACACACACACACACACACACACACACACACACACACACACACAGACATCATCGCGAAAATAGTCAAAACGGATTCAGGGGACCTCAAAACGTAAAAATCCGTCGAAAACTCGAGGTCGAAAAAAATCATGATTCCTATACTTTCCTTATATCTGTATACAGATAGAAAAGTAAAAATGAAATATTACAGGCGGATTTACACTACTTAAAATGCATTTGTTAATCTAAAACTTATTTGACTTAATTTTATTTTTTTTTCTCCAAGTACTTTATTTTTTAATTTACAATTATTTGTATCATTTGTATGTGTTTTGCTTTGTATTCGGGTTGATCCTGTTTTAAATAAAGAAATAAAAAATGAAGCATCTCCTCACTATGCAGCTATAGTTAGGCACTGGTGGATACTAATTATCCAAACAAATGGATTGGAAGGAGAGGTCCTATTGAGTCTAACGCCACCTGTCTTTATTTCTATAGGGTTGCCTCAAGTCAGTTGTTTATAAAACTCAACCTGCATCACTTGGGGAATTGCAGAAAAGAATTACTCAAGAATAACATTTGTCAAAGTTTGAATTTGAAAATAGGCTGTATTGTTTACAAAAGAACGTAACCCACTTTGAACATTTACTTCATTGACATTTTTAAACAAATTTGTAGTTCAACAAAAATTATTGGTTCACCCTGTACAATTATTTATACCATTGGATACCATTGCTTATAGGCTTTTCAATGATGTATCACACATATGGGTTTGGTATTTAAATTTTTTTTAGTTTAGTAGGTGGGGCTTAGGGGGTTGATGGAGGTAAGTTCTCTTTTGTGTCATTGTACTTCCCCCTTCCTATTCTAGAAACGGTTTTGAGCATTTTTTGATATCATCTTTCGTTTGTGAGATATAGCCCATTGTAAGTTTTTAAATTGTCACACTGTACAAAAATTTGATAGAAGTTATAATAATTTAACAGAAATCATTTATAAAAAATAATGTATGAACCTATAAAAATTAAACAGAACTTACAGAAACTTAACAGAACTTATAAAAACCACACAGAACTTATAAAAACCACACAGAACTTATAAAAACCACATAGACCTTATAAAAACTATATATAATTTGTAGGAATTAAACAGAAAAAATAATCTACGATAAAAAAATTTTGACAAATGAATTACAATGAAGTAATAATTTGTTGAATACAGTGAACAAACATTGTTTTATTATTATTGTCTAATATTTCGTGTTATTTTTTTCTCCGACTATGTTTCATAGTTTAATATTCCATAATTCTCAATTCTGTTTTTTGTATTTAAAATCCGCCTTTTTGTCAGGTACATGGAAAAACACGATCGATCTAGTATCTCAAAGCGACGGATCTTTTCGACAATTGTGCAAACTGAACGGCCACAAAGGCGGCATAACCACCATGGTGTTCTCTTTAGACGGTTTCCGTTTATACAGCGGCGCCCGAAAAGACAAGGAAATCATTTGCTGGGATCTGCGTGTAAGAACCAAAAAAAAATTCTAAAATATACAAGGAAATTATTTAATACGAAAGTTTTACGGAGTTGTGTATAATAACGTATTTTTTTAGGTTCCTGGCAGGCCGATGTTTTGTCTGACGCGCGAGGTTAACACCAACCAGAAGATCAATATAGATTTGAGCGTGGATGGTAAATGGTTGGTATCTGGCGGGACGGATGGTAAGACTCAAGTGTGGAATGTCGCTGAGCAGACGTATCCGACTGTTCATATGCAGGTCAGTTTTTTTCGTAAATGCATTTTATACACTATTTTTGGCTTGTTTATATTCTAAAAATTGAATCATCCTGTTACTGTAACGCATCGTAACTTGAAAAAATGACAAAAGCGTTATTAAAATACCTCAAAAACTTAAAATTCAGTGTTTTCATGCAATAAAAACTATAATATTCAAGATTTCTATAGTATAGCTGTCCTAAGTTTACCAGTTTTGTATTAAAATCGTCTCTATCTGTCTATTCGTAACCTAATATCACCTTCACAACATGGATTCCTGAGCAAGAAATAAACCGAAACCAATTTGCTTACAATAATCTAGCAATTAACTGAAGTTGTTGATACTGGTGGATAATTGAATGTGTGTTTAGGTTGATTTTATGATATGGACGAGTACTAGTACAATTAACATTTATTCTTTATAAATAACTATTACTTAATACAAGATTTTTACTACTGGAGAGTTTATTGAACTGCTCGTTCAGCTAATGTCAAAAGTAAACTCCAATTCATACTGTCCATCTCACCCCTCGAAGTTGCACCGTCACAATAAAATGGCGTGCATTCTCTCCATTGTTGTCACATCTTAAAGTTTTTATTATAAATCGAAAAATGTGGATATAACAATTTTAAATGCCATTGACAGAATGGATCACGGAATTCTAGCTGATTAAATCAGTTTGGTTTTTCTCCTGTTCTCTTGAAGTTCTTCCAGTCGTACATTCGAAATAGGTTTTCTATAATGGCCATTCAATACACAAATATTTTTCAAAATCAAAAGTGCCCCGAGGTTCAAATCTTGGGTCACCTCTATTATTACTATTTATCAATGATCTCGATTTTTATTTGAAAATGGACGTTTCGTAGGATCATCTTTTTACTTTCCTATCTATTTACAGATAAGAAAAGTATAGGAATTATGATTCTTTTTTCCAAACTCGAATTTTTGATGGATTTTTATGTTTTGGGTTCCTCTGAATGAAACTAAATTTTAAACTTAAGCTTATTTAGCTACATAAAAATCTACTAATACAACAAGTATTGTTTTTCTTTGTTGAGCAATTGAATGGGTGAGTTCGAAAACGGTCAAAGTCCAAAATTTGACATTTTAAAGTAAGATAGCCATTTTGTTTAAAATTTGTCTTTTTATTGATTGAGCTTAAAAACCGTACTAGATACCTATCCATTAACCTAGTAGAGCTGGAATTAGGCGAAAAATCGTACACATTCGTGACTCATTAAAAGGTTTTTATTGTTTTTCTCAGAAGGCTGATTTTGGACATGTACGGTTTTTGAACTTACCGTTTCAATTATACTTCCTCTTTCAGTTCGTACAACTTCGCCAACATGTTTCCTTTTAAAATCCAGCGAACTACAGGGTGATAAAGCAGCATTTCTTGTTCGAAGTCCACATAAAAACATAATTTTTTGAAAAGTTATATTACTAAGTGCACTACTTTTGACAAAGTCGAGTATCAAATTTTATAATAAAGCGAATGATTGACGTTGAATGAAACCGTGTTTAGTTATTAAGGATGGATTCTTTTGTTTTATTAAATTTGCAAGTTCTAAATGGGAACCAAGCACAACAGCAGAACTATCTGTACAAAATCCCGCAAATTTTTGCCACATGATGCCATGTTTGTCAAAATGTTGCGTTATTATATCCTTAATGTCTTAACCTTGCGCCATAGTTATAGTGGTAAACTTAGAACGAACCAAATTTAGGTTGATTAAAAATCCGTTATCATGTATACACGAGGTGATCCAATTTTTTATTGGTAAGTTGAGTGGCGAAAAACCGATTTGTGTAATATTTAGTGAAAATATTTACAGGAAAAAAATTGAGTCACCGTTTCGCGTGACCAACGAGGATTATAAAAGCCGTTGATAACTTTTTTGTTCAGATAAATCGACACACATCATAACAAAACTGTTATCCTTTAAAAATATTAAAGAGCTGAGGAACGGTGGTGACTTTTCCTCAAAATCAATCCAATCTTAGCGCCGTTTGGTAATTGTTGAATAACCTTTTATATATCGCGCGATTGATCTATTCAAACGTTTTACAGATGGGCCTGCACAGCGATTGTTGCAACGGCGTGAGTCTGCATCCGTACAGACCGATTTTGGCCACCGCGTCCGGTCAGCATCACTCCATGGATCCGCTTCATCACACTAGGAATAGCATGCAGTACGAGAACGCCCTCTGCATGTGGTGGATCGGGGCTCAACAGGAAGATCCGGATCTATTGACTGCAATCATCAAAGCCGCTACCAATTCTTAATGTCCAATTTAGTTTCCGATTCTTTATTTTGTATTTATTGTTTGATAATTAAAATTAATGTATTTTTTATTTTGATTTTCGTTTATTTTACCTCGTAGATTTCAATTACAGCTCATAGAAATAAAAAGTCGATTGGTACAAAACACTGGGCCTGAAATAGAGGAAAACTGCGACAAAGATACAGGTTTTGTAAACGATACATTGTTCATTAGTTTAAAAAAATATACAGGGTGTTCCGTAATGATCCAATATTTTAATGGGGTTCTACAAAAGTAGACTTAAATATCTCGACAGTGAGGATGAAAATTACAAAATTTTATAAGAAACCTTCACTTAAATGGTTTATAGAACACCCTGTTAAAATACACTATTATTGAATACCGTGTTTATAATATAGTTTCCAGACTTTTTTGCTACATTGTATGTATGTCAAAAATTGCAGATTAAAACAGGTAGGTTGTTAATAATGAACGGTAGAGGAGAAGGAAGGCGGAAGGATATGAAATATCCATGAGATGATGACCTGATGATAAATTTGCCTCCTATGGGGGTTGCCAATTTTCCATTATTTAGAAGGCCTTTGATAGTGTGAATAGTTTTCGCATAAGACCAGAAAACGTTGTTTTGGCTAAAGCATATAAAATTTGTGTTGGAGGCTACTCTCCTGCGCTGTTGCCAAACCATCCTCTATTGCAGATAAAAGAAACTGCTGATACTCAGCAAGATTAGTAGTTGCTGATTGCCCTTTGAAAAGGTCATGCTGTTGTGGTGTAATGTAACGCCGAAAAGACATAAATATCTGTTATTATGACTTAGGAATGTTGGATATAATTGAAATTCCTTGATAGTTTGAAACATTAGATTTGTCGCCGGATTTAAATATTGGCACTAAGTTAGAATTTTTCCAATGTTTGGGAGAGATTTCCACCATCAAAACATTTTTGGAATAATTGACATAGAGGAGTAGAAAGTGAGGATTGTCAATTTTTTAAGAAAATGGGAGGAATTCCATCCGGACCAGAGCCTTCAGAGACATCTAACTAAAACAAGTGAGTGTTGATCTCTTCTTCAGTGAAAACGCGAGAGGAAAGATTACTATAGAGAAATCAGTAATGAGGTTAGAAGAGATAACAACATTGTGTTAAATGTAACAGGACTGAAAATGAGAGGCAAATGCCTCGACTATTTCTTCAGGGTCATAAATTAATTTGCCATTATATTTCATATTTTGGAATGTTTGAAATGAAATTTGCAATTCTTGCTGACTTTTATGACAACTTATGTACCATTTCTGTCAAATGATCATAATTCGTCAGATAGTGACCGATTTATATAGGTACCCCCATTTTCGCATACAAGCCTCGAAGAGGGTTGAAAATTACATCGATGTTGAGTAGAATAAAAGAAAATTTAGGAGTGGCTCTTTGGGATAACACATGGAAAATTCGATTTTCCATATCATAAAAATTTTCCGACCCAAAAATACATTCGGGTCATTCAAGAAAATGTTTTTCGGACTAGTGACGATGTACGTTTTCATACATTCGATGGACTTGTGTGGAAAAATCGGGCAAAATCTCGATTTTTCCTTAGAAGATTACGCTCTTATTTCACCCTTTAGCAACTTGCAACATTAAAGCCTTTGGTTTTCCGAAGCCTGGATCTATTATTATCATATAGTGAAAACGGCTTGCGTGGAAAAATTGGCCACAAATAATCTTTCGTTTTATTAGGGAAAATCGAATTTTCCATGTGTTATCCCCAGCAGCCACTTGTAAATTTCCTTTCATTCTATTTAAAATCGATCTACTTTTCAACCCTCTTCGAGGCTTGTATGTGAAAATGGACGGACTATCAGTTATATTGAAATTAATGTTATTTTTAGCTAATTGATGGCATCAATTTAGTTAGGTATTATATGGGTATCGTTGGAGAGTGTACCCTCTTTTCTAACTTCCTTTCCATTTTTCTCAATAGATAATACTTTTTAAATAACAAACAAATGAAGTTATAAATACAATTGCTTATCTAAAAAACTCCCAATTGTCTGGATGCAAATGAACTTAACAATTTTGCCATTAAAGAAATGGCACATATTATTGCAACACCCCTTACTACTTTGAATAATTTCATTTTTAATACCGGCATTTTTCCAAAATTCTGCCACTACGTAAAAAGAAAACTTCACAAGTGGATAACTTTTGTCCAATTTCCTTATCTATTTTTAGCAAAATAATAGAAAAGTTGATAAAAGAATGTTTTTGTATAACTACTTTGAAAAATATAATTTTTTTACCAATTCCCAATATGACGTTCAACTTTAAAGGTGGGAATCACAACTCGTTCACTTAGAATAATAAAGTTCTAACTGGACATACATCCATTTTGAGAAATTAAATGTTAAAGTTTGCGCATCTAATAATTAGTAAAACATTAATGTTATTAAATCGGGATAATTTTTATATTTCCAAAGTTTTCTTATATTATCATTTAATTCTTAAATATAATGGATTGGACTTTACCTAAACCTCGAATTTGTAAGTTATAAATGAAGATAGAACCTTGTGAACTTATTTTTTCAGAAATATTTAACTGAACATGGTTCTAACTGTCACTTACAACTTTGTCAGGTTAGAGAAAGTCTGTGTATAATAAGTCATGGTATTAAAACAAAGTTCTATGTGAATATTTTTAAAGAATTTATTTAATTTTTAATCAAAATAAATTCACTAAAAAAATACTGATTAAAACTAATCAAAGTAAAGTAACTACATAATTAATTAAACGAAATAATTGAACATTAAGTAATGAAAATTATAAATGTAATAGTGCTTTATAATAATCTTGGTCAATTTGCGGCATTGACGGCATCATTTTTTTTAAAGCATTAATTTTTTCTTTGGAGATTTCTTTCTTGCTTGAGAGTATTTTTGGTATTAAATTTGCAATTTCAGGAGGGGATTTTACTTCCGCAAATTTTTTGGTTCTACGGCGTGGGAGAGCAGGAACAGCAGGACTTATCGAAACCTTAATAAACTCATTATTTGTGTGACTTCTTTTAAAACGTACTTCTGTTAGATCAGATTTGGAAAATTGCATAGTATAAACTTTTGTAAATGGTATGTTATCATATTTCAGTTGTTTAGAACACTCCTCATAGTTCATAAAATCTGATTCTTTCATCTGAATGATAACAAATGGATTTTTTTTATTCACCTGCTTAAGTTCCTTTATGAACCCCAAAGGTGAAAAAAATTCTATTTGTGACATGTGCCTCTCAATTTGGCTGTGAATATTATCTACCTCCTGTACAGCACCATGTCCAGGAACGGAATATTTCATAGTTAAACAGTCAAGATCTGGGTGATTTCTAAGTAAATCTAAAACGCAAAAAGCTATGTGGGAATTGCGATTTTGGGGAACGCAGCTATCACTCCAAGTAATAAGTACATTAAAATGGTTATCTTCTAGAACCTTCTCAATAATTTTTCTAAAGGCACTAGCCAGGCAATTTCCACTTCGGCCCTGAAGGGTTTCAATCCACAATACACAATATCCTTTATTCGTTGTGGATAAATGACCTGTTAAATTATACATAGTCAACTTTTGCAGATAAAAGTAATTTCCAATAAAAGATCTTGGGCAAGTTATGACATTTTCCAGGTCAAAACATAAAACAGGAATTCCACTTTTCTTATCATTTTCTTTCTCCTTTCTCATAGCTTCTTTTTCTGCAATATGTTTTTCCATGGCAGCTTCTTCGGTGTTGCTTAGCCTGTTTTCCTTTTTCTTTAAATAATAAGTCGAGCAGGTCTCACAAACGTCCTTTTTAGGCTTATGGAAACTATAGTTAAAATTAGTACAGAAAATTTGCCTATACATTGAGACTTTAACCGGATTTTCTATGTTATTTTCTGCACAATATTTAAGATATAAATCATACATTTTTGGAATTGTTAATGTGGCTTCCAAATATTTTTTCTGACTATTCTGTCTGCAATAATGAGACTCGACCACGTTAAATTTTTTAATGTGATCAATAACGACCTGCCTTTTCTTGTTATCTAATTTTCTACTGCCGGTCTTTCCTCTCAGATCTTTTTTTGGAACGTCACTATCAGCAGAATGTACGGTATAAACTGGTTTTTGAGAAATATTTAGTGTTCCTAAAAAAAATTTTTTGCATACTTGTATTTTCTCTTCTTGAACCTTAAAAAAGTATTTAAATGAATAGGCACGACGAGACGCACCTTCCGTAGTTTTGCGCCCTTTAATAAACTTTTCTGTTACTTGCTTAAGAAACACGTACTTTTCATTTTGATTCAATTCATAGTAGTAATGAAACAAATTTTTTCTGGCATTCTCCCCAATTTTTTTACAGCATTGGAATTTGCAGTTATTTAGACAGTCTTTTTTATTCACTATCGTTTTAGCGCAAACATGCTTTCCTCTTGAGCTAATATATTCTTTACCTGCCTGGCAGAGGTTTTTTCGAATATTATTTTTCCATGTTTCTGGTTTACTTACTTTCTTTCTTACAAGTATTTTGTTCTCATGTTTTGACATATTTAGTTCATTTGGTTCTGAATTAGTTTTCGTGTGTTCTTTTTTTTCTTGTGTCTCTAAAACTTCTATAAAGTTTTCGGATATCTTATTTTGCCCAGTATTTTCATTTATTTCTAATTCATGAAGCTGAAAAATAAAAAAAAATGTGTTTTTTGAGTATTTAATATTATAGAATTTAATTACCTGCACTCCGTTAGTTTCAATAACGACTTCTTGGGCTACCTTTTCTATAGGAGCTTCAACACATTGGTCTGGAAGTTCAGAAATTGTCATGATTTCTGCTGATTCCAATAGGGCATTTTCTCCATAAACCTGAATTTCTAATTCGTTTAGCTAAAAAATAAAGAGGGGATGTTATTTTTGTGTTTGTTATTGCTTTAATTCATTTTATTACTTGAACTAGATTTTTTTCTACATCAATTTCTTGGGTCATGTCTTCTAAATGTGCCTTAGTAAAACACTGCTCTGAAAGATTGGAAACAATGAATGAAGAGGTGACGGTAGATTGGTCACAGTCCATAACTACTTCCGCGTTTTCTATCATATCTTCTATCGAATGAAAGGAGTTATTGTCGGCTACATTATCATTGGTAACGATTTCTGACAATTGAGATACAGTTAAAAGCTCACTTTTATTGCCATTTTCGGCCAACGGAATTCCGTTACATTTCTCATGAGCTTAAAATAATGAAACAAATATAACGAAAGCTTTCAAATTTTATAAAGCACTTATTAAATCATATTTTTAGGCTGTTATTACTTACCCATTTTTAATATTAATTTACTTCTATTCATGGTAATCTTATAATTTTGGTCGTCTTTATACACAACACAGATACACTAACTTTTAAGGTTATAAACAGGGTAGCCAGTTCCCCTGTAAATAGTTGGTAACAAGTTTGTTTGACCTCGACAGTGGCGCGCTGAGCGCGTTATGATGAACTATAATTCGGTACAGTCGGTAAAGTAGAAAACTACTAGGTAAAGCGATTTAAAAAATGGCGGGCTTTAAAATTTATGAAATTTGAAGTAATTTCAAGTAACATTTTCCTATTTTACAGCTTTTACTTACAATAATTGAAACAATCAATAAGTAAAATGAATTTTTATTGTAAGTAAATGCTGAAAAACGGAAAATGTCACTTGTTTTAAATGAAAAATAAAAACATTTGTAATAAGTTTATTTTATTTAGAATAGGTAACTATATCATTACATTATATTAAACATCATATTCACAATATGTTGAAAAATGTTCAAGGGTTGAAGTTAATTTAAAAATATACGTTTACACTAATCACGATTATTATTGTTATTAATATTATTATTTTATATCTATAAAATTACCTAATATCACAAAATTACACATTATCACAAAAAGTACACATTAAAAATAAATTGAGTTTACTACCTGAAATTTTTTTTATTATTCTTAAGCTCTATTGGGTGTTCCAGTGCCAGAGTTGCTAAAATATAATTAATTAAGTTGAGATCAAAGTTTAAGAAAAATTTAAAAATAGTCACTTGTCAAATAAGTATTTAATTTTGTCATGAACTACATAATTTTAAGGAATAGGTAACTTTGGCATGTATAGAAATGATTTTAAAACAATAACAAAGACCAGTTGTTTTGAAATTTTGTTGGTTAGGTAACTCTGGCACTAAACCACTTTACTATCCCTTCACCCATCTATTTCGGTTCATTGTAGTTGCAATATCCATTCCAAAAATCTCCATACTCAGGAATAACTAAAACAAAAAAAAAATAAAGGCGCAGTGTGTATCTTAAAATTAAACTAAAATTTTTAAATAAATTTGTTTCTGATAATTTTAAAGCAGTCTTAATTGTATTTTTAGATTTTAATAAACTATTTTTTAATCTTGAAATTTTGTTTTGCTGCTCTCGATTAATATAATAAAATTTTCTCTTTCTAGGAGTTAAATTACCAATTGTAGTTGCATTAATTTGATTTAAAATACCAGTTCTTACACGTGGTTTCTTTATTAAAGGTTCCTCAACACATTCAATTCTATCATTAAAAAAATCTAGCTTTCTTTTAGCTGAAGTTATATTCGAAACAGAAGGTTTAATCAAAACATTACTAATTACATTTATTTTTGCAAGAGAATTTGATGAAGGTAGCTTTGAAAAATTTTCATCTAATGTAATATTATTATTAGTAGTAATATTCTCTTCTAAAGGCGCTAAAGGCAAGGCAAATTGAATGAGCTTAGTAGGCAAAGTGCTGGTGAAGGCATTCTCGTCAAAATGATCCTCGCACTATAGTTTTTTTTAGATGTGTAGGGAATATTTAAAATATCAAACCATTTCTCTCTAAGGGTAATAATGGACGGAAAAGTAAAAAATTTCTTATTAAGTGAATGTAAATAATATTTGCTTCTGCAATTTGGAGCAGCACATGATAATGTGAATTTATTATAAGTTAATGACATCGTTAAGGACCTCAGTATATTTTTACACCTATAAATTACTTAAATTTAACTAAAACTAAATTAAAAATAAGATTAATTAAATTTTACTCACCTACATTTTCCACGACTGTCATGTTTTAGTGTAACATAACCTAATTTATTAGCAAAGCCAGATTTACACCACCTCATAATATTCAAATGTAGCTTTAACTTTATAAATTTATAACAATTATCCCTGTATTTGATCATTATATTGTATTAAAGTGATATTTAAAAGATTGCATTAGTAAAATTATTGATTTCTTTAAAATTTATTCATTTTTTAATTATCATATGGGTGTAAAAACGGCTTTTATTTAGTGCTCGCAGCGCGTGAAGCGCGATATGATAAACTACAAACAAGGAAACAATTCCCGCCTATTATTCAAACCTTCTCTTTTTAGTTTTTCTATGGTTATAAAACAAGCAGCCGTCAATACCGTATTACTATAACAACGTTCTAACTACTCTTTTCGGATAATATAGTTCTAAGTGTAGGCAGATACAACCATGTGAAATAAAAATAACAAATGTTTGTGGCTGATAGAACTCTGCGTTTATTCTAGTTTATCTTACGATTTTTAGATGTCGCTATATTTATTAAAAATAGGCAGAAAATAGCAGTTAGAACCCTATAATACTAAAACTTAGAATTTGAAAAAAGGTGTAGTTAGAACTTTGTTATTGTAAGTGGACGAACTATTAAGCTGTGTGATCTCTCGAAGGCTTTCGAATGTGTCTGAGAGGCAACATTCTATTAGAAAAGCTGTGGTATTGTGAGAGGGACGTCATTATCATTAATTGAATCCTACTTAAAAAATCAATATCAGACTGTAGTCTACAATAATTCAAAATCTGACATTAATTAAACATGGTGTTCCCCAAGGCTCTGTTCTTGACCCTATGTTATTTATCATTTATATTAATGACTTGCCTAGTTTTATCCGACCTTATTCTGTATTGTTTCAAATTGTCTCAAATCTTATAAAAATTTCTGACAATATAAATTCTAATTCGAAATTGTGGTTTAAGGCCAACAAACTTTAATTAAATGAGGTCAAAACACAAAATCTTTACTTTTCTAATAATATTCCTAGAGTTTAGATGTTATACTTGGTATATATAGATTATTATTACAATAAGGACGGTTTTCTAGTAGTAACCTATCTTGGTGTGATCACGTAGATCAAGAAATAAATTGGCTAGCTACCTTTTTATCCTTATCCATATTTTGGATTGTTTCACTCCTACATCGGCTATGGAATCTGAGGCAACTCTGTTGGTGCAGCGCAGATGAGATCTTCAAGTTGCAGAAGAGCAATAAGGCTAGTAGCTGGTGTGGGTTTTCTTGAACCATGTCAACCGTTACTTAAAAAACTTCATATAATGCCTCTGCCAACATTGCTGTTTTGACGGAAATTCACAGACAGGGTAACAGTTTAACAAGACAATTCGATTTGCATAATTATGATACTAGACAGGCAGACAATATACGAACAAATCGTTTTCGTTTAACAGAGTTAAAGAAAAATTCGCTGGACTATAGCCTATACAATCTAGTACCCCAAGATCTCAAAAAACTTTGCATTAATTAATTTAAAAAGCAATTAAAAGCATTGCTTCTACTGTCAATGATGTTATTTTGGAACTTTCAACTGGTCCGAGTGAGCTAACTGATTCTTTAGCGACTCCAAAAATAATATTCACTGACAGCAGCAAGCAAAATATCAGGTGCGTTTTAATCATCCGCTTCTGCTTCCGGAATTGTCGGTTTAGTCGTTTTAACCTGTCAGATTAAAACAAGAAAACCGACAATTCCGAAGCAGAAGCGGATGATTAAAACGCACCTATTAAAAATATTGCGCCAAGATGTAGGCAACACGTAATAAGGGTTCAAAATGGCGGAGTTTTCTATCTCCTTTTAAAAGGCACTCAGAAAGCTGCGCAGTGCGACCATTCTCCGTATAGTAAAAGAAAATCAAAGTATGTGCTAAAGCTCCACAAATGGCAGCCCTGCTACTCACTAACATTGGCGTTTGTTAAGTTAGTCGAGAAAGGAAATAAAAACACAAAAACGGAACTTTAAATATTTTATTAATTGATAAATGCTGTAGCAGCACTCCTAACAGAACAAATTGTGTAAATGCATTAAAATTATAATGCTCTATTATTTAATAAAGGATTGTGGAGCATTTTTGCCATCCCGTAAAATCAAAATATTCCCATACTATTAACGAAACCGGGCCCGGAGCGATGACACAAACTGATCGAAGAAGAAACGAACAAAAAAAATTATAATTATTAGAAAATCCTATTTTTTTTTATTTAGATACAAAAAAGGATTTGCCAGTTTGTGTCACGGTTTAGTACTCCTCCGAACCGAATAAAAGTTGCAGTCACAGCTCCTCGTTACAACATCATCATCATCTCGTCTCGAATAACTTTCAAATTGTTTTTACGAATGTGATTATTTCTCACATCCAGTTAGAATAGGCACACATTTTCTAACCGTATCACAGGTAGTTTATGAATGAATCGAATAACTCATTATATTAACGCAGGCACTCAGTATCAAAATGTCATCTGTCAATCGAGAGCGACGGTTACTTACAAACATGCGACACGTTGGTAAACAAACGTCGCTCTTAGTAGTAATGTTTTTAATCAGCCCACTACAACTGTTACTCTATTCAGTCACGCGAATCTATTATTCAACTAATATAAATAAAAAAAAACTAAATATTAAAAAAATAATACAAAAAAAGTAACCAAATACTACAAAGTATGTATTCGGCGAAATCAATATAAAAAACACCTGGGAAGAGTCTGGTTTAGTTAGAAATTAAACAAACGGTATTGCATCAAACTTCGAAAAAAAAAAACTACTAGAGATAATAATTAAAGGTTACGATTAACCACCCTGTATTCGGTAGCAAGTCGTTTTTTTGCAGTTTGATCCAGTACTGTAGAGACACAAAAGGAAGGAGCCATTAATAACCTCGCATCGCGCATCCCCGTTCAAACAAAATCGGCACAAAAATACGCTAAAACCAATCAATATACATCAAACTTGATAGGCGATACTTTTTAGCAAAGAAAAGTTAATAGGCGATATTCATTGACCATCAAGTAACAAATCGACAAATAAACAATTAATAGAGGATATTTGTTGAAAAATAAACAATTAATAAACGATATTTGTTGAAAAATGAACATTTTAATAAGCGAGTTTTTTAAGGCGATATTCATCAAAAATAATTTTTTTAAAAACGTTGAAATTATTTGAATACGCAATATTTATTGGCTATCAATATTTTAATTAAGATATATTTTTCGAAATTCAAAATTTTACTAGATATTTATCGACATTCAAAATTTTTATTATCATTAAAAATAAAAAATTTAAAAAGCGATATTTATTGAAAACATTTTAATAAGCGATATTTATAAATAAACACATTTTAATAGGTGATATTTTACGAATATCAACATTTTAATTGGCGATATTCATCGACAATCAAATTTAAATAAGCTTATCGAAAATCTAAATTTTAATAAGCGATATTTATCGAAAATAGAAATTTTAATATACGTTTTTCATTGACAATAAATATTAAGATATGCGTTATATATCAAAAATTAAAATTTTAATTTGCTCAATGTGTATCAACAATTCAAATTTTAATAGACAATATTTATTGAACATTTTAATAGGATATATTTTATCTATCAAAATTTAATAGGTGATATATCAGCCCTAAAAAATGTAATAGACAATGTTTATCAACAATAAAAAAATTCAATAGGCGATGTTCATATTTATTAAATTTTAATAGGCGATATTTATATTTTTAAATAAAATTGACAGTATGGCACAAAAATTGAATGTTATTTACGTTTGAAAAGACATACCAAGATTTATAGGATATACTTATCATCTATAAATCTTGAAAGGTGATAATTATCATGTATCAAACTTAATAAGCAATAATTATTATCTATTATTGTTAATAGGAGATTTCTATCAAATTTAGGATTTGTTTATTGAGAATTATAGTAAATCTGCACATTTTAACAAATTTTATTGTTGATGTAGATTGGTCATCAAAATTTAAAAGATTATATTCATTGACCACCAAAAATATTTAATAGGCGATGTTTATATCAATCAAATTTAAATAGGACATTTATTGACAATTAAAAATTTAATAGGCGATATTTATAACTATTAAATTTAATATCAGACTTTTAACATCGATATTTATCACCACAAAAATTAAGCATTATTTCCTGCTGAAAGGCTTTACTAAATTTGATCGCCTATTAAGCTTAAAAGGTGATGATTTCGTCTATAAAACTTAATAAGCGACAAATATCATCTATCAATGTTAATATGAGATTTTTATCAAATTTGACGGTAAATTGAGAAAATTGTAACATAAATGGATTTCTTAAGGGTAACTAATGTTTAAATTGTTTGAATCCTAGGTTTAAAAAAAAATAAGTACGCGCGAAGGTTTTGTTTATCCTTTAGGAACTCCTCTAAAAGGAAGACGTGCCCACTCTAACGCTTTTTTTTAAGATTATCGTCCTTACAAACTATATTTTTTTTTTTATACAAAAAAAAATCTTAAATATCTTTTTTTGTTACTTTTATAAATTAAATACGCTAAGATTTCATCGCCGCGCCAACAAACGCGCGCGCGTCACATTGTCATCTGACTGTATTTGCTTGGATATTTCGGTCTCATCATCACTATCCATCATCGTCGTCACAGCTTCGAAGAACTCAATACAATCGAATCAACGATATTTGTTTTTCTATTTTTATTATTTCACTTAGATCGTTAAATATCACAGTCAAAATGTTTTTGCAAATTCTTAGCGCCCTAAATAGCTGTAACTGCAACGCTATTTGAGCCCTCTATATCGCGCATATTCGACAACGCACGACCCTTTTACGCCACACAACTTGATTACAAACGTCAACTGTCGTATGTCAAACGTCACGCACGTTTTGACAATTGACGTTTCGCTCGAACAAATATCAAAACTGTCTCAAACGTCAACTAACAGTAGAGGATAAACGACTACTGTCTATATAGATTAAATTGTTCTTTTTTAATAAGTACGTCGAGTTGTGTGGTTTAAAATAGCCCTTGAGCGGATTAGGAGCCATCAAAATGTTGGTTTAGTTTCATTTTTTTGAACTAAAAAAGTTTGTTGATAGTACCGGATCCGCTTTGAAAATTCGACAAATATGAAAGAGTGGTTTACATTTTATAATTCAATTAATTTTTTGTTTGTTTACCATTATGTACACACGTTTAAATTTCTTTAAAACACTTTGTGACCTAACAGTTTCACACTTTTGATTGATATCTTACTAGAAACACAATTTTAGCACATACTTTTTGGTTTAATAAGATAAAAAGTGAAAATTATTATTGTTGCGTGTAAAAATCATATTTTAAGATACGTAATTTTCGTTATTAAAAGATTAAAATTGGGAAAAATGATAAAATTTCCCAAAAATCGATTACTAGCAAGAGTAACGAAAGTTTTTTTTTCTAATCATTGAACAAAGGACATTAAAATTATTTTTTTAAGAGTTTAAAATCGCCGTCACTCACTCACATATGTGCGTGTGCATATATATCAATTGCATAGGGTCGCCAGTAGCTCAGTAGTAGTTTATTATTTTGTTTTTCATCATTTGATATCATCACCAAATAAATAATGCCTTATAAGAAAAATAAAGATCAATAAATATGTATCTCGGAGAGGATCGGGTTTGGGTGGGGAGGGAAGGCAGGGGAGGAGATATGAAGGAGACAAACACTGACATATAAAGAGACTTGGATTACTAAGTGTACGAATTTGTTGGTAGTAGTAGTATTTTAGGTAGTAGTAGGTACGTGTTTGGTTAAGTATTCATCTAAAGGTTTGTCGACTGTTTTTTTTGTTTTAATTTAAAATCTAATTTTCCCACCAGTCGTCGCGACTATTAGAATTGTTGTAGTTTCCGCCAAAGTTGCTTCCTCTGTCCATTCCTCCATAATGGCTACCTGTAAACAAACGAAAGTAGTCTTAATAAAATTCAAAACATTATGCATCAAAACCGTCACTTATTATACACACTTAAAAACTGTCAACAGTCACTTGACATACATAATTCAAAATTGACAGTTACTGTCAACTGTCACTTATCATACATGCTTAAACACTGTCATTAAGATTGTCTTTAGCCCAGATGAAGAATTTAAATATAGACAAGTATCAGGTTTATTTGAAGCCAAAATTTACTCATCCTTCTATTACATCAATCAATCAATCAATCAATCAATCAAAACGTTTAAAAATAACATTCTATACATAGTTTAATTTATTTCAACATAAATTAAACAGAAAAGAGAACGATTCTGAACGATGAATTCAAGTACTGCAATTCGGCAGGAATATTTAGTTTGTTATTTAATTAATTGACAAAGTTTTGTTTTTTTATTTATATTCTTAAATTTTGTTTCAATATTATTTTTAACAAGTAAAAAAAGATGCATTTAAAAAGAGTTCATATTGCTTTAAAAAAGATCCTTCAAAAATTGTTTTTTAACATCAAGATTCGTTTTTTTAAACATTTTTATAATGAAAAATAAATTTATTAAAAAAATAAAACCATATTTTTAATACAAATTAGTCACTTTTTTCGTCGATTTTAAATTGCAACAGCAAATTTAGTCAAAACTGTCAATAGGAAATTAAGAATTGCCAGTATTGTTCGTACATTTCTTCCGATTTTATGTTCCTAGACCAAGTTCTTAAAATTTTTAATTATATAAGTTTTTAGTGCAAAACTGTCTATTAAATGTTTTGGTTACTTTATTTATTTGATAAAGCTCTACAGAAAATAAATTCCAAATGGCTTAAAGAAATTATATACAAAAATTACAAAGATATAAAAGTACAACTAACAATAAACATACAAAAAAAGACTACTATAATATCAATAAAGCCCGTTTCACTGAAATAACTATTATAATTGCGAACGAGCTTTCCCATAATTGCATTCGTGTCATAATTAGTTTTATGTTTGTTCATGAAATAACTATGGATTTCTAGTAAAGCGAACTGGCACATGAAGCATCACATTTTCTAATAGAACTTGAGTATCAGTTATAGAGTGAAGAATTTTATATAAAAATGGTAGCATAGTGTTTTTTCAGCGGTGTTCTAAGCTTTTCATCCCACACAATAGTAATCAGGTTTCAGAATAAACATTGACCAGCGAGAATCTTAATTTGTATAGCAGATATTTGATAAAACTTATTTTGTACCCTTTCTAATCTGTTGATATGGACTGCATAACTAGGATCCCATATGGTGCTGCAGTATTCCATAATGATTCCAATCATAGCATTGAAAAGAGTTAATATATATCTTTAGTATCGTTAATAATCCTATTTTATGGCCTTACAGACAACTCAACAGTGATTTTTTAAAAACCATTTTGTAGAGCTTTTAAAGAGAAATTTATTTATGCAAACCACTTCTTTCTAGTTTAAACGATAGTCAAGTTATTTAACAAAAACCTTTTTCTCTTAAAATTCACTGACAATCTTTTTATCTTGACCTACAGACAATATAGCATGAATTAATAAAAACCAGTTTATAGAGCTTTTAAAGAGAAATTTAATGATGCAAACCACTTCTTCCTAGTTTAAATGATTGTAAAGTTATTTAATAAAAACATTTTTCTTTTAAAATTCAATCTGAAAATCCTATTATTTTACCCTACAGACAACACAGTATAGAGTAGTAAAAACCAGTTATGACTCTGCCTTAATATTGATACTGAAAGTGCTAGACCAAAATTTAAATTAAGGAAGGAGAAATTAATTAATGTCTATTATTACACATTTTAAAATACTTTTTTATGCCAGTTTATTTCTTTTTAGGAAAAATTTAGGGACTATCCTACCTCCTACTATACTTAGCGAAAGAGAGCCTGGAAGAAATGTATCATTCAAACAAGTCGCCATTTCCAAAGGATAATTCACAATAAAAATACGTGTCAAATTCTGTTGGATTTCAGGTTTCTTCAACAACTGTTAAATTGTCTTTGAATAAAGCTATGGAGTGTAGAAGAAAGGAGAACTATCTTTGTTAATAAAAAGTGTCCATCAAAACACATGAAATTAAGATGGTATTATACCATTTATTCGTCATTCATAACTGACATAAATCTTTTCATAACCTCTTCCTTAACCATCAAAACATAGAATAATAAGTAATACATACAATTCATAAAAATAATTTTAAAAAATCAAATTGAAAATCGTGCAGATGACATCAGGAGAATCATTAAAATCGGACAACGTGGTTAAGAATTAGCGATGAATATAAAAAAATATTCCAACGAATTGAGAACCATGACAAAGGCAACCAAAAGTGGACAAGCGTCTACTGCCAGAGACAACTTTATACAAGGAGCCAAAATTGATCAGTCATTTTATAAAAAGCATTGTTGCCATTTCAGCTTGGTCATTGGCATTGACCATGTTCCATAATAATCTAATCTCCATACAAAAATAAAAAGATTTTCTTAAATTTATAAATGTTGTAGTTTGTAAATACACCAAAACTTTTGATCATAGAACAGAAGCAGAGCAAATTATGCTGCATGAAGTGTGAGAAGACATTCACACATAGAAAAACTATTTACTAATTTGTTGAATTTAAAAAACATATTAAAGGCCTTTATCCTGGAAATGATTCATATTTGAAGGCTTTACAAATAAAAAATACTAAGATTTCATGCTGAAGGTTCAGTTAATTCAAAATGTTTAAAACGATTTCAAAAATAACTTACAGTAGATGGATATGTAAAAAAACCTTGTAATTTGTGTATAAAAAAAATTATTTTTGTCAAATTTAAGGCAACACATGTGAAACAAAAAAGTTTTCAAGCTTTTCCAAAGAAGATAAAAACTATCAACTTTTGTGTGATCAGTGTCCTAAAAAGTTCAAGTATAGAACAAATTTGACTGGGCATTTGAAGACAGACAATGCAACAGGATCCTATATAATTTGTGTTGAAAAAATTTAAATGTAAATTGCGTAATTATTTTTTGGACAAAAATATACTTTTGCTTCCATTGAAGACATTTATAGTTGGAAAGTGATTTTTGAAAATGATACTCTAAATTCATCAACGAATGTAATACCATGAGAGGAATATATTGATAAGGGTGTTATTATTCTGGAAGTTTTTCATCAAGGTTTAAAGGTATTCGGTCGGGTTGTGTGATATATCCATCATATCCACTCTTGTTGCACAAATTACTATTGTGTAATAAGAGTGAATACGCCTGAGAGCAGTTAATAAAGTTAACCCATTCTTGTACAGTATATTATTTTTTTTCTATGACTAAATAAATAATAAACTTTAGGTTATTAAAATAAAATAAACTAGTTGCTTTGGAAATTTGGCTTCAGTCATAACATTTTCAAAATTATATAGGGCTTGACATTTAACATAATATTTTTTTTTAGATATACCCATTATTTTAATGATTTAAAATATTAATGAAGGTTCTGCTTACAAATAAATAACGCCTTGTATAATTTTCTGGATTTATTTGGGGACTGTTCAAACACGGAATTTCTTGTTCGCACACGGAATTCCGTATTCCAACACGGAATTCCGCATTCAAATACGAAATTCCCCGTTCAAACACGGAATTACAGATTTCCCTCTTCGTACGCGGAATTCCGTATTCAAACACGGAAATTAGTTATTCCGTGTTCAAACACGGAATTCTATATTTGAGCTATATTTTTTAATGGCTTATTTACAGGACGTTCTCGGGGGACATGGAAAATTCGGGGAGGGGGAATACCAATGCTCCAACAATTTTATCTCAAATTAATTTTTAAGGTGCTCCAGGAGGCTGAAGGGGAGTGGATGTAAAAAAACGATTGATGCCGAAACGTTCGACCTTTGATTTTTATACACGATGATTCAGAAGTGGATTTTGTTTTTTAATTGCGCATATTTTGGTATAAGTATATTTTTATGACGTGTCATCATTTTTCGAAATATGATGTCATCACCAGTTTTTTAAATAGCACCACCATTTTTTGATATTACCATTTAATAAGAAATACAAGCAAAAAATTCTTAACCGGTCCTCCATTTATTCACTTTTTTCTAGAGATAACTAATAATTGAATTTAGAAAACACCACTTCACTTTATCCCTCTCTTATCATCTTGTCTAGAGAGGCAAGGAGGGTAAATTTAAAACGCTATACAGGACTTTATTTTGATTCGATTCAAATGAAATTTGGGCATCAGGGACTAGATCCTAAGAAATAAGACTGACCTGGAAATGAAATTAAAGGAAAAATATTATGCAGGGACCAAAGAGGGCAAGATTTTTGGTACTACTTATACATTCCTTTTTTCAAAAGTTGACAAAAGTAAAAATCTGAGGATAATCAAAGAATCCGTACTACACCCATCCCTCCCCAAGATACCCAAGTCACCCAAGAGTAACCTGTAAATACGCCATTTAAATTTATAGTTCGAAAATAAAATTCCGTGTTCGAACAAGGAATTCCGTATACGAACACGGAAATTCTGTGTTCGATGATGGAATTTTAGATTTCCATGTACAAACAAGGAATTCCGTGTTTGAACAGGGAATTCCGTGTTCGAATACGAAATTCCGTACACAAACAAGGAATTTCGTGTTCAGACACGGAATTTTAAAAATAAAAAAAAAAATTTAAAAGTGTAGCCCTTCTACGCTGCCATATTTTATACATAACCTTTACATATGCAATGAATGACACATGTTAGCTTCTATATATTTTTTTTTTTTTTGGAATAAGATACTATATTTAAATATATTAAATAAGATTTTTCCTTTTCATATCAATTTTAGTCTCTGTGAAATTATTCATGTAATAGAGCATTTTATCTAAATCCTTTTCAAATTTCACTTCATCTATCATAACATTTTAACCCTTTTTAGTCTATGGCAATCTTTAGAAGACTCAGGTTCCAATACAATAAGAATCATTTATCTTGAAGATCATTCACGGTTCAATGACGAATAGGAGTCACGAATGAGATTTATGAAAAAGAATCCCGAATCACTTAGTTGAAGTTGCCTGACTGGTATATAATGTTTAGGGATTGATGTACCTCTGCAGTTTGGGACGAAGAAAGAAATACCTGATTTTTACATTTAACTTACCATACCGTATATTACCTTAATTACCACACAGATAAGTGTAATTGATCTAATCAATAAATTGTTTTAAATTTGAATTATGTGCAATGTGAATTAGAATTTGATACCTACCTTATCTAAAGCATTTTTTAAAGTATAATTTGTTAGTGGTTAATGATTTTTTTATATTTTTATCATTAATGTAGAGTTAAGTGTATAAGCTCATAAATATAGTGGTACCCAATTTCTTTTTTAAAGTTATTAGAGTTAATTAAAAACCTAACCCACACCCTATAATTTGAGCTCAAACACACATATCAAAGTAAATTAACTAACCAGCTATTCATGTTACAAGATATAGCCGATATATTGTAGAATTTTGTGTAAAAATTCTTAATGTAAAAGTAATCAAGAAGACTGACCACTTTTGTTTAGAAGTAATCTCAGATCTGTGGGATAGGCGGTTGGTTCATGGTTGGTGTCGTTTCTAATTTGGACACCCATAAAAAAAAATAGGCACATAATAAGGCATGTAATATATTAACGACACACACAAAGTGAAATTTAATCAAGCAATCGAATGCAGAAAAAATTAGTTACCTACTTTTAATATGAACGTAACTCCTCTAAATTTTTTTAATGAACGTTCCATTGAATGTTTACCAGATGGCCAGATATAAATATACTCAATTTTCATTAAATTATGAATGAAAATTAGTCTCTATACACTAATTTTCACGGAAAAATGTTCCGCTATAATGCTACAAAAATGTCAATTTCATGTTTAAATATTTGAATTCTTACTATGCATAAAATTTTGTATGTACATTTCACGTTTTTACTTACCAAAACGCATGACAACCGGTTTTAAATTTATTATTGTGCATTATAAATTTCGAACAATTTGACAACACTGCGGATCAATTTTTACCCCTGCATCAAGTTGTCTCTTGTTCTAGACGCTTATCCAAAAGTGGTACCACCTTAAAACAATGGTTGATGGCCCGAAGAATATGCAACCCTTTGTACAGTAGTAGTGATGTACAGGTAGTGAATACTGTGATATATTTATATATACAATAAGTACTACAACTGTATATTTTCTTCGTCATAAAAAATAAAAAAAAAAAAAAATGGACTTACTTCCGTTTCCGTATCCATTATTTCCGTATCCGCCGCCGCTGGATCTTTGTGGCGGTCCGCGACTGCCGCCTCCGCTACCGCCGCCGCCACCACCGCCCGATTGTTGACGATAATCGCGACTGCCGAAGCTGCTGCCGCCGCCGCTACCGTATCTGCCTTTACCGCCTCGTCTGTTGGCGCCGCTCGGCACTCGCCCGTCCTGCGAAACGCCCTCCAACCAACTTGGGTACTCCTGTTTGGCTTCGACCAACAAATCCATAAGGCCGGTGGCCAAGTTGCGGTTGCGGTCGTTGAAAAAGGACGTCGCTAGACCGAGGTTACCCATACGGCCGGTACGACCGATTCTGTAAATAAAAAAACCGATCTTGGTGAAAAATATCAATTCTGTTTGAAGAGCCAAAGATAGATAGAAAAAAAAAACTTTGCAGGATATCGATCAAAACCTCCTAAGTCCGTTTTTTATTGTTTACAAGGTTTTGATACAAACAGATTTAAAATATTATTATTTAACATCCTGAAAAAGCTTCTAAGTTTTAATTTGATTATAGCGACATCCATTGGACGATATTGAAACCTTCTAAGTCATAGCAGGATGTTAAATAATTATATTTTAAATATGTTTGTATCAAAACCTCGTAAACAGTAAAAAACGGGCTAAGAATGTTTTGAAAGTAAGCCGATGATATGTAAAATTAATATACTCATTAAAAAACAAAATAATTTCGTTTTTAAAATCAAAAATACTTTAATTTTTATCAAAATAACACTTTTCTTTTGAGGTTAAGTTTAAGGTGACAAAAAAAGGCAAATGGACAATAATTATGGATACATAAAAGGTGAACAAGAATCAATCTTCTATCTATCTTTAAAGCAATTTTTGCTTGCAGAAATAGATTCCTAACTATATCAACTTGATAAAATTGTAATCAAAACAAGTTTTATTTTTTTTCCAAATTCTTCATTAAAAAAAAAATTAAATTGTCTATAAATTTCATAATTTTAATCAAAATTTCCCCATTTTAACAACTGTATATTTGAAAACATACCTGTGCACATATTCTTCGATATCAGACGGCAAATCAAAGTTGATAACGTGTTTGACGTGCGGAATATCCAACCCTCGGGCCGCGACCGCGGTCGCTACCAAAATGGGCGTGTTACCCGATCTGAACTGTCTGAGGGCGTCTTCTCGTTCGCGTTGGGTACGATCTCCGTGTATAGACGTGACCGGGTAGCCCTCGTTGTGCAAGAACTCCTCCAAAGAGTCGGCACCCTTTTTCGTTTCGACGAACACGAGGGTCAAGCTTTCGGCGGAGGGTTGTTGTAAATCGGCAACGTTGAGTAAGTCCAGGAGGAAGGAGCGTTTGTCGTGTTCTTCGACCCAAACCACCTGCAAACAAATTGTTCACGATCGTATTATGAATGTGACAAAAATGTAAACAATTATAAAATCAAATATCCAAGTGACAAAATTGTTTACAATTATAATATTCAAGTAACAAAATTGTTCACAGTTATAATATAAAAGAGACAAAAGTGTTCCCAATAATTACAATATCAAATATCCAAGTGACAAAATTGTTCACAATTACAATATCAAATATCCAGGATAGAAAATTGTTCCCAATTATAATATCAAAGAGACAAAATTGTTTCCAATTATAATAAAATATTTCAATGACAAAATTGTTCACAATTACAATATAAAAGAGACAACATTGTTCCAATTTACAATATCAAATATCCATGTGACAAAATTGTTCACAATTATAATATCAAATATCTAGGAGACAAAATTGATCACAATTATAATGTAAAAGAGGCAAAATTGTTCTTTGTTACAATATCAAATATCCAGGAAACAAAATTGTTCACAATTATAATATCAAATATCAAGGAGGTAAAATTGTTCACAATTATGTTAATGAGATATAATTGATTCTCAATTATTATATATCAATGTAACAAAATGGTAAAAAAAGTTGTGACTAAAACGAAATTAAAAATGATTCCAAATTCACAATAGAAAACAAAATTAAATTGTTTAATCACAAAATTGACACTTTTTACAATTTTAATCATAAATTTAATTAAAATTCCATTTTACCCTAACCAATGCAAATTTCCTGATATTTCAAATAGTGGTTACCATGAATATTGTTTATAATATAAAAAATTATTCATAAGATCGTAAAAATAAATATTTTACCTTTTGCGTAATATTCTCTGAAGTACTACCGACTCGACCGACCGCCAAGAAAATGTAATTATCCAAAAAGTCCCTGGCCAACATCTGTATGGGCGAGGGGAAAGTCGCGGAAAACATCAACGTTTGTCTGTCTCCCGTCTTGGGCATCGTCTCCTTTTCGACAATACGTCTAATCTGCACTTCGAAACCCATGTCTAACATTCTATCGGCCTCGTCCAGCACTAGATAGCGACAATAATCGAGACCGATGCGACCTCTGTCGATCATGTCGAGAAGTCGACCGGGCGTGGCGACCAACAAGTGACAACCGCGTTCCAATTCGCGCATCTGGTCGCCCACGTATGCTCCACCATATCTAAAATTATTTATATTATAATAAAAAAAAAAAAATGTTTATTAGGGTGTCATTTTTGAGCAACTTTTTTTTTTTTACTAAAAAACAGACTAAAAACTTTCAGGAAGGTGAAAGAAGAAGAATCTAAAAATTTGGGGTGAGATTACAGAATGTCTGCAACTTTGCAGATCTGCAAATATGGCGGTAACTTTGCAGATCTGCAAATATGGCGGACTTACAGATGCAAGTATCAAGTTTTCGATTTCCAAAAGATATCTGCAAATTTGCAATATTTATTGTGGTTTATTACCCCCAACAATACTAGACCCAAATCCACCCTTAAGGAGGTTAGAACATTTTACAAACTTGCAGATTGTCAATTTTTAATTTACTTTTTTTAATAACCATAAAGTCTTTTGTTCCTTTTGATTGGATACCTTTCGTGATATTAGATTATCGAGTTTTAAAAACATAGTAATGGATTTGGAATTGGTGTTGTAAGTCCACCATATTTGCAGATCTGGCAAACTCGCCGCCATATTTGCAGATCTGCAAAGTTTCCGTCATATTTGCAGATCTGCACCCTTGAGCACTTAATAATAACATTAAGTGGTGCCTGTTCCTAACTTTCCATTTAAATAACATGGAAAAAAATTTTCTTTTTCTTATTTTTTGTAGCTTCAGATTTTAGCATTGTAAAAATGAACTGAAAAATTATTTTGGAAGGAAATTGAACGCTCTACAAAAAAGTTTTAATTTATTTTTTCATAGAGTGAGCTGTTCTAAAGATATTCAAACTTAAAGTTGCAAATGTATGAAATTATCACTTTTATTTTATTAAACTAATACTGATGGCTTTTTTTATGTCTTAAAATTTTTTTTTTTTTTTATTTTATTTACTATCAAAAAAAGTTATTTGTTTTCAATTATAGATTAAATAAAACGATTGATTTGTTATTGTGTTGAATTTTTAATCTTTCTTTATTTTTTATAATTTTACCTGAACTATATTTTTCATTTTTACAATGCTCAAATGTCAAGCTACAAAAATAAGAAAAAATAAATTTTTTTTTCCATGTTATTTAAATGGAAAATGAAAGTTAGGAACAGGCACCACTAAATGTAATTATTAAGAGCTCACATTTTTAGAGGCTTCTTTTTTCACCTTCCTGATAGTTTTTAGCATGTTTTTTAGTTAAAAAAAAAAAAAAAAAACGGCTTTATAGAAAAACTTCAAATTTTGTATGTAGATAAGGTTCTTTTCTGACTCAAAATCAGTTATACTTCCGATCAAACATATAGTTATAAAAAAATTTAAAATTATGGTACCTATATGAGAATTTTAGAAGCCAAAGATTACATATCCTAAATAAGTTTTTAAAAATTTAATATGACGTTGAAAGCAATCGCATTTAATTAAAAAAAGTCCCCCTTGAATTGGAATAATAAAAATCGTTCTTTTGGTTTGTGTAACTGGAACTTGGCAAAGAATTCCAAGTGGACGCGAAGTGAGATTTCGGGTGGGATCAAAAGGAAGATCGATGGAGAGAAATGTGAAAAAGGGTCTTTGGTTTGGTGGATTTAATTTTAAATTATTAAAATTTAAGTACTTAGGCATTCTCTGCTTTTACAATTTCTATATTGAGGGAAGTTCTAGCTAAAATATTTTACCGATTTTTATTTTAATTATTCATGTCATTTATTAGCTAATTCATTCATTTTATATATTTTATTTGGTATTGTATACACTTTTAATTATCAGTCCCTAAATTTCATAACAATTTTTGTTTTCACAAAAAAAAAATAAATAAAAATAAATTAAATATTAATTCTAGAGTACAGGTAGGATTCTCCACTCTACCATTCACTGTTGGGTTCTAATTAGCAGTGCTGTTTCTGAAGTGGCGCTAGGAAATAGTAACAAAGCCCACACATAACACAAATTAATAAGAATTCAAACACAAACTGAGACTGGCATATTATGTTTATACACTTAGGCCATAAACCATAGATACTATCTTTAATTTTTTATTTTTTTAATTTAATTAAACCGTTTTACATTTACATATTTCTTAAAAATTTACAACATGAAAAAATATAAAACAACACAACAGAGATTTGAAATTGCACATACCTAGAAAAACTAATAATGGTAATAATAAAAAAGAAAATAATAAAATGAGTAAAGGTCAATTTAAGGTAAAAAATACAGAATGTAGAAAATTGTAATATAATATTGTTTGTAAGAAAATAATTTCCAAAACAAAATGCGTCAGGGAAAATTGTGATTACATTGAATTATATTCATTTTCCTTAAACGTTCATGGATATCTCTTTTAAGTAACAATATTTGACATTTTTATATTTTTTTATTGTATCAGGCAGTTTATTGAATATTACACTTGACATGGCTCGTTATTTCAGTTTCTTAACCCATGAACAGGGGGCGGCTCGTGACTAACATTTTGGGGGTTCACAGTAGCAGAATATAGCTCTCGGTACAGATGTGGGTAAAAAAATGTTTGTGTTTTAGAAAGATATATTATAAACTTTCTAAAACACTAAAAGTTTTTTTCATACATCTGTACTGATATCTATATTATGTCACTGTGAACCCCCAAAATTTTGGCCACAAGCCGCCACAATGATATAAGTTGCTTTATTATAATTCATAATTTCAAAAATAATGACTGATGTCTGAAAAGAGCCCGTTCGTGATTATTTGAATTTGTTTTTATTAAAATTAATTACATTTTGAAATATGCAATAAAACATAAAACCGTCATACAAAAAAATTCATTATTTTTAATTGCGCCGTTGTTCTTGCCAAAAAGCGATGTATTTCAATTATTTAATTTAATTTCGCGGTACTTACACAACGCAAGGCCTAACTCTCGACCTGTACGCGAACTTCTTGCTCTCGTCGTAGATTTGCGTCGCCAATTCTCTGGTCGGGGCTAAAACGAGCCCCAGTGGGAATTGCTTGCGCCTACTTCTGCCGTGCTGGATATTGGGCGGGCCGTTTTCGAACATCTGATTGAGAATGGGCACCAGAAAGGCGGCCGTTTTGCCGGAACCCGTTTGGGCGCACGCCATCAAGTCCCGCTTGCCGATTATGATCGGTATAGCGTACTTCTGTACGGGCGTGGGGGAATCGTATCGAGCCATCGAAATGTTGGTGCGAATTAGTTCTGTCAGCTGTACTTCCTCAAACTGTCAAAAAGAAAAGGACGATCGTTAAAAGTCTTAAATGAGGGAAGCTCGTCTTTTTTCCTAATTAATAAATGGAAAAGGGCGATATGTACTAGAAGAAGGTGCTTGACGTTTGTATGTTTTAAGAAGAAGAACTTACAGATGCAATGTGAGTCGGCACTTTGTCGCCGGTCGCCTCCACCGGTATATCTTCGTACTTGCTGAAGTTGATGCCCGTATTGCCGGTGCCGAACAAATCGGCCTCGGTGCGTTCGTCCCTCGCCGTCGGGACTGTCCAGTCGTTTTCGTTAGAAACTCCGCGGCGGCTGTCGTTCCTGCGACCCCCACCTCCGCCGCTACCTGATCCGCAAAAAAAACATCTTAATAATAAGAGTTTATTCATATACAAAAAATTATACAGCTAAATAAAATAATTGCCGATCAATAAACTGCAAATTCCTAAAAAATCGCACCTTGTTGCAAGTAAAAAATAAAACAATGTCTCTTTACAATGAAACATCAATTATTAATTATAAACATAACAGACAGTATTAAATTGGAAAACAATAAATTATATGATAAAAAGAAATTATGAAACAACATTACTAAATTTCAATTTAGATTGCAATTAACATTCTAAAAGTTGAAGTATATATATTTTTTTAAAAGTACTTGAACTTATTCTGTAAATTTCATCAAAAACGGCGAAATCTCGCTGCTTTTTTAACCCCCAACGCTTAGAAACTTTGATTAAATCATAAAAAAACTTTTTTAACAACATCAAATTTAACACCATTGGATTTTTTATTCTTTGGCGGTTTACAAAAGTGGAAGAATTGTAATGGTTCGACCCTTACCTGCATTGTCGTTCCATCGGCTACCGCCACCGCCTCCACCGCCGCCGTCGCTACCCCTCGACGACCGCTCCGGTTCCTGCCAGCGATCGTTGCGCGGCTGTAGATCATTGTTACGGTCCCTGTCCCGGTCGTTATTGCGTCCACTGCTCCAATCATTTCTGTCATTCCTAACACACAACACATGTTACATTTCCATTCTATTAATACTTTTTTTTTCTCTACCATAATCCCTAATTCGTTCTACGAAATTAAGAAATGCATCCTCACGTTCCCAAAGAAAAATTAAAAGAAATAAAGAGAAAAAATAGTATACACTGGCCATATATCAAATCTGGATCTTTCGATTATAGGTTATCTGCGCATTTTACAATTAAATCACCAGAACACATCAATGACATAGTTTATATAGACTGCTTATCCATATATAAACAAAACGACAAAAAGCGGGTCATATTGCAGTCGTTCATATTGTCTTGCCAAGTGCTCACCAGGCAGAATAGGTCTGGCCCAAATGAGTTTAAAACCCATATTTCATCAAAGTAGGAATTGAATTAAAAAAAATAATTACCTGAATCTTTACTTCAAGATAGGAGCTTGCGTTCGGTATTTTGAAAAAGAATATATATTTGTTTGAGTTGTAAAGTCTAGTTCCATATTTTCAAAACATTTTAAGAGATCTAAACAATTTTGAACATAGATTTAAACGATTTTACACTCATGTATAAACGTCTTTAATAATAATGCGTGTAACTAATTTTAGGTCACTGTATAGTGGCACTATTTGGACACTTTTAAAATTTATTTTGCATTTTAAAAATAGATATGCAAAAATTGAATGAACTTTTTAAAGATTTTACTTAAAAGTATGCAGAGCAGGGCTTGAGTGCTTGTAAAAGTGCTTGAAGCACTTTGAGGGGTTGAAAGCCTTATGCTCATAAATTTGTAATTGAAAAAAGTAATTTAAGTCCTTTCAATGAGCTTCAATTACTTTCAAAGGACTTGAAACACTTTTGGACGCTTTTAACAATTTAAAAGGACTTGAAGCACTTTGGGCTTAAATTATTTGAAATTTATAACTTAAAAAAAAAAAATTGTACATAAAAAATGACTTGAAGAACTGCTCTCCAACCAAAAACTTCCCCCTCTCGTCTTGTGTCGAGTTTCTCATACAAAACAAAAACATACTAGTTGCCTTATACCACTGCCGGTCCCCATTTGAGTCCGGGCCCCGGGAATTAGTCCCGGCTACCCCCCACCTCTAGTCGGCCCTGTCTACACTTGCTTTTTGTTTGTATTAAAAGAACATTATTTTATATTCTTTTTGTAATAAACGTAGGTAAATATAAACAACAATATTGTTTAATTTCAATATTCTTATACATAATATGTATTATAAAGTAATGAGGTGATTACAGCACCCCTTATAATTTTCGGACAAGCATATCTCAAAAAGTAATTTTTTTTTTTAAATTAAAATTTTGGCAAAATAAATGAGGCAATATCTAAAATATACATATATTTTAGTTTTAGTTCCTTCCAGTTTCCAAGAAAAAAAAAATCAAAGGCCTTTAAATTTTGAAATATCATAATGAAAAATAACGCATTCCTCAACAGCACTATTCTTAATATAATCCCCAAATTTAAGCTTTTAATCTCTTGTTAATGATTTTTTAAAATTCGCCGAAATTAGTGACTAAAACGCCTCGTTAAGTGCTATTTTCTGATGTAAACTGGTGTAAATCGTTGCAAGAAACGAATGATGACTTACAGTGTACGATACGATAGTTACAGACTCGTTACACCAGGAAGCAGCAATTAACAAGGCGTTTTAGCCACTAATTTCGACGAATTTTAAAAAATCATTAACAAGAGATTAAAAGATTAAATTTGGGAATTATATTAAGAATGGTGCTGTTAAGGAACGCATTTATTTTCATTATGATAATTCAAAATTTAAAGCCCTTTGGTTTTTTTTTCTTGGAAACTTGAAATAATTAAAACTTTAAAATATAAGCATATTCTAGATATTATTGCCTAATTTATTTTGCCAAAACTTTGATTTAAAAAGAAAAAAAAAATAATTTTTGAGATATGCTTGTCCGAAAATTATAAGGGGGTACTGTAATCACCTTAAGCTGATGACTGAAGTACGTGGTAAATTCTGACACTTTGAGAATTTTATTACACATTCATAGGGCTTTAGGCACATTTAAAGAATTTCAAGCACTTTCGACGAGCTTCAAGCACTTTTGATGTGCTTCAAGCACTATAAAAGTCACTTTGAGGGCTTTGTGCTTACCAAGCACAAAGCACTTTTAGATCTTTGTGCTTGGGAAGCACTTTCGAAAGTAAAAAGGAATTTGTGCTTCAAGTGCTTTCACTGAGGGCTTTGCCCAGCTCTGAAAGTAAGTAGCTTTTTAGCATTCTAAAGTTTGTTCCTTTTGGACAATTAAGGATTATTTTGGCGGTTAATGTGAATAAATCAAAAATAAAACTCTAAAGGTACATAATAAACTTCCACCAGTGGAAATCTGACAATCATAATAAAATCACTGCAAAGCACAATCTTATTGGCATGTTCTTCAGAATAAATTGCAATTGATCATATAAATATCATATCTATATAATTATATAAATGCGAAAGTTTCGATGGATGTATGGATGGATGTTTGTTGCTCAATCACGCAAGAACGGCTGAACGGATATGGATGAAATTTGGCACAAATATAGATTTTAGTCTGGAATAACACATAGGCTACTTTTTATCCAGAAAAAATGTACAGTTCCCGTGGGATTGTGTAATTCAAAATTAAACGAATTTGTAACTATTTTACGAAATAAATTATATTTTTTTTCTTCTTCTAAAGTATTGTATAAAAAAGGGGAATATTTGCAGAATACGATGACTTCAATGTGATACGTAGGTCTAATTAGTAAAGTCGCAGAGGGCTATACTCGTAAAATCCAGATCCAATCCCTAACAAGTGCATTAATTTTTTCTTTTATTTATTTCTCAGTTTTTTCAATTTTTGTTTGGTTTGTTTCCACTTTGGAGACATTCCTTAATTTCGTAGGTGATATTAAGGATTAACTTCACACATTTTCAAAAAATGTGTACTTTATGACCAATTTTTCACCTTTCTCAGATATTTTTCAATTTTCTTGCATTATTTATCAGCCATCCCTCGTATAAAGAATCTCCGAAATTAACAACCGTCAATTAGATATAAATAGCAACCGGCATTTTTATTAATTTGATAGATAAAATGCGCAACATTTTAACTATTTCCCAATGGATGAAAATTATTGTTTACTAAGTTAAAATAGATAAGGAAAAAAAATAAATAAAATTGATTAAATAAAACTCCAATTTGGTATTTAAAAACGAAAGTAGTCATCAAAAACGGTCCCTTTTTGTATCTAATTGGGAAATGTTTTGTGTTCAAAATATACTTATCACAAATAGCATATCATAATGTTTGCTTGTTATTATTTGATTTTTAATTTTAAATAATTATAACCTATTAAATATTTCTAAGTTTAGTCACAATCCCCTTATGTAATGCTTTTTGTGATGAGTTTATAAAAGATAGAGCTGAAAAAAAAAATTGCACTCAAGAGATTGAGCAACAGGACCGGCGTTACAAAATTTATAGACACAAAACAGTCAATTTGGTTGAATATACAAATCAATAATAATAATTATTGCCGCAACTGTTCATACGAGAATATATCAAATATTAATGAAATATTAGATCAATTATCCAAAAATTAATGTTTATTAATTTTCAAGTGCAATGGTAAAGACCGTTTCGAGATATTTCGTTGTTACTTACAAATATTATTATTTCAATGTAAAAAACAATCAGTAGATGGTCATTAATACAAACACATAGTACAGGATATTTAAATATCCTCAATTGGTTTCCTGATGGAAGACAAAGTGAGCGGTTCCTTATTATTTTGTAAAAGAATTTTAGTTTATTGTAAACATTTGACTCTGAAAGTTTGGTAATATTTATTTAGATGAAAGAAGTGAATTTGTCGCCTGATGCGAAAGAGATTGTTTAATAATCGTTAAGTTGACAAAACTCGAAAGGGTACATTTCGAAGAAATATAAATAACTGTACATAGAAGCCATAGTAACATTTTGATATCAAAAAAGTACGATTTGAGCCAAAAACAAATATTAATAAGATAGATGTAGGGTGTTAAAGGTGAAATTTTAACGTTTTTGGATATTTTTAATACAAATTTTGAAATTGGTGGTTTTTGGATATAATAAATTATAATTTTGAATTAATATCGATCTATTTTATAAGGGGGACCCACATAAGCCACACCTGTGGCATGAGTATATTTAAATCAGCACTAGTTATATTAAAAACAAATTAAAACTATGTCAATTTAACAAAAAAAAAAAAGAGTTATACTTATTATTAACTCCCAAAATTTAATTATTTACGTTAATATTTGCGGGAAATAAGAAACTTGGGAATATTTAAAGTTAGAGGAATTGTCGAAACTTGGGAATATTTAAAGTTAGAGGAATTGTCGAAATTATAGAACATTATTAGACTTTCAAAAAGTGAAGACTGGAAAAAAGGATTTTTTTTTCTTTTTTGAATTAGATACAGAGATCTGGAAAAACAATCACCAAAATCACAAATCTTGAGATATCCATGAGATATTTTAGCGAGACCTAGAGAAGGATCCAATTTAGTAAAAATACAAATGTGAAATAGAGAAGGTTAACTTAGAAGATGATTTAAAGTCGAGCAATTTTAGGATAAAAATTTCCATTTTAAGACAATTTTACCACTAGTATAAGTCTTAAATAAAATTAAAAATTTAAGAGAAACCATCTTTGACCATGTTTTTTTGTTACATTTTTGGGGGTAACATGATTATGAATATAACAAAAAAGTGATCCAATTAGAAAAAATTAGGTTACATAAGTAGAGAACATTTCCTATTAAAAACTTTATTTTTACAATTATATTATTTGATTTTTATTTACAACAGACTCACAAAAAACCTTAAAAATTGGCCATAATCATCATATTTTGCATTTTCATGCTCACAATTTCATAAAATTTAGTATATACCCGCTGAAAAAAAAAATTAATTTTTATAATTGTGGCATTTTTTTGTAATTACTTAAAGTTGAACATTATGACTCAATTATTCCCGCAAAGATTCACTCATTACATAAAATAAGGCAGTTTATAACTGGTTACATAAACAGCTATTCAACGACTAGAAAGGGGTCAAAATGAACATACAAAGGAGTGATAATTATACATTCATAAGAAAATAATAAAAAAAATGTGTTCGTATTTTGCATGAAATATGTTGCAAAATATTTTTTTTTTATTTTTACAGTAGATCTAAGAAAACGATTACTAAGATCACAATTTTTGAGACGTCCTTGAGAAATGTTAATGAGACCTTGGAGTTCCGAGTCTGATTCCCTTGAGATTTGTTTTGTCTATTATCTTATTTCATCAACTAGAAGCATTTGTAGCAGTGGCAGAAGCAGCAGCAGAGAAAGCAGCGTCATCGCAGAGAGGGAGTCAAAGCTGATAAGTAAAATAAAAACAAAAAGAACAGGATATTGAGGTGAGCTATCTTAAGTAGTTGTTCTCTTTTGTGTACTATCTAGTAAGTGTTTTAGGGATAGGGGTACGTAGCAAAGTACAGTTTGGGTTTCATAAATGACTGAGTTTGGAGAAAACACAAGAACTATTGGGAGAATATCCCAAAACAAGCACATGGGTAGACTTTTATAGGAAGACCATGTTCAAAAAAGAACAGGAGAATTACTCTCCGAAATAGGAACCAGTTGAAACATTAACAGGATTCATGACTGGGGATGCCCCAGTAACGGGACATCAGAACAAAATAAATGTGTAAAATGTAGACTCTGTCACAAAGAACCGGAAACAGCGAAACAGAGACTGTGCAACTGGGAGACTTTGGATCATTTCGACAACCAAAGATTGATCCAAGAACCTATAGAATCACCCAATCAACGACTAGTATGAACTTGTACAAGGGACTAAGGTGACAGAGTGGGACTATGAATTAATATGGATCAAATAAATACAATAGGCCATTAGGCTTCAGTGTTATCGGAGACTAAGTCAGACGAGCCTAGAAAAAAAAAAAAACATTTTTGAAAATGACACTTCAAAAATTGGCCACCAAGCAAAAACGACCATTCGGAGATAAAGAAAAGTTTGCCCATATGCCTATCGGACATCAAAGTACGACACTATTAAGGAATATATAACTTTTACTGATCATCCTCTCAATGCAGGTACTAAATCAAAACGAAATATCTCGATACACTCTTTATCTGTCTTATATCTATGCCATTCCACTTGAATTCAATAGTTTTTCCCCCTTTATCTCCAATGTACCAAAATTATATTTTTGTCATCAAAGTTTCGAAAGACATTTCATTATTTTTCGATACGTTCTCGTAACATTAAACTACATAATAACAAAAAAAAATCAGATTTTTTTTCATTACCTGTCATCTCCATTTTGGTTATCTCTCCTGTTTCTTGTATTGAAACTGGAGAAATCCCCGGCCCTGTTATCGCGATCTCTTCCAAAGTTTTTGGAGCTGCCGCCTCTGCTACCGCCTCTATCTCTGGAATCCGGACCACCGCGGTCTCTGTCTCTGTTATTATCGGAGCGCTCTCTTCCGTTTCGATAAAAACAAAAAAAAATCGTATCGTTCACAACCACTGCTCAAATACTACTAAATCATAACATAATAAAAGAAAAGGAATAAAGGGAACAACCTATAAATAAAAAAAAAAAAAGAAAACTACAAAAAGACAAATCGTAGACACGTGTTTTTGACTGTTGGTCTTCGTCAGTACAGTGCAACAAAATTCCATGCTTTCTTAAAATGTCTCAAAAAAAAAAACAATCTGACCGAACATAGACCCTCCTAAACTAAACTACGCTGTTACCTCGATTATCTTTTTGCCCAAAATTGCCAATTTTTATTTTTATCAAAAATTTGCCATATTTTTTCAAAAATTACCACTTTTCCTCTTTTTTTTATTGTGCGATGTGTCTATTATTCCTTTTCTTTTGTTAGATTCTCCCGACACTAAACCTATGAAATAATAAAAAAATAAACATTTGTCATTACCTGTCGTATCGATCTTTTTCGAAGTTACCGCCGCCGCTGCCTTCAGAAGGCTGTTGCTGCTGCGGTTGTTGACTCTGCTTATTGCGTAGATGTGGGGGCACGTAGCGGCCGCTGCTGCTTGAGCTGCGACTCTGCAAGTCCAGACCAGCAAACTGAAATGAGAACATTTCCATCACTGATATGTAACCAGACCTGGGGGTCAATTCTCGACTTTTATTCCCATGGGAAAATAAAATTTTCCCATGGGAATTCAGTTTTCGTATTCTCGACATAATCGGTGGAATATTTTCCAATGAGAAGTATGGGAAAATATTCCCCTGCTTACGAGCATTGGAAATTGTGTTTTCCAATGGGAATTGTACTAGAGTTTGCGCATTAAAGTCGAAAATTTGACGAAAGACCACGCAAAAGTCTAAGACATAACCAAAGATTATTGGATATCTTGGATTTTTGTTGAAATTGTAGTTAAAACATTTTTTTGGCGTATTTAATAGATTGATATTATTTTATTTATGTAGGTATATTATTTTTAATTCTCTTTCACTGAGAAACTGTGTAAACTGATTTTCCTAAATCATTTAGAAATTGTGGGAGCTGCTAAGGGACTGGCAAATAACACAAATTGAGTGTAGTAAATTTAATAAGAACTTTTCTAAAATTTTATTATTTTCGTTAATGAAAGAATTTCTTAGGGCCAATTCCACCGTTGTGTTAAACGGAGATTAAAATGACATTGTTAATGTAAAAATGTCACTTTAAACTTCGTTTAACACAACGGTGGAGGTGGAATCGGCCCTTAGTTTCTCAAAACTTTCTTTGCTCTTCCATACAAAAGCTACCTTTTCTTTTTTCAACATGAGAAAAGAAAAACTAAGAATAACTCGACAAGTTTTAATTATTATACGTAATCGAATATTTTCACTTATTCCTCGATCATGATAGCGATTGCTCGGTACGGCACCTGCTCCAGCGCGGAGGCTCGGCAAGTAATCGGATACCCAAAAACAACCACAACAAATACAAATATTGCCAACAGTAAATTTTAAAATATCTTTAATGTTATTGGTTGTTTCGAAATATTCGTGAACTTAATATCAGACATACGTGAAACTACTATTTCCATGGGAATGTCTATTCCGACACGTTCGAGAATTGCATAACCTATTACTATGGGAATATAAGTAGTGGAATATTTTCCCATGGGAAAATTTTCCAATGATCTCGAGAATCGAGCCCCTGGACAGAGTACTGCATTAAAGTACTCAAAAGTATCTGAGCATCTGAATTTTTTCGCCCGTATATGAGTTAGACCAACTGTACTCAACCTTTTTTCTTTTGGGCCACATAAATCTGTTTGTTATGTACACGGACCACAATATTTTTGGGTAATCAACTAGAGTTGTCACCTTTTTGAAATGTAAATAAAAGACAATGGGTGACGATAGGAATCCGTTTTAAATATTTTCTTACAAAAAAGTCCTCTTTTAATAAGCTTTGAAAAGTCGCAATGACAATTTGTTTTAAAAAAGGATTGTAGGTAAACTATTTAAATTTTTAATAATAGTGTTTGGGGCTGTGCACATAAAAGCTTGTAGGGCCGCATAAAAGCTTGGAGGGCTGCACAAAATAGCTTGGAGGGCCGCATGCGGCCCACAGATTGAGTATGGCTGAGTTAGACAGTACTGATAATGCTTTTGATGCATTCTTTAGAATCATTTCATATCATATTGATGTAACTTGTTCCCTTGTCAGAACAAAAATGGTTAAAAACAATACATCAGAGCAAAACATTATACATACAGGTAATGATCTTAAAAATTTGTTTGGCTTACTAAAACTTGTGACAGCTCAGAATTGTTAAGAAATTACAAATCTAAAAAAAAAAAAAGATTATTGTCATGAAAATTCTTAAAGCCTACCCTGTGTACGCACGCAACCGACTCGTGATCAAACTTAAATCCAGAAAATATCAGTATTTCGTTAAGAGAAGCTATTTCTAAGGGTTTTTAATTTGGGGTACAATGGTTTAAAGAAAGCCAGTGAGAACCTAGTAAAGTTTAATGCTATACAAAAAATGTCTTGGTTTTAGGGAACGAAAAAAATGCCACATTAGGTGTCATTTCAGTGGTCCATGTTCTAAAAAATAAAATATGCTTATAGTCTAATACCCGACCGTATGATGTATGCACTCTTATGTTTTTAATTCAAAGTACAACTTTTATAACTAATTACTGATAGAGAAATATGGTTTTGCTGGGTTACCTATCAAAATATTGCCCTAAGTTCTTATAATAGTACTTTTTTTCTACTTTAAGGTGTATTTCTCTTATAATTGTTTATAGATGAAAATTATTTTAATAAAAGTTATTTTTGATGTTATTCTCTATACTTCTTATCATATAAATAATTTTTCTAAAAAGGACTATGATTGAGAAATTTGAGGAAAAGTGCAAATATTTCTGTGAAGTAAATATTGAGTAGTGTCCTCTAAATCAAAAAATGTTTAGGTAACGAATTACAGATAAAAATTATTTAAACACTATTTCATAACTTCATTGCCAACAAAACTACTGAAAAAATCAAATTTTGCTCATTTTCTCAAATTTCTCCATTACGGCACATGTGTTTAAAACAAAAATCATGTATTTGACCAAAATTATAGAGAACAATTCTGGTTGAAAGATTTTTTTTGTATGATCATAAATAACAGTAACAAAAATAAACTTTAAAGTAATATTAAAAAGCCTAATTTTGATAGGTAATTCAAAAAAACCGTATTTCTCCATCACAGAGAAATTATATTATTATTATTATAATTGATTAAAACACAGTGCAGAAATCATACGGTCGGAACAAAGACTATTATTTGTTATTTTAAGCTTAGCAAGTGTTTTATCTTTTGTTCATTTGTTCTTCAGTTTTATTTATTCTACAGTTTAATTTGTTCTGTTAAAGAAAAAATATGAAAAATATTCATTATAATGTTTTAAAACCATCAAATCCATAAATAAAAAAATTTGATGACCCTAACTTTAAAGTAAAATTCGTATTTTATAAAATAACTAAAACATTTCAGCCGCCAGAATGTCAAGCAGAATATAATTTTAAATATTTGACAATCTGGCCGCGTGTTGACCGTCATTTTATAAAACATCTACATCAAAGTTATTGCTGGGATAATAATCATAATTAGTGTGGCCCAAATAAGAACAATTTTATTCAGAAATGATAGTTATAAAGTGTTTTATAGCAGAGGCATTTCCTGTATGAGATACATCTAGAATATTCATATGTTATACAAATCTCTGTAAATTATAAACATTTTATTTTACATTATTACAAACTGTTTTTATTAAATGTCATGATTGTTTTTAAAATACTTTTACTTATTTTAACATTCCAAAGGAGATAATTCAAGGTTGTGAAAATAAAAATTAAGGGGTTAAAATTCTTTATTCTATAAATAAACTAATTTATTAATATAGAAGTGTGGACAATTTATGAATATTTTACAGACTTTCTAAAATGATTTTTGAACAAAATAAGTATGATGCAATTTAAGATAAATTGGAAAGTAACTTTTTTGGACCATTAAATTTAAGAAAACATTTTCGCATTAAAATTTAGTCTAGTCTGCAATTATAGAGTAATTTTTACGTAACAGTTATCAAATGAAATCCCGCTATTAGGTAAGATGACCACAACAATGTACCGTTCACATAGGATCTTCGTTATTTTTGGCAATAAATTAATAGTTTATATAAATTGAATAAAATAGGTTACTTGAATATTCAGAATTTTGTAAATTATCTGCGAATTATCATTAATACACATTTAAATGAATTGGGTAGTAATCGGGTAGACGATCAATAGTTTGGGATTGAAAGAACCCACGACCTCCATTGTCAAGACTTGTGGACATAGAACGTGGTTGAAAGCAATGGAAGTTTTTCTAAAAAAAATCACTTACCTGCTGCTCTAGACCTGATCCATTTTGGTTGGGTGCATTACTCATATTATAACAATTCAGGACGTGTAGTAGAAGTTTTTGAATTCCAAAACTTCCAGTGCAAATTTCAAGAAAAGCGTCTTTAATGAATCACAAAAGCCGTACTCTGTACGTTCACACGACACACAGTTGTGAAATGTCAGAATGTCAACAACTGCGCAAGTCAAGAATATCCAAGTGGTTGAACTTTTTGGTTTTGAATTTTTGTGTAAAATTTGAAGAGGTTATTGAAAATGTAAATGAACAAAAATTTGTGAAACAAAATTTTATGAAAAATGTTTAAATGACATTCTTGTGGTGTCAAAAATGAGAATTACTAGATTTTATTTGTTTCTCCCTCTATCGTTGATTCTTATTAGTTATGATAATTTCTACTTTACCGACTGGATTGACACGTCAATTTAATTTTAGGCATTTTTTAGCGATGTATCATTTCAAAAACTTACGACTAAGACAAATGTAAACACCTCTACGTATAAACCCGGTCTTAAACGATTCTGTCTTCTGTCCCTACTGCCATTCAGCCGTCTAAAAATTACATATGCAACCAAAATTACAATGATCGTAATAATGGTTGCATATAAGAGATACAAATACAATGATTTAATAAAAATAAATGAAAATATTTTATGATTTATTTATTATGAAACAAACCTAGCAAAGTCAAATGAATTATAATTATTTTTGTTACACTCTTAACGATATTGATAGAATTACTTCAAAAACATTTTAAATTTGGACTTTTTTCCTGGAAAATGTAATAGTTTCTATTTTTCATTGAATTTTTCGTTTAAAACTGACGAAGCACCTAGGTATTTGTCTAAAGCTTCTCTTCCCTCGGCTATATTTTCAAAACGATTTTGTTTAGTTTAGTTTGAGCTTGTTTATCATATAAATCATTAATGATCATATCCCACCGATTTATCGTTATTATATGGTCGATTGGATATTTTCGGAAGGTTTTTATTTGTAAGATCACTCATTTCGAGTTTAATATAAAAAAAACGTCTGTGCGAAATGGTGCAATTTCAGGAAGACCATGAAAAAATCGTAATAGAAGAACCGAATGTTGTTGTTGACGATTATGTCGATATTGATAACAGTACCTTGGAGGTAAGTTGAAATAAAAATTTTAAATTTCAAAGTAAGTTTAGTTAAAAAAAAATTTTAGTTCGACGTTTCTTCATAATTTAAATAATTATTTAAAACTTTCCAGTGCCTTTAAAGTACACTGATTTTCTTCAGAGTAAATCATATATTTTATATTAAAACAAATTTTAAAGCTATTATCGACCTAATCCGGTCCTTATTAACATTTTTTTCATTTATTTTAAAATAATTATGACCTTTTTAGATGGGTTTTCTAAAGGTATAATATAATATTTCATAAAAATTACTTAGATAATGTTTAAATCTTGATAAACTAAGTATACATATTCAATATCTTCTAAAAGGATGAGATTTATAGAACATTTGCAACTTTGCAGATCTGCAAATATACAAGGTATTTTTTTAATATTGCGAAAAAAATTCAGAAGCGTGTCCCTTGGACGAAATGAAGCAATGAAGTTCCTATGAACATATGTCCTACGCCTCTTAGATTTTGAATTACAGGGTGGTAAAGTTATAAGAAAAAAACTTATTTTTTGCGAAACATTTAATACCCCTGTAGATATTTTTACAGTTCCGCAAAAAATGCAATAAAATAATAATAATGGTAATAAAATTAATAATTGAATAACATAATCAGATTTAGGCGCTATGGCTATCCACAAAAATGGTTTTTATTTTTTTGTGCGAAAACCGTGCATCGAGCGAAAACAGACCAAGAGGCCAGATATGGCCAGATATGCTATAAAAGAAATAAAGAATTCAAAATTATTATTTATTACAAGAAAAACCAGTGGCGCACCGTTTTCTTTTTAGAAAATATGCAGTTCAAAGTCCGCATGAACGCCAATGGCGAATGTAAAAGTTTAAATTGTGTATCGGAAAATGGCTTTGGATGCATAAAAACTGCGAACCAATTTTCAGAAAAATATCTACAGGGGTTTTATATATATCGAAAAAATAAGTTTTTTTCTTATAACTTTACCACTCTGTAGTTCAAAATCTAAGAGGCGTAGGACATATGTTCATAAGAACATTTTTGCTTCATTTCGTCCAAGGGACACGCCTCTGAATTTTTTCGCAATATTAAAAAAACACCCTGTATATGGCGGACTTACACATGCAAGTACCAAATTTTCGTATTCCAAAAAAGATCTGCAAATTCGCAATATTTATATTGGTTTATTACCCCCAACAACACTAAACCTAAATCCATTACTATGTTTAAAAACTCGATAATCTGACACCACGAACTGTATTCAATCAAAAGAAACAGAAGACTTCATGGTTGTAGGATGTTCTAACCTTCTTAAGGGTGGATTTGGATTTAGTGTTGTTGGGGGTAATAAACCACAATAAATATTGCGAATTTGCAGATATTTTTTAGAATACAAAAACTTGATACTTGCATCTGTAAGTCCGCCATATTTGCAGATCTGCAAAGTTGCAGGCGTTCTGTAATCTCATCCCAAATCAAAGATAGGTTACAAAAAGCCGTTTTGTAAATATTTTTTTATAGATTAAAATCGTAAAACCGTATTTCAGAAATCACCTAAAATTCGTATGAATTCGGTGAATTCACCAAAATTTTAACCGATTTCGGTGATTTTGTGAAATCATTGCATTAACAAATCTATGATTTCCCTATAAATTGTCTTCTTGAATATTCAAATGTTCTTAAGTTCTTCTCTTACTTAATTGTTTTTAACTCTTCCCTTACTGTGTTTTAATATTTCTGAGCAACGAATTGATTTGGTATGATTTCGGATGTTTTCAGATGTTTTTGTATGCTTTAGGATGATTTCGGATGTTTTTCGGATGTTTTTCGGATGTTTTTCGGATGTTTTTCGGATGTTTTTCGGATGTTTTTCGGATGTTTTCGGATGTTTTCGGATGATTTCTGATGATTTCTGATGATTTCTGATAATTTCTGATGATTTCTGATGATTTCTGATGATTTCTGATGATTTCTGATGATTTCTGATGATTTCTGATGATTTCTGATGATTTCTGATGATTTCTGATGATTTCTGATGATTTCTGATGATTTCTGATGATTTCTGATGATTTCTGATGATTTCTGATGATTTCTGATGATTTCTGATGATTTCTGATGATTTCTGATGATTTCTGATGATTTCTGATGATTTCTGATGATTTCTGATGATTTCTGATGATTTCTGATGATTTCTGATGATTTCTGATGATTTCTGATGATTTCTGATGATTTCTGATGATTTCTGATGATTTCTGATGATTTCTGATGATTTCTGATGATTTCTGATGATTTCTGATGATTTCTGATGATTTCTGATGATTTCTGATGATTTCTGATGATTTCTGATGATTTCTGATAATTTCTGATGATTTCTGATGATTTCTGATAATTTCTGATAATTTCTGATAATTTCTGATGATTTCTGATGATTTTTGATGATTTCTGATGATTTCTGATGATTTCTGATGATTTCTGATAATTTCTGATGATTTCTGATGATTTCTGATGATTTCTGATGATTTCTGATGATTTCTGATGATTTCTGATGATTTCTGATGATTTCTGATGATTTCTGATGATTTCTGATGATTTCTGATGATTTCTGATGATTTCTGATGATTTCTGATGATTTCTGATGATTGCTGATGATTTTTGATGATTTCTGATGATTTCTGATGATTTATAATGATTTATAATGATTTATAATGATTAATGATGATTTCTGATGATTTCTGATGATTTCTGATGATTTCTGATGATTTCTGATGATTTCTGATGATTTCTGATGATTTCTGATGATTTCTGATGATTTCTGATGATTTCTGATGATTTCTGATGATTTCTGATGATTTCTGATGATTTCTGATGATTTCTGATGATTTCTGATGATTTCTGATGATTTCTGATGATTTCTGATGATTTCTGATGATTTCTGATGATTTCTGATGATTTCTGATGATTTCTGATGATTTCTGATGATTTCTGATGATTTCTGATGATTTCTGATGATTTCTGATGATTTCTGATGATTTCTGATGATTTCTGATGATTTCTGATGATTTCTGATGATTTCTGATGATTTCTGATGATTTCTGATGATTTCTGATGATTTCTGATGATTTCTGATGATTTCTGATGATTTCTGATGATTTCTGATGATTTCTGATGATTTCTGATGATTTCTGATGATTTCTGATGATTTCTGATGATTTCTGATGATTTCTGATGATTTCTGATGATTTCTGATGATTTCTGATGATTTCTGATGATTTCTGATGATTTGTGTTGATTTCTTATGATTTCGGATGGTTTCGGATGATTTTGAAAGATTTCGGATGATTTCGGCAATGATTTCCGTGATGATTTCGGAAGTTTCGAGAGAATTTGAAGTGATTTCGGTGATTTCGAGTAAAAACGTACCTGTATTTCGGGCGTGGTTCACCCCCCAATTAAAATAGTCCCAAAAGATATTGAAATTGTGGCAATTTGTTGGCCCTTGTGATGGCAAAGAAACTGCTAAAGGCAAAATGGTTATGGCCCTCTTGAAATTTGTAAATAACTACCCTTTAACTTTAATTATTCGATGGGTCGTTGATGGATTTTTAACTCTTTCCTACATACATTCAACTGTAAAATTGTTATGGCCCTCTTGAAATTTGTAATTAACTGGTTTTTTACTTTAATTATTCGATGAGCCGTTTTAATTTACCACAAGCAACACTAGTTATGGACTTTTTAAAATTTGCACCTAATTATTTGTCTTTTAATTTTAATTATTCGTCCCACCGTTGATGGCTTTTTAACTGTTTTTTTTATTAAAAACAATACATACTTTCTTTGTTTCAATAGAAAATAAATTAAAATTATACACTTTTCCGACTTCTTTTTGTTACCTATTTGGTTAGGTTAGTTCCGTATAACTTTAATAATCGATGGACAATTGAAAGGTTTTTTGACGGTTTTCCAGAAATAAAAAGAAGAAGGGGAGAAGAAATAACACAACTTCGTGTAGTCTTGATAGTGGAGATTTTATCGTGCACAAATTCGGCATATTTTTAATTGTGCTTTTCAGGTTACTCCATTATCTAAATTGTTTTTGAGATAATTATTATAAAGCGGGCGACAGTTTAATTAAAAGATATCAGAATAAATAAATTTTACATAATCAGCATATATAGGATATATCCGAGATTGATGCAACCTTCATTCGGTCATTCACCGAGAATCGTGTATGTATTATACCTTGTATCAACCATCCTTAGGCTGAACGCAATCAATTTCCTTAGCGTGAAAACGCTCCCCCGATTCCCCGACGATTTTCAATTAATCCAGAAACTATCTACTATCTTCCTGGTATTACAATTACTATATCCCGGTATTACAACTACCGTAGACAAGAAAATGTCGCCCTTAGACATACCAATGAAACGCGATGATACACCCGTTTTCAGAAGACGATCATAAATAATTGTTCCTGTACTAATGAGTTCTCGATCGGTGTAGTTAGTATTTGGGGAAGAATTTAAATCAGTGGTGTACTAATACTCGTAATAAGACAAGGGCAATATACCAAGACCGTGATAATAGTCGACTATTTTTGTTGAATTCAAATCTCGAGAATATTTCAATATCAATTTGTTGAGACATAATTTTTGGCAGAGCCCGAGAGCCGTCAGAATTTTTAAATAAAGACTTGAAGAGTGAAATGCGTGGGACCACACAAAACGAAATTTTAAAAAAGATTTGTGATCTGACTAAACTTTCCCGTACTACAATTTATACTGTTGTTAGAGTAGGAGATGTCATTGATCATTCCGTAAAACGAAAACGATATAATCAAAAGCTTAAGAAGGTTGATAATGTGACAAAGAAGTTATACGCCGAGTTGTACACAAGTTTTAAGAAGAAAACAAGGTTCTAACTTTAGAAATGGTTCGTAACAAGTCACGGGATTATCCCGATTATGAATAATATTTTGCTAGACTGTGTCTTCAAGTACAAAAAA